CTCCCTATCCCCGCAGTACTTACACCCACTCAACGAATGCGGGGTATGCTCGAGGATCGCTCATCCACGAATGTCTTGCAATCATTTTACAGCCCCTGATGAAAGCCGCCGAACTTGGAATCATGATGTCCGACCCAGTGGGAAACATCCGCCACTGCTTTACCCCCCTTGCGGCATACATCGTCGATACTCCCGAGGCGTGCATGCTTGCATGCGTGCGCGGCAAAACTTCTCCATTTACACTGGCATCTTATCTCCAGTTCGGGGACAATTTTCGTCACCCTGCACGTACACGTGCCATCACGCTCGAGCAGCTCGCCAGCATCAATGTTGACCCCAACGACCTGGAAGGATATTTTGCCGCATGCGCGGAATTCCGGCTAAATGGTGTCTTTGCACCTTTCTGGAAGGGATGGCGGTTTAGCGATCCTGCGATCTTCCTTACACCTGAAGCTCTGCATCACTGGCACAAACAGTTCTACGACCACGACGTGCAATGGTGTCTTGCAGTTCTTGGAGTGCAGGAATTCGATTTCCGAATCTCAATACTGCAACCCGTCACTGGCTATCGCCACTTCCCCAATGGAATCTCCAAACTGAAGCAGGTCACAGGCAGAGTCCACCGCGATATACAGCGCTATATTGTTGGATTGATCGCTGGTGCAGCCCCTCGTCGATTTGTGGTCGCAATTCGCGCTTTAATGGATGTCCGATACTTAGCGCAGTCTCCCGCACCTGATGACAACTTACTGGCGGCTATTGACAGATCACTTGCAATCTTTCACGACAACAAAGATGTCATCATGACACTAGGCGCTCGGATGGGTGCGAAGAGAGTCATCGATAATTGGCACATACCCAAGCTAGAGCTCATGCAGAGCATCACCACTAGCTCGCGCCAAGTCGGTGCCCTCATCCAGTGGTCCGCAGACGCAACTGAACATGCGCACGTCTCTGAAATCAAGGACCCAGCACGGCGTACTAACAACAACGACTACGATCCCCAGATCTGTCGTCACTTAGATCGAGCAGAGAAACTGCATCGTTTTGCAATTGCTACAACTCTCAAGAGTCTTCCCACAGATCCCGATCTCCGTGAGGATGAAGAGGACAGGGACGAGGACGAGGAAGGGGAAGGGAATGAGGAAGAAAATGACGAACTGATGGATCCACGAACTGCACTCTTAGAAGAACTAAATCACACGCGCACCACTTCCAACTACTTCAACAAACTGAGAACGTTGGGGACTGCAAGGCGCGATGAAATTCCTCAGGCTCATCCTCCTCGTACGTTCCTTGCTGGCAGTACCGCCGTTCATCTTAACTGTTACCCCACCCGACTGGCTTGAAAATTGACGAGGTCGCCGATCAATTTAACATCCCAGATCTGCGGCATGCTCTCTCGGACTTCCTTCAACGTGATGCGAGGAACAGAGATGTAGTTTTTGGGGTGGGGGTGCCAAGAAGATCGCTGATCGACCGGCCCTTGAATATACCTTTCGAGCGCCTTCAAATATGGCATACTGTTCGCTTGCAGCAAGTCTGTCTCCATGATCCCAGTATCGTTTTACCCGCACAAACTTTGCATGCCTCTCCTGCACACGCTGGGTGGCCAAAAGGCCGACAGGATGTTGCCATTCTCAATGTCAATAGCGCGTATGATTGGCCCAAGTCAGGGTTAACGGGTGAGCTCTTTAGTACTCACACATACTTTGATTGTCCCTGACACCTTCCTCTCTTTTGAAGGTCACACTGTCTGTGAACTGCAGCTCATCATGCGTCCAATGCCACGACGAGGCTCACGTATTACATGGCATGATCGATATCTTTGTTATGTGCGGAGCTTTAAGGTTGGCGCGGTTGATCCTGTCACCGAGATGCACACATTGACACGCACAAAACATGCCAACGGTACTCTAGTGGGAGATATAGTTCCCCTGACACAACTTCGAGCGTTCATCAATATCATCCCGAGACTAGGTGCTGCAGCAGATCCTCGGTTGACCAAGTCTACTTCCACGCACTATCATTCCTCGTTTTACTTGAACAAGTACTTTGACAAGCAAATTTATGATACCTTGTACTATGCATCGCAAGGATAGATACGATACGATACCCATGACAGATTTTTTTGTGTAGTACTCAATGTGGTATCAGAATTTGAATTTGATGTTTATCTAGTATGCCTATCTTATGCCCACGCCGCAGCCCGCAACCCGCAGCCCACTGCACTGTAACCAGAGGGAGTGCTCAACAAACTCGCCGACTATTCAGACAGACAGGCAAGTTGTTGTTGTAGAAACACATTGGTCTGCAGTACTCATTACTCCATAGCGTTGACCGGTCTTGACTCTGAACGCCATGGCAGACGACCCGCTCACTGACCAGACTCCACCAACAACATGCGCCACCACATCATTCGACCTCTATCTTTGTCGACCTTCACTCAGCTCGACGGGTTTCCAGCCTGAGGGTGTCGCACCTTCGATCTTGTCAAAGAACTACTCAAATCAGAACTCGAAGGCCACGTCATTATCGAAGCCGACCTGAAGATCGAATACAATGCTAGTGTTTTCCACCAACTCGTTCCCAAATCCTCGTTGGAGACCAGGCATATCGCACAAATCAATTACTATGGTCGGGATAATGGACCACCGATATATTTCCAGGGCGCATGGAACTTCGATCGCCACAAAAAGCCCAGATTGAACAATCGGAACAACGACTCTGGCGATTCGGATGATAAATCTGATGCTAGCACAGATATCGTTAACACAGATGTCGAGGCCTTGGATTCTCAAGGTTCAGGGATGGTCTCAGATGGCACCTGGAGTCACGATGAATACGATGGGACCGCACAACCAGGATCGAAGAGGGGACGTAAACCTTCATCGACTGAGAAAGACTTGCAGTGTCTTTTCGAGACTGTTCAGTATGCCCTGCGCCGTAAACAGCAAATTCGCGCCAAAATTCCCTTCCCGATATCGAAAATCGAACGATACTGGTCTGCAGAGTTTGCTGACTCACCAATACCAGACCCTTATAACGCACAAAAGCCTGATGTTGCTCTGTTTTATTACAAGAGTAAAACTAGCGAGAAAACGTGGACAGACGTCCTGAGCTTTGTTGAGCATACAACTTCTGATTTCAACAAGAGGCGTGACCTAGGAGTGTACTGGGGGTCCGCCACTAAAGCATATCTCATCATGCGAGAACAGCCCTGGCGTCGCTTCGTCCTCTCATTTTTCATCTCTGCCGACCATCTTTACGCCCATTATTGCGATCGCTCTGGCCTCATCATCACTCTCCCAATTCCCATCCAATCGTCACCCGCTCGTGTCGCTGATGCGATAGCTACTCTCTCATTAGCGGATCCCAGCCTCTTGGGTCTCGACCCCACAACACATATGTGCATCACTTTTTGCCAGGGTACTCACACCGACCTAGCAGTGGGGGCGATCGGTTGGGTAACCGACAATGCTGAAAAAAAGTACTCGATCATGGCTGTTTTGTGGAAGAGCCAGGGTCTATTTTGTCGCGGAACGGTTTGTTACCGTGTTCGAGATCCTGTAGATGGAAAGGAATATGCGATGAAAGATTGTTGGGTGACTGAGGCGAAGAGATACCACGAAGTGGACGTCCTTGGGAGGGTCAAGGGCATCCCTAATGTGGTCCAACTCGTAGACCACTGGGATGTCCTATCCAATGGGGAGCCTGACTGCACAGCCCGCATTCGGGATGGATATGGTGTCCTGCTCGAGAACAGGCCAGACACGAGGTTCTTTAACAGGTATCACCGGCGCCTTCTCTTGACCCCCTGTGGAGATCCATTATGGGATTTCAGCTCCAGAAAGGAACTGATTTGCGCCTTCCGCGACTTCGTGGTTGGTCAGTTCAGTTTGTGTTTGATTTGTTGTATCATCTAACACTCTATCTATAGCTCATGAAACAATGATCCAACGACGAGTTCTACACGGAGACCTTAGCCCAAACAATTTTATTATCCATGAAGGTATTGGGTATTTCATTGATTTTGACCACGCGTCAATCATAAAGGAGGGCGAGACATTTACAGTTTCGTTTGGTACTGTAAGTTTGAACATGAAGTTCGAGATTCTCGCTATTGACCACGCTATTTCAGGGAACTGTGCCATATATCTCTATGCGCATTTTGAAAAAAATGTCGAAGAACGTTGACATCCTCAAGAAGGCAAAGACGATCAACGCAAAAAAGAACGACAACACCAACAGCATCGCTCAGCCGGAACTGGTTGAGCACAATTCCAGTGATGACCTCGAGTCCCTGTTCTATATTTTTTTCGAATTCGTTTCCAAGTACGGGGGTGCACATGGTACACTGGCTCCGACCTGGGATAAGATGAGTATGCCATGGGCGGATGCCTATGAGAATTTGGGCGCTACAAGCGGCTTGCTTGCCACCTTTTTGGCGAAGAAGGGAGCCATGTCTGAGGGTGATATCCTGACAGACAGGGTATCAGACTACTTTTCAGAATTCAAGCCCATTGTTGACGAATGGCGCACTCGAATTTATCGCATGGAGTCTAATCTCGAAGGAGCCATTGTTCATGACCACATCTTCCAAATGCTTGCTACATTCATTACGAAACTTGGCGATGAACTGCCAACTCCACTACCCTCTCCAGTAGCTCCCCCGAGTGCCTCAAGTACTCATCGTACTGGAGCTCCCCCCATCGTTCAACCCACAGCAGGGTCTTCGCTCCGTCGTTCATTGCGGCTCAAGCAGGCGGCCGGACCTAACGATGCTGGCAGAGACTAACGCAATTCTGATGCCTCTTATTACTATCCTTCATCTGAGCTTTCTTATGCGTCTTCCTATAGTTCCTTCTTTCTTCTATGTTACCTCCCTCAGGCTTAGAATGCCAACCACGGACGTCGCTATGTACCAAATCATGATTATGTAACATGGATTATGTCAGTCATTGGTACGCATAACTAGCTAACTTCGTACATGTTATTCAAGCCACCTGATACATGCCTCCGAAGAAGAAGCTCAGACGTTCTTCTCCAGATTTAGGGGTGACTGCTCGGCGAAGCTCGAGATCTAATCGTGGTGTTGGAGGCCATGCAGCGCAGCTGCAAAGAGTTGGAGAAACACTTGCTGCCCCAGCAAGGAGAAGACCAAAGGGTGACGATCTTCAAATCAGCAGCTCAGAAGAAAACCCTATGGCTCCTTCGCAGCTTCAGCAAGGAAAGAGAAATGTATTTTTTTTTTTTTGTGACTATGTTCAAGCTAATTTTTTTTCAGCCTCCTGCAAAACCTCGCAGCTCTCCAAAAACAAATCAGAACGAACGCAGAATAACGGGAAGCGACCAACATCCTCAAACTCCTACTACCCGTCTGGATATACATGTGGCTCGCTCTTCCGAAAGGTTCGGATTCAAGGAACCCCATTCCAATGGTCGCGAGAAGTCCAATGGCCGCGAGAAGTCCAGGGAGGGACAGCCTATGCGGAAGGAAACACGGTCCGGTGGTCGCAAAACGGTTGGACAGAATGTGGGTCAGCGAGACACAGGTCATGAGAGGGAGTCTGCGGGACGTGATAGTGGTCACGAACGTGATGAGTCTGATGTCGATGTTGACCGCGATGATTATTTTGACAGTTATACGCAGATGTAAGTGTTCTTCTTTTGCATGTGTTCTTCCTGATATTATGTTCTCATTGCAGGGATAGAGGCGCCGACCAGGACACGCACCAGCGAACGAACGATACGGGCAACACAATGGATCTCGACGACAATATTGATCCGCTTTTTCCTGACAATGAAGCTCAAGGAGATGATGAAGTAGATTTAGATGGCGAGCCCACAAATAAGGAGCCGGTATTTGATTTTTCCTCTCTCCATTCCTGCATTAATTATCTGTACTCAAGGCTTACGATGTTCTCGAGCGTCATCATGCAAAGAATGGGCAGCGCAAAGCTCCTTCACCAACCCATTTGTCAAAGGGAAAGGGAAAGGAGCGCGCACATACTCTCGACTGCCCAGAATACCCTCCACAACACCCATCCCAACATGTTCATTCTAGATCTCCTCGCCCATGCTCTCCTCAACACACCAGGCGCTCGAGGTCCCCTCGTCGATATCCATCATCTGGAGGAGCTACTGCTGTTCGAGCGGTTCGTAGACACTCACCTGCACTTCACTCACGTCGTTTCTCTCGTTCAAAGTCTCCACGCCAACAATCATCTCAGCAAGTCAGATATGAACGCACTTCATCCTCACGCATGCAGTCTCCTCTTCGGGGTCCATCTCGGCCAACTACTTCCTCAAGTCGCAGTCACACAAAGCCCACCTCTCGTGGATGCTCTCCATCATACACTCCATCTGACCATATCCCGCCTGCGAGCCGTGAACACTCTTGTAGCTCACCCGAAGTTAGTCGCCGATCTGGCAATGGTAAACAAAAGGTGAAGACAAACCAGGAGAACCCCTCGAAGCTAGGATTCTATCCACCTACTTGGCAAGTATTCCTGCAGACGGCGAAATTAGAGATGCGGTTGCAGGCCGTTCTAGCCCACCCAATCCCAGAATCCCAGAACGCCCTCAACCTTGCACGAGAAGTCTTGGATACCGTGCTATGGACATACCACGAGAAGAAGATTAAACTCGAGAGAGGTATATTCTCCCTACGCCGCCGTCTACTGTTCTCATAGCTGTTTACAAGGTTACTTTCCGGAGTACGACTCACGGATGTGCCGTCTGGTAGGTCCTTCGTTTCTTGATGGCGAATATGTTCGTTGACGCTGTTGATGAGCTGTGCGATGATCTCTTCACGTTCCGCACAGAGCTCAAAAAGGTCGTCATGTCTGTCGCAAAAAGGGTGTACGACATCTTCCCACAGGGCTCGACAATGCGAAAGGAGGAGGCCCAAAAGAAGGTCACCGCTGCTGCTAATAAACTCCTCAAGAGCGGTGATTACCTCCGGCTTCCTGACTCGTCTGGCGTAAGTTGCGACTCCCGGTAATAGTGTCACTTACATTTGACTTTCGCAGGGAAAATTTGAGAATTTCTCGGCGCAGGCTCTCAAGGATGCTTGTCTCGAATTTTACTACAGCAACGGCAAGAAAGCGCTGAAGAACACGGATGAATTCCAACGAACAATACCCATCAACGCGATGCTGCTTGTAGCAGCGGTGGTGTGTTTTTCGTTATTTTATTTTATTTACCCTTTCATCACTGATTATACAACAGTTGAAGGGTGTTCTCTCCGGCTTTCGGGAGACCGGTACTGACAAGGTTCCTGATCTTACCGCTGAACAGTGCAGGACCCACTTCGCCAATCTACAGAAATCGGTTGACAAACTGCTCGACATTCCGGAGCGCCGCGAAGAGCTCGAAGACATGTTGGAGCAATGGGCTAGGATAGGCATGGGTGACTATGACGAGTATGCGGATGGGAGTGTGGCGGACAGCGACGCGGAGGACGTCAACATAATTCTTTAGTAGTACTGCTCAGATCAATGCACCATGTTTTTGTTTCACAATTCATACAGTTTATGCCAGCATGTCTACTGTGTGAAGCCCTGTCATTAAATATATCCTTGGTACAGCATGTCTCAAGTGGACAGACTGTACAGCATGTCCCAAACTGTACAGACTGTCCTCTCGAGACATGCTGTACAGTCTGTCACAACGCAGACGGTCTGTACCGTGTGTACCGTGTGTCCGTCTCATCACAATGCAGACAGTCTGTACAGACTGTCTGCATTGTGATGAGATGTACAGATTGTAGGAGTATGTAACAGTATTGTAAAGGGGGGACTTCCTTGTGTAAGTGTAATGTCTGTACAATACTGTACAATCTTGTACAGTATTGTACAGGTACCCCATAGTTTGCTGATGAAGTAAGTTGTTGTTTTCCTGATGTATCTGCGATACTGAAGTACAGTCTTCAGTGGAGCAGCGGCACAACGGCACCGAATCGTGATACGATCCTGGTTTACCAAATCCAGATCATCTCGGTGTTCGTTCCTTGTTGACTGTTCATCAGCTGCAGAGTGCCCACTGCCCACTATCAGTAATCACGTGCTAATTTTTGAGTTTTAAGCTTAAGTTTGGAAGTCATGCATTGCAGATTGCAATCGCCCTCGCAAATCCCTCCAAATTTGCTCACCTGATTGCAGATCAGTGAAATATGTCACTGGGGCCCGGGCCCGGGGTCTTATGCTCACTCAAACTTTCAAAATCTCTTATATGTGTATATTCAGGAGCCTCGACTTCCACCTTACATGATTCAGACCATTTATCCTTGGTGCAAAGTAAGTATCGATTACTTATTCTCTCCCCGTGCTATTTCAGACGGTAGAAAGGTGTCGCTGGCCGGTGGAGTGACCAGACAAGTCCAGGACTTGCAGCAGAATATACGTTCCTCCCAACTCGGTAGATAGAATTATTTATTTATCAGAAATATAGTCTGATGTGCAAAAGAGTTGTACAAAAGATGGTGCAATTGATATGGGGACATGATTTGGAAGGCCGAAGGCCTTGAGTCGACTGAAGGCTAAAGAAATGGGAGGACAAGAGAGACCGAGTGAGAAGCATGGTAACATATCACAACGAAATGCACGAGGTACAAGAAAAGATAGCCTGGATTCTGTGGAAGGAGCCGCATGTCTGAATAGATGTGCTCACGGGGCTTTGCGGTTGGCCTTTGGCAATAACGGGACAAGCCCGGATTTCTGTATTTCAGGGCCCCTGGTGCCAAGGTACCTGTAATTACAATCGGGTTAAGAGATAATTCATACCAATGAGAAATTCGGATGACCTTTGAGATTCGTAACACCAACTGTGGTTTCCGCGAACGAAGGTTGCCGTGCCATCAAAATACTCTTTGACTAGGGCGTCGACAGAAGGTCCCCATGAAGGAACCTTCGCGAGACCGTCGATAAATCGTTTCTGAAGTTCAGCGTGATAATGTGCTGCCCAGGCCATCGCACTGCCTCTGTCTAGCCCGCGTTCCAACATGACAGTACTTATCAAGTTATGATCATCCCCAGCCGCCTGTTCTCTGTTGTACGAGATCATGTCCTGTGAATGTTGTTAGCAGGCTACAACCCACGACGTCTTCAAAACTACTTTACGTTGTCAATGATTGCCAACTCTATGACGCAGTCAGCGAGATCCCCGATGACTGGATGATAAAACACTTCATCAGGAAGGTCCATCCCCATTTCAAGTATTGTGAAAGAGGGTTTTACGCCAATACCCCTCCGTCGAAGCTTCAGGTAGTCATCGACACTGTGCCTATGGTCTTGTTCACGGTCGCGAGCCTCGACAACGACTGCATGAAGGTATACAGGAAGGGTTTGAAGAAAGCGACGTTGAGAAGTCAGGCTTGCAAATTGGATTGCATAGGCCCAAAATCTACGCAAAAATCCCTTGGGCTTCAGACGATCATCAACCAATTCCGAAGCACTTACTGTCGCGCGACTTCACCGATGATGGATTCGCCTTCTGGTCGTATTTCATGAGGATTGCGTACGGCATCGATCACGATGTCCATCCTTTCCTTTGCGACCGCTTCATTTTCGTTGTCGGTATACTCTTCCACAAGAAAGAATAAATTCATCAAATCACAGCCGATCCGAAGGTGTTCTATTTTTGCGGGAACGGAATCAGAGTTCCGTGACGCGTGAATTGCCAACGGTCAAATACGAACCCTTTGATGCATTGGGATAAAGCAATGCTGCTAGGCGTGCTGCAAGCACGGTACATATCAATCATCGTCAGAATTGAGAGCTAGTGACATAAGTCGAACCAAAATCGCATTTATCGAAAGCTTCCTGTGACTCAGGACTCAGAGCCTTGAAATCACGGAACGAAGCATCGACTTCAGCTTTCATATCTTCGAAGTGCGGATTGATGGCGCGAGGCCAGGGCCAGGTGATCATGGTGTCTGGGAGGTATATTGTCTTTGGGCGAGCATCCATGGCTCCAAAATGCAATTTCGGATGAGTGCGATTGTTTGAAAGAGGGGAAATCTTGTTGCTGGTTGATTCCGGGACTGGTAGCAGAACTTATATACCTGGGCCCTAGGTCAGGATCAGCCTTCGCGTACATATCCGCAAACCAAAGATGAGGTGATAAGTCCCCTGCCACAACATCCCTGAGATCTCGGTTAGCTTGCCATAGTGTATTCCCGTATTAACTCGTAGTATGTTGTCTCGGGAATTGCCGCATACGCCGGCTGAAACCTTTGCTTGTCGCTAGGCAGAGGGCTAAGTACTCATGCCAAAAAATGAATTTAAACTGATACTGACAACGGTGGGTAGAGAGGTGACGTGTACAGGGGTTAACGCGGCAATGACTCTGTTCGCGGTCGAGAACCTCGACAACTACCGCGCGAATGTATGCGGTGGACTGCACCAAGAGACCACGTAGAGTAGATTCATCCAATCCACATCGGTCCTCGCATCATTCTAGCCATAAGTCTTCGGCACTGTGCCAGCGGTGTAGCTGTCAAGAAAGTGACGCTGAGAAGGCTCGCAGTCTGAATTGCGCGAGCCCAAGATCTAGTAATCACGAGCCGATAAGTGAGTTGAATCACCGATTAAAGTCCCCAGGAGATGACGTTGAGCTGTTGGTAAATTAACAGCTCGCTTCCAGACCTTATTGCTAGCTTGAGCGAGCACTCGAAGGAATAAACCCCCTTCCCCACGGACATGCCTCTAAATTCCGATAGGCCAGTGCGGCGGGTCGCGCTGAGAGTTTGATAGTATGTAGCCACGGTTGCAATCTGGCTGGGCCATAGGGAATGGGGTTCCTGTTTCAATCAAGAAATAGGGCAATAGGGCAAGCAAAACATGACCATGAAATTAGTGTTCCAATTTGCGCGGGTAAATAAGCTTCAATCGATGACACTAGTACTGTGTATAACGACATCAGTAAAGAGTTCTGATGCTAGCCTAAGTGCGACATCATTACCTGTCCGTAATATCGTGCCAAACGATGAGCATGAAGTAAGTCTACATATGATGAAAATGTCCAGTCCAATCACAAACCACAATTATCCATTAAATGTCAATCAAATGCCATCATCTTCTACAGCCCCCCAGAAACCAGACTAGGGAATCATCGGTCAACGACGATCAGTCCCACGCGCGACGAAGGGTGGTGAATCCAGAGAGCAGCATTATAACAATCATCGCGACGACACCAGGAAGAGCAGAGTCTATTTTAAGCTGAGGTAGCGCTCCTGAGCATCCGGCACATTGCCACCCTGAGTGTATTCAATAACAAGATCGACGGTGCGCATGGGCGAATGCAGACTTACCACTAGTCAAAGGCGTGTAGGCCTGTGGCGTATACATAGCGAACACAAGCTGGCTGTTTGGTGCCAAGTAACCAGGCGTGGGGATTGCGCTAGGGCCACCATTGGCCCAAATATGAAGCGTGTAGCTTGCCTGAACTAGCGGAAGGCTAGGGTTTGCGGTCTGGTAGCCATACGGGTACCACACCACACTTGAGGCAGTTCCGGGAATGACACCATCAGTGGGGCCCACGGGGTATGTATACCCGTTTGCGCCTACTGCTGCAACAGTGAGGGCGGTGGGTGATACAAGGACGCTCGAAAAGTTCCACCCAAACGTAATATATTCGCTGGGGGCAATTTTGTAGTAAGAGTTGGATTGGATGGGAGGCATGGTTATAGTGATTGCTCCAGCAGCAGCTCCCAACGGGATGGATGGCAATGGGGTACTCCCATTCACGAGGGATGCCGAGCCAGAGACTGACGCAGAGGCTGAAGCCGAAGCGTTTCCATTCTGTTGTCTGCGTTGCAGATCAAGCTGACGATGCATGGCTTTGTGCGCTCAAAGGAAGAGCGTCTGCGTGGTGGGCAAGACGAATGGCAGGAAGAGTGTGGAATGGAGGAAGCAACTAGTAGTGCAACCGTGTACCTTGAGAGAGCATGACCTGCGAGTCACACGGGATGTGATCCATTCCAGGAGGGGCTTGTTTTAGACTCTGCCGCAGCGGTTGTTTTCCACGACTTGCTGACCGCAACTGGCGGCCCCAAAGAGCTATATCAAGCACCGCAGTCACAGCCCTTAGCCTGGCCACAACAAAGGCGCTGACTTGGTTCCAAAATAGGATTGGGTTGAAACGATGAGACCTTGTCGAAACTAGACTGAATTGTCCGTGTCAGCGAAAAAGCCCCCGACAACATTTTCAGAGACTGAACCAGAGCTTAGTCTGGAGAATGTCAACACCAAACCCGTGAAGACACAAAGTTGACCAGCAAACCGCAACCAAACTTTGCAATCGCAAAAGCTGTCATGCTCTGTCACAAGTCGTCAGTTGGTGCGAGACTTGGTTGTCAGGTAGGTCCGTAGAACTTAGTGGCGCCGGTTAGTAACTCCGATCATTGAGTCCCACGCACGCCGATGACAAAATGATCTAATTCAGGAAGGTGTCGTGGTTTGGCGGCCCCCCATCCGAAACCCCATGCATGCATGTATAACAATTTTCTTCAAAGTTCTATCAAGTATCATATATAATAACCATCTCCCAATTGCAAATGAAAATTCAGCCAAGGTGCGTTCGTATCCTAACCCTTGCATCGTTTCTAATCAATTGTACATAACACCAGCCTGAGCCTCTTGTGTGCCAACAGAAGCTGAAGTACGAAACAATGTACGTTTCAGATGCTCAAAATTGCAGAACGGACTAACGAGCATATTATAATCACTGAGATCACGACAGGGTAGGACAGGATTCAGCTCTTCTGGATCAAAAATACATTCGAGGTCTCGTATTGGCTATGGCACAAGATAGTGGCCCCCGAGCCTTCGCATCATGCTGGTAACATATCCAAGATGGACCACGCGACGCTCAAATATGCGCCCTTGGAAACCTGTGCTGCAGTACGGGACCAGATGTACTTGTACGTGCCTCACAGTTATATGTTCTCTCCCCCCTGGTAAGCTGTCCCGTAGCGTCAACGTCGATGATGTCAGTTGCTAGGCCGTCTCTTCCGACATCACCGGTCACCCCTGGCCCATGTATTTGTACGACGCTGTTGCATTGTTCACCTGATAATATTTCCATCCTGCCCTTGGGATTACGGTCGGGTGTCTGCTCAGGCTATGTTCTCCAAAATGGTCAGCAAAGACTAACATGCAGCGCGTCGATATAGACCTTCACAAAACCGCCCTGAACCATTCTCGTATCCTAATATATACACTTGATTCTGTGAGGAAAATTCTACTTCGGTTCACCATCTTCCACAGTTTGGTAGAAATCCCTAGCGATCCGCAACTGTGCCTCTCTACCCGTTTCATTTTGGGTGTCCGGGATAGCACGAATGACCAAATATTTGCGGCCTGTCAAGACATCTAGCGTGACCTTGAAAGGATCAATGCTAGAGCCAGCAGATGTTGCGGCGGCCAGAGCTGCATGGGATCCAACCACTACACCACCAGCTTCCTGGACAATGACGATACCGGCCTTATAGAACAGGTGAGATGGATATATCAGCATATACAAACAGTTACTTACGCAAACATCCCATGGCCTTGTCGAGTATCAACGTGATGATCGTCATAAAGTATAGCCCACTCACCAGCAACCGATTTCCCTAGTAGCCACATCGTGTCAAGGAAACACGTTGTGTCAGAGTGTGTGACACGTGCAATAAAACGGCTCACCAGTATAAGTCTAGGCCACCTTGAGCGACCATCGAGATATTAAGCGCTGCACTGCCCAGGGACCGTATAGAATGAGCCATCCGTCCTCCTGCGATGCCATCTGCAGGATCGCCCGCAAGACGCAAGAATGAGTCTGATTTTGGTACCAGGAAATTTTTGCTACGGTCGGAGCCCCATTCGATGGCTGGGAAAGTGAATATGTATTCCCATGCATGACACGAGACGTACCTATAAGAGCCTTCTGCAAGGAGGGGAGGGGCTTGGGGTTGGTGAGGGGTAATTTTAGAGGCTGGCTATTTCCACGGGTGAGGAATGATCCTTGGCCTTCAATCCCGGTGTACTTGACATAAGGGTTAGAGGCTGACTTCGATGTCACTGAGTGTTATAGTGCGTACGAGGTGGTCTAGGAAGGGGTTGTATATAACACCTAAAACGGGCCGCTTTTGGTAGATCAGCCCAAGAGAAATACATGCGAATGGGAAGCCGTGGACAAAGTTCGTTGTGCCGTCTGAAAGTCACCGTCAGATCCCAACAAACTAAATAGGAGATCGTAGCTCACCGATCGGATCAACACAGAATGTCGGCTCATCCGTGAGCTCATTGCGTGTTCCAGAGGAGTATGATTCCTCTCCGATGCTATAATAACACGGATCGATCGGCATTATTCGGTTGATGCGTGGATTATAGACTTACAACTTGAAGCTGGGGTAAGCCTTGGCGATTTCGCTATTCACGAGCTCCTCCACAGCAACATCGTATTCAGTAACCAAGTCGACAGAATTCTTCTTTGTATTGACGTCCGAAGTTGACTGAATGGCCTGTGAGCCTTCAAGAATCAATGTACCAGCAGTGCGGGCGAGCTTGACGGTGAAAGTCAAGATAGAGCGCAGGTCGACGGGCTTCAATGTTTGTGTATCGGCTGACATGGTGGTCGAAAGCAAGTGGAGTGCTTAGCGCTCAGCGCTGAATACTAAGCCGATTTGCCAGCTGAACGTTTCGCATTTCTTCTGAGAGATCTATTGATACCATGAAACTTGTAGCTAACTACAACTGATAATTTGCTGCGTGCTGGAGTTGAGGTTGATATGTAGCTGCCGCCTGAATGTGTCGACGATGGTGATTAGCCGAGTTGCAATGGAACTATCCAATATTCTCATCCAAGCTCGGCTGGACACCAAATCATAGCAAGAGGTAGTCTGGATTCAGTCAACCTAATTTTCAATCTGGTGGGAGGTCAGGCTGGTCAAGCCTCTAATAGAGCTAGGAACAAAGACAAGCGCGCAAGGCTACGCCAATGCGCAAAACGGAAACTGTTTCCCACATGCCAACTTGACCGACGCGCGTCGACAAGATGTACTTAACACAGAATCCCTCATACTTCCACTTCTCTGCACCCTATAAACCATGTTCTTGACGCGTTCTGAGTACGGTATGTTCATTCTGACGGCTCGACATCATCATGTGATAGAGCTCATCGTATTTGCAGATCGAGGTGTCAACACATTCTCCCCGGAAGGTCGACTGTTCCAAGGTACGTCAGACAACTTTGGTGTCCTGAAATTGTTCTGAAAGGATGCAGTCGAATATGCTATCGAAGCTATCAAGGTACGCATTACATCGTGCAGCATGACTACACATCTCATCTTCCCCAGCTTGGATCGACAACAGTCGGCGTACGCACTCCAGACGGCGTAGTCCTCGCAGTAGAGAAGCGCGTCCAATCCCCACTCCTAGAATCAAGCTCCATCGAGAAGATTATGGAAATTGATACCCACCTCGGATGCGCAATGTCCGGCCTCACAGCTGACGCCCGGACGATGATCGACCACGCACGCGTCACAGCCCAGAACCACGCCTTCACTTACGACGAGAAAATCAAAGTGGAGAGTGTAACTCAGGCTGTGTGTGATCTGGCGTTGCGATTTGGTGAGAGTGTGCATGACGAGGAGGCGATGATGAGTCGGCCGTTTGGTGTTGCGCTGCTTATTGCTGGTATTGACGAATTGGGACCACAACTGTGAGTGCGAATCGAGTCGGCCCCTTTGTTCGACCTGATCCTTTTGCGGATTCTTGGTAGATACCATACGGATCCCTCGGGCACCTTCATGCGGTATAATGCAAAAGCCATTGGGTCAGGGTCAGAAGCAGCACAAAGCGAGCTACAAGACAAGTGGCACAAGGTATAATCCCCGCCTCTTGAACGTGTTATTCGGTATTCAACACACCATTGGACAGCAAATGACGTTGCTTGAGGCACAAAAACTGACGCTACGAGTTCTAAAGCAAGTCATGGAGGAGAAACTAGACCACCACAACGTCCAGTTGGCACAGGCATGTATTTCCCAGGTTCTTCTACAAATCTTCACAACTAACATTGATTTCGTCACAGGTCACGCCACAGAAAGGTTTTGCGATATTAGACGAAGTACAACTGAAGGAAATTATTGACGCCATGTAATGATTCAGGTAGATGACAATATTAAGACAGCCTCGAGACATGTCTTTGCTAACATTTGTTGCCCGCAAAACCTGGTCGACCTACCTGTTATACAAATGGGGACAGCATGATTGTGACTAGCACTGTGAGTACTAGTCGACTGAAAGAACTGAGAGGACAAGAGTAGCGTCTATGAACGAGTGAGAAGCATCGTAACATTTTATGACAACGAACGTGCGTGCGGTTGGCCTTTGGCAGTAGCGGACCTGCGATCCAACGCAACGACAATAGGAGTGACTCAAATGAAGCCTTTGATAATCCCAGGTAGAATTGACAATATTAACGCCCCTGGCATTTCGTCGCATTTGAGTGAAGGGTAAGAGTAGTCGAACGTTAATACTTGTATGAAAAATCTAATTAGCGGAAGGGTATGGTAAATCTGTACTACTACTAAGTCAACAATCGTAATGCTGGACGCATGGTATACAATCTGAAAGGTCTGAAAATGAGATAGAAGAACAGTATTAGAACTCATGGGGGGATGCTTGGAACGAACAATTGCGAATAACAGACGAATAAAGAGAGGGCATAATAGTACGCGGATAATGTAGTAATCCGTCAAAGGAATGATTTTGGGCGCCTCAGGAAAAGAGCGTTAAGAGGCGTTACATCAAATGAATGTTTTTTAAGTTTACTGTAATGATGATATCTCGTACTGGAACAAAGCGGTAAGTGATCAGCCCTTGAAGACAACACCTCACGAACCATTCTGTATGATCGTGGCTGTCCGCCTGGTGTCAGTGACTGACGTGAGGTGAACTATTGTGCGGTGTTAGAAGGGGATCATCCAATGTTGAAGTTCACCTACTCTTGAACTCCCTATCCTTGTTCGACGAGAATGTTTGGTGAATGCTTCCGAACTTGTTGTAAAAGTCTGCATGGAACCACTTGAGAGGTGGACCTGATAGAAAGCACCACTACCACCTACATGAAGATACGTTTTCGTAATCATTTGGTCTATCACCATAGCGTGGCATATGATGGCTAAGACGGACACCGCTCTTGAGCTTTGCCTAAAGTATCATCAGCATCATCATCGCCTTCGCTTACCGAACCAATAACAACAGACCTGCAAAAGATCGACCTTGTTTAGGAAAAGAATGATGCTGACGTGTGCAAGAAGTTTGTTCGATACGACAGATTTCCATTCCTGCAAGGAATCTTCTAGTCTGTTCACCTCCGGGTCCTGTATACTGCATCAGTACGTCACGTAGATGTAAGCAATCAGTGGCTGACCTCTGCTAATACTTGATCGAAAGCCGAGATGGGCGCCAGAAAAATAATCGCATTTACTGCATGGTGATATCAATGAACGATCATCATCATCATCGAAGAACAAGTCATATAATTACCATCTTCGAAGTAAGGCGCCCAGGCATGCCGTTGATTTCGGGCACCTCCTACGTCGTAAACTTTCCATGTTATGAACCGGCGCTGGGAATCAGCAATTGAGAAAGAGTGCTCGACGACGCCCATGGTCTTGAGCCGGGCTTTCAAGACATCCTCTAAACATAATATTGTTAGAAATGGCATGTTTTTAGACAGCCAATTGACCTACGGTCGCTCGGAAAATACCGTAGAGCGGTGATGCGCGATATCTCGTCCAAAAAGCTGTTTGTTGTCAAGAAAAAAATACAATATCAGATACAAAGCACCCACAAGCCACTGCCCTCTTCTACTCTGATCCGTTTCTCCCGTAGGCGTTGCTTGACACTGGGGTCTTTCCATAATGCCAGCATCGGCTGAGCACAAGAATTGAGAACATGAACAGGGTCGCTTGGATCGTCCCACCAGCCCTCAATCTCATTTGTGTGTGCACTCTTAGGACTCTTGATCCTATTACCGAGGGAAAAGGCCTTTTTCCAGTTCGAGGTATGATGAACGCTGACTTCCGCATTCTTTGATTTAGACGAGCTGTTGCTTGACCCACCAGGAGAAGGGAGGCTCGTTGAAGGCGAAAGCGGGGAAAGCGGGGATGAATTCCGTGATGGGGGTATAGTAATGAATGGCGCAGGTCGGCCATTCTTGCCGATAGTAACATGGGTATTAGAGTTACCATTTGCATAGATACTCCAATCAGGCTTTGAAGGGGCAGTGTGGGTAGGCTCGTCTTCATTCGGAGATGACAGCATTCGGATCAAACGTTCCTCCAGCTCCCTCAGAGGTTCCAAAGCGCGGCGATATTGGGGGTACTTTGGGACCCTAGTCGCAGGAGCCGCAGAAGACTCGCGAGGCAAGGCGACTACGCAACCAGACGCAGTCTCCTGATCCTCTGCATCGTCTGGTTGGTCTGATTCAGGGGAGACAGCATCAAGGATGCTGGAATTGAGCGTCGTTATCACAATATGCCACTAGATTCGCAGTGGTAACAGGACTCACCGGCGAACGGATCGCACGAGGTTAAGATATATTACAGCTCTCCATGCGATTCGGTCAGCATGGAAGGCAGCAGTCGCATGCATCAATTGAAATTCTGGATGAGATATGAGTCAGTGCGGCCCAGACATGTGCAATGCGTAAACACTGAGGAGTGCGGTTTCATGAAATATATAGTATTGCAGGAACGAAAACCAACATGAAGGTTCTTTCGACCAAGTACACCTTCGTGCTAAGAGATTTCCACTCGATAGAATATAAGATGCCAACATGCTGTAGTGAAAACCAACAACACGTCTGGAGACCGCGACAGCTTATTATGTTCGCAGCTCGGTTCCGCACAAAAACGAAGAGACGAAGCAGAAAGCTTGGATGACTCACGTTTCAAAGTTGTGCTCTTGCCGCTCTCACTCTGTCCCAGAAGCAAGACCTTAATTTCAGGTTTTGTCCTCTTCTCTTTCTTCTCTGCACGGAGCATTTCATCGATTCCATCGCTCACCCGTTTAGCCTCCGACTCTGCTTCCAATCTCCTTTCACGATCTGCAGCACTCTCGTTCGGAGGGGGCATAAGCGCAGCAGCCAGTGGATCGGAAAAGGATCGGCGTCGGTTTGGCTCCAAAGGCCGAGCCATTGTCTTGGACGACAACAAGACGGGCGCAGAGACAAGGATGGTCTAAAGAGAAAGCCGAAAAACCTAATCGTGCTTGAGAACTGGTTTTTATAAGTGCAAGAGGCTAACAAGAGGCTAGTCGCGACAAGCGCTTTCCAAAAGAAGGTTCTGCCTGGCACGTGGAGGCCTTTTTTCTGAATTTTCTCTTATTTTGGCTGTCAATATTGTCTTGTCACGGCCGCAGGGCAATGCTAGGGCTACCTTTGCTTCCTGGGCGATATTAAGTCGAAATATCTGCTTTGATGAACGGGCTCGCCGTCACTGAGCCAGGATCATGCTACCGCCGCGGAGAGCTTCACGGGGTATACTTACCTGTCAATTTCTAATATTTTACCATTTACATAGGAAATGTCCGACCGCCGACTGTCAAAGTCTGTCACCTCGGTCTCTTCAAAACTCCCCGATATGCCCTTTACGCCTGAAGATATGTTGTATGGGAAAAGCCTCCTGCCGAGCGATTCAGAAGGACTATGCAGCCGCTATTTCTCAATTCCGTGCTCCAAGGGAGCCGCTGTCGATAACTTTAGAACCATCGTACTAAGTATCTTCTCTCTTTACCGAAAGCTTATCGGTTTCATGAGGTCTTCTAAGGTGGGTTTATGACACCAGGGACTGCTTCAGCGCTTGAACCAAACGTAAAATTCTTTTGCGAAGGCGTTAGGACAATGCAGACCGTCCACAGGCACGAGATTTTTTTGCATCAATGTGCCTACCCGCCATGCTGATCAGTCTTCTCACAGCAAGACCGCTCCACGTACGGCACCGCAATTCCAACGCTCTCATATTGTTTTGATAAATCGATTGAATCAATGCAAAGAACCACCTGGTATTGAAATTGGAGCCTCGAGGCGGGTTTCGGTTTCGCAGAAAGACCGGTTCTTCGCGAAGATCACTTAACTCAGGCTAGTACCGGCGTAGAGCATTATTAGATGGCACTTATGCAATCTTTGGCTGTACTCTTATTTTAGTTCACTCTTTTCTTCACGTGGTTGTTGCTGCTTTTCTTGGTGGGTATCAGAAGGTCTTATTTCGTCAACCTCAGCTGACAACTGTCGTACGACGGTAGCTCTCAACAGGCATCCTCAATGATAACACCCTCCCAAGCTTCTAACTCTCCTTTAGCCTTTCGAAGACAAGCGCATCACTTATCTGTTTACATGCAGTAATAACTTCTTACCTGACATCACGTTATTTGTTTTTTTTTTTTTGTTGTAGGTTCAAGTTCTTCCCTCGATGGCAATGTATTGCTGTCCTGCTGTGCCAGTGGCATATGCATCACGATGTTGATCTCAATTCATCATTGCCACGAATTTACATGCCTGCGATTCTAAAGCGTGCCGACTAGCAACTCACGCCTCAAGACCTTCCTATTGGACGTAAAAGTTGACTGCCAGACATCTTGGCGGCACCGGTATCCCGTTATACGAACAAGACAAAATTGGGTCTACCCGTGGGCTAACTCATCAAATTTTCGAAACGTTGACACAGGGATCACTATCAAACGCCAACAGGAATGCTCACCATCAAGGGGCAACCGCAACAAATAGCCTACACCGCCCGCACTTTGTAGCTTGCTAAAGTAGATATTATCCCGCGAATGAATTGATATGCTTCCGCATTCTCGTTCCCGTTTTCCGTATGTCGATTCGAGAACCCCTCGCTCGCTCTGCATCTCTTGGAGGTGGCGCTTCCGGTCCTCTCCCCACGGGCACACCACCTGCGCCTACAGGACTGCCTAGCCCACCGACCCTGACTTCATCTTCCAGCCACTCATCAGATCAGACAACTCCAACTTCACCCTCTAGCTACTCATCGGACGGGACCCAAAGCACAAATCAGCAGAATACACAATCATTATCAACTCCGTCATCCTCGCCGACGGTACGGAGCACCCTTTCGTTTTCGGAACATATAGTCTTATTCCATCACAGACATCCGGACAAACCCCCAGCGCCTCGATAAGCACGACATTCTCATCGTACGTTCCCGATCACTTTACCACATTCACAGCAATCAGCTGACTTTCTCACATGAACGTCATAAGGTCACAGTCAGACGGCACGTCAACTAATTATAAGGGGTCAGAACCGAGCACGGATACGTTAACATCCCTTTCGCCTTATTCACAATCATCGATGAGCACTGGTGGAGGGGGACCGACAGATGGACCACCGTCAGGTGGCGCAATAACCACTTTATCGCCACTTGGAGACACAGGCGGGACATCTTCTCAATACAGTCCTACTACTTTCGGCCCTGCATCTAGTCCCTCACCTCCTAGTAAGGATTCTGGGTCTGGTTCGGGAGATCTTCCTTCAATAACACTGCCGACCTCGCCACCTTCAATTATACCGACCTCACCACCCTCAGCTATATCCACATCGCTACCTTCAGTCATACCGACCTCGCTACCTTCAGTCATACCGACCTCGCTACATTCAACTTTACCCACTTCGCTACCTTCAGTCATACCGACTTCGCTACCTTCAGTCATATCGACTTCGCTCCCTTCATTCATATCGACTTCGCTACCTTCATTCATATCGACTTCGCTACCTTCAGTCATACCGACCTCGCTCCCTTCAATCATATCGACTTCGCTACCTTCAGTCATATCGACTTCGCTACCTTCAATCATATCGACTTCGCTACCTTCAACCATATCGACTTCGCTACCTTCAACCACACCCACCTTGCTACCTTCAACCACACCCATCTCGCTACCTTCAATTATACCAACCTCGCCACCTCCGCCACCCACGAAGAAACCATCTGTACCATTGACCACGAGCCAGTCCAGTACTTTATCGGGGCAAGAGACAAGCTCCCAGACATCTTCACCCACGACCTCGCCAACTGTAGGCAATCCCACTACAACTTCTTCTACACCTAGCTCATCCGCAGATAAGCCGTCTACAACGCCAGACACAAATTCCACTACTCCGACGACTTCGCCAACTTCAACTCCGGGGCGACAGACGTCCAGCCAACAGACAACTTCACTTGCGACCTCACCAACTTCAGGCAGTCCCCAAACTACTTCTCCCACATCCGAATCTAGCACCGCAGAAAGTACTAATGGAGGAGGATCGTCATCATCTAGCTCACCGATACATACTGATTCAGCCACCTCTTCAACGCCCACTGCTACTTCTCAAACTACCACAGATACATCCGCGCCAACGACAACTTCTAGGGAAGGAGTTTTGCCATCTCTGCTTTCAAGCTTACTTCCATCGCCTCCAACTCATGAGCCAACCCAGTCCTCAGCTACAACGACATCTACTGATTCAAATCATTCATCCGATACAGTGGCTACCAGCGCGGCAACTCCCACCAGTTCACTTACAACAGATAGTCACACCGATACTTACGTGACCGCGCAATCTTCGCAGACCCATTCCTCTGATTCACCAGCTTCAACATTACCCACCACGGTCTCCGGAGGTTTTCCAACTACAGCGCCTGGTGCACAATCTTCCCAGGCACCGCAATCTCCCGGCGGAAGTTCCGTGAATGCTCCAAGCCCGACTGGAAATGGTGTCACAGTCTCGTCCGCAGGTTTGCCTACGCCCACTGGCAGTCCTGTGGGCAACCCATCTTCCACTGCTCCCACTGCCACGCGCACATTGTGAGTTTTATGAGCTATTGCCGGAATATGTTGACCTCATTATCTGATCCTAAGCCCTACGTCTATGCCGCCGCCCCAAAACTTGGAGGCCCCTTCGTCGAGCATCTCGAGTGGGTATACTTGGTCTTCGATCACACTTATTTCGACTGGCACTTCCACTTTTATATCCTACTCCACTTTTGGGACATCCTTAGTGCCCGAGACCACCGTGACATCGATTTCGACGTTTCCGGTTGTTGTCCCGACTCTAGTGCCAAAGTCGGGAGCCAGGTACGCTATTTCAATCGGTTTCACACTGTATATAACCCACCGGGATACAGGTCAAATGAAGCCCCCCGTCATTGGAGGGGTTGTGGGCGGCGTCCTGGCACTTTTGCTTCTTGTTATTGCAGCATGCTATCTCATCCGTCGCAGGCGGCGTTTGCGTACGCACCAGCAGCTTCATGACAGTGACCTCACTGCGCCACTCTCTCCAACGGTGGCAATGGCAATGCGCGAAAACCACCCTTATAGTCCTACGTACAGCTCTGTAGTAGGAGGCCAAGATGAGAGTGAGAGCCGTGGCGACCTACACCACGCCTCAGACTCCTTTGGTTCATCGGCCTTCCCTCACCCCTCAATTGCCGGTTCCCCGCATCAATTTTCTCGTAGTTCGACCGGCTCAGTATTGTACGAGAATCTTGACAGGGAGTCAAACGATGGCGACGTCTCTTCAGATGACGACTCAGATGGCACAGAGAGAGATTTTGCGAGCGCGGAGAGTTTTTACTCGTCCGACCATGGGCAGTCTAGCTTGCGCGGCGGTATCGGTATCGCGATCGGGTCTCAATCGAGCATGGATCTCCACTCATATCATACTGCCGCTACCACGCTTGTCGCGGGGGCCCACGCTGTGGTGGACAATGACGAAGAATACGATAGCCCCGGACCAAGTCCTTCGGCATTCCCCGTTCCCCCCGCCTCCATGAACCCGTTCCACGATAGCGCCCGAGTCGTTGATCTTTCCAATTTTGTGGCCTCTCATACGGCATCACAAAGCCGCGAAGCGGTGTCAGCTTCGTCACACACATTCTCGGAGCAACAAGCGTCTTGGGCGGCAGCTGTAGCAGCTGCAAGCCCTGTAGATGCACCCACGCCAATAGCAACTCGGAGCCTCAATGCTTTTATGGATGAATACGACGATGATCCATCAAACCAGGACCCCACGACGCCTACGCAGTCGCGTCCCCTAGTTACGCCATTCGATGATTCGTCCTTCATCGTCAACCCGTTTTTACGTGAAACGTCCCAGGAAGGGTTTAGCGACGATTCTGAGGGCAGTGACAGCCATGAGACTGCTTCCATTGCGTACCCGTATCCGTTTGAGTCCAGGGATAAGGGGAAGGGGAAAGAGCTGCTGTCTGCTGACTTGGGGGATGATCCCAAGAATAACAGATTATCGAATGCTAGCTCCGGTCTTGTGTTCCCCGAGAATCCAGTAAGTACTAAAACAGTTTTGGTGAATCGCATCACTGATGAACAATGTCTTCAGTCGCAGTGCGGTCTTGCACTCTAAACAGAGAACAGTATTTATTGTTTGACTCACGTCTTTAGCAGACAGACTTTTAACCCATTGCACGTCATTGGACAATCTCATTCCTTAAGCTTCGGCAAAGTATTTTTTATGATTATGGACGTGAAGATTGTGACATTTCCCGCAACTCAAAATTCCAATAGAGTACACTGCACATGTACAAAACGTTCGGAACGTGTTGGAACGGGCTCTGTTAGTTTAAAACCGATACTAATGAATCTAATTACCCACCATCAAGACCGGCGAAGTAAAAATTTGAGCGAAAACTGTTATATTGTGATCTTCCATAAGGGTGCAGAGCTCGAGGGCACGAGGACATAGTTGTGCATGGGATTGTGTGAAATTCAAAATCTCATGCACAACTATGTCCTCGTGAAATGCCCGTGCTCAAGGGGTTTTAAAATACGCACAGGTAAAAATTGTTCAACACCGTGACTGTGAATGTCTAAGATCCACCTGATCGCTCAAAGACAAGGAGAAACCAGAGGGTCGAAGATATCAACATTGAGAGACAGAAACGACGACGTTGTAACTGAAAACCTAGGGCTGCTATGCAGGATTTAGTTAGAGGGTTCAAATTGTTCAACGGAAGAGTCGAACTTCCAAGCGTGACATGAAGCACGCATATGTCACACGTGACAAGACGCGTCTTGTGGATATCCGCGACGATGAGCATCATCCCGAATCCTCCGCGCTGGCAAGCTAGCGCTGATCCTGCATCCATAGATGTTCCAGGTCTCGACACCAATGCATCTGTCAATGACCAGATTGATCAGATTGAACAGCTGATAACTATTAAACTTCAGGTTGTCCTAATTATGTGCTTCCTACCGTCTAACACTGATCAAGTCATTAGAACATCGACACAAATTTCTCAAAGATTCAGAATATAATGGCCACAAAGTTGCTACCAGCTGTGAAGCGGTATGCCGTGAGCACTGAACCCGTTCGTGAAGCTGCAAAGGTAAGTTTGATCTGTCCTGTTTTCTCGTTGATGAAACCTACCATGTGATCTCAGTTCTGGACATCGTTTTACGAGAAGGCCGCGCAAGTACATATTCCTACATATGATGACTACTCTTCTTTGCATGAACAACAGTCAGAAGCCACATCTCAGGCCGAAAGTTCCTCCGCCCGGCCCGACGCAGAGGAGACTTCTCAGTTCGACACCGAAGATGATACAACACCCTCCCATCCTCGCAATCGCACTTACGATCCAAATTCTACAGCATCTGAGTCCTCTTTCATGCCATCGAATGCAGTATCATCTACCCCGGCTCGTACTGGGTTTTCAGGTAATGATACGGTGGAAGATCAACCTTCTTGGAGCGCATCGCTAGAATCTCCACTCGTGCGGCTTGATCGTGAGCTCCAGAACTTTACCCTCGGAGAGGACAGCAAGGCCTCAGCGGGCCAAGACGATACCTACAACAGCTTTGCTTATGAGGAAGAAAACACGGTCCAGCAATTTACGGATAAGGGAAAGTCAAGGGATTATCCACATGGGCAGTCTGTCTTGCAGGGTGCATCACGACCCAACCTTCCATCTTTGCGCGTTCCACCCAGTGCGCTCCCTACCCCTCGTGGCCTCCCAGCTAGCGCAAGGGTATCTCCACTGAAAGTTAAGCCAAAGACACCCGTAGCAATCCCACAACATCTACACGCATACCTCCCTCCGCGAAATCATCCAGACCCTCCACTGCCATCGCCTAGGAAGCGACGATATGAGCGCTCTCCGCACAAGCCATACCCCCCGTTGTCATCCACCTCTAACTCGTCATCTACGCTAGATATACCCTCTCTGACGAGACCATCCGATGATTCAAATAGATCCTTTGATCAGTTCAATGACTCATTCGATGACTCGGCAGAACTCATGCGTGGTCTTTCACCACCGCGGACTGTGGCATTTCCGCGTGGTCCGAGGTCTAGTGTTGGACTGGGCCTGCTACCACCACTTGGTCGGACACCAGGCAAGGACTTGCACCATGCATTGGGAAGAACACCCGGGAAGGAAGCTGCAGAGCGTATACGTCGCGACCTTCTCGGAGATGTTCAATCTGATCACAGTTCCGTCCGAAGTAGTGCCACCGTAGACCGGTTTGGTGGCTTCAAGAAATTTGGCTACTCCAATCCAGATGGCATGGAAGATACCATGTCTACGATCCCCACCCCACCATCTATAACACGATATACCCGCCATGCTTACCCCTCTGGGTACAGCAGCAATGACCCGAGCGCGAGTTTTGCAAGCCTAATGCGCAGGACAGGACTCGGCATACCCGAATATGCCTCTACGTCAAAATCACATTCTGTCGTGTCTCCCCAAAGTCTCGAAACAGCACGGCTTGCCCCTCCTTCTCAACCACAAGCCCTCCATACCCCCGATCCTTACCCTGACCTTTTCCATTTCCAACAAGGAGATCCCAACACACTGCAGCCGGATGATCAGCACCCAGACTCTGACTCTGATTCAGACTCTCTCGGCGAGCCTGCACACCCAGGCCAGCCATCGACTGCGTTCCTCATGGCCTCCGCACGCAATCAAGACCCAGATGATTCATTCGGCTCGTCAAATTCAAATCACTCCAGCGACTCGATCGGAGGGGGTTTTGGTGACGAAGGCGGTGCGGTGCATCCGTTTGCGCGCGCCGTGGAGGACGAGGGAGATGGATTTGACGATAGTTTTGATTCTGTTGATGATGATGGTCAGAGCTTGGAGGTACAGGAGGAGACTGTATTTGGTATCCCCCCTGCGCAGCGCAAGCACGGGAGAGGTCCAAGCGAGCTCAGACTTCTTGGGGAGGATCTTTTGCAAGATACTATTGGTATTGGAAGTCAGCTGGCGAAGGCAGGGAGAGTGGAGGAGAGTCCGACACCATACGGGAGGTAGTTGAGCGTGATTGTGTTATCCATCATAAATACAAGCTTGCTTCATACACGTCGAGGCTCATGACTAGCTGCAGGTCCCCGAGGCTCAGTTAGTGTTTACTTGAAAAAGTATGTGGAAACGCCACAGTGCGTTTAAGTACTTTACTCCTGAATATCCATCGACTAAGATACAAATAATACTCGAATCATGCCTACTGTTCCTCTTCCTTAATGTCAACCAACTCCCGCCCTTCCTCCACCATCTCCCCCTTTGCACACCCTACCGCACTCACAACACCCGCTACCTCAGCACGCAACACAGTCTCCGTCTTCATACTCTCCAAGACCACCACCGGCTGACCCTTCTCAACGCGATCGCCGATGCTGACTTTCACTTCTACTACTAAACTTGGCATCGGTGCGCGCAAGGCACCCTTGGATGCGGTGAGAACATCCTGGCCGAGGGAGAGCAGGTATGCAGGAGGTGCGACAGCCAACGTAGTCTTGGTTCCCGACGCTGAGAACACGTGTAGGCGTTCCATGGTGTTCGTCGCGCGTGACGCAGGAAGGGAAGGAGCAGGGCGCTGCGACACGATCGTTATTTCGGTCGAAGCTCCGTTAAGCGTCGTGCTCAATGTTGTAGGTGAAACCAGGCGTGCTGAGACACCTGTGAATGTCTTTGGTGTGGCAGAGTGAACAGCTATGTCAAATTGGCCTGAAGAGATGGATTTGAGAGAAACTCGGGTGGGCTCTGCGGATGCATCATCGGGCTGGATGGAAATGGTACGCTCGTAAACATCTCCGCCAAAGCGCCTTGAAGTCAGCGTCGTCCACGGCGTCGCAAGGCTTGTAGACTGAATCGGATACTCTCGTAGTGCGACAAACAACGTTGCTTGTGCCATTAACTCGGCTGAGGGACTTTCGACAGCTGGGAAAAGGTCTTCGTAGTGTTTCTAATAATGGGTCAATACAAGCCTGGACAAGGGCAGCGAGATAAACAGCAAACCTTGATGAAGCCGGTTTCAACCTCTCCATTGACAAATGCCTCATTACCAGCAAGCATTCTCAGGAATTCGACATTCGTCGAGACACCGACTACTTTATATTGTTCAAGTGCACGGCGAAGAGCACGAAGCGCAGAGGTCCTATCGCGTCCGTGTACCACCAGTTTGGCAATCATCGGGTCATAAAACACGCCGATCTGTGCGCCCTGCGTGAACCCTTGTTCTAAACGCATCGACGGTGCCACATGCGTTGAGGTATCAGGCGACCGCTTCACCGAGTCCAATTCTGAACACGAATCGGTGTGAGGGAGTGATGGGATAGGAGGAGCAAAGACATGGGTTGGCTTCGGGGTGTGAAGGTACAAGAGTGGCCCAGAGTCGGGTAGGAAATCGTTCCGCGGGTTCTCTGCATATATCCGCGCCTCAAATGCATGCCCGACGAGAGGAATTTGCGCTTGAGAAAGTGGAAGAGGATTACCAGCTGCAACTTCCAGTTGCCACTCGACAAGGTCAAGGCCAGTGACCATCTCCGTGACGGGATGCTCAACTTGCAGGCGGGTGTTCCTGAGATTTCGTGAGTGGTGTACGTATCCGTATAACTGGAAAGAACACACATTTCCATGAAGTAAAACTTCTCTGTATCGTTGTCGAAAATGAATTCGACAGTGCCAGCACCTACGTAATTCACGGCCTTTGCAGCAGCAACCGCTTTCGCGGATAAGTCTGCACGAAGATCGGGGCTCAAGCCAGGCGCCGGGGCCTATCGGAAATTTTTGATTTATACGCTTTCGGTACAACTTTCAAACCTACCTCCTCGATAATCTTCTGGTTTCTCCTTTGAACAGAACAGTCTCTTTCCCATAAACTCACGGTGTTCCCAAGCGTATCCGCAAATACCTGCACTTCAACATGTCTGGGACGCTCGATGTACTTCTCAACGAGCACATCTGCATCACCGAAGCTTTTCAAGGATTCGCGCTGTGCGCTAGCGAGAGCATCCTTGAACTGGGATGGAGACGACACGACACGCATGCCCTTGCCACCGCCACCATGAATGGCTTTGATCAAGACTGGGTAACCTGTGTAACACAATGTACTCGGCGGGAGGTTCCGGGGAGAGCATGGAAGAGGAGGGTACATACCGATCTTCCCGGCTTCTGCGAATAATAGGTCAGCGTCTTGGTTCACGCCGTGATAACCCGGCACACATGGAACGCCAGCAGCTGCAAAAGAGTTGAATATCACGTTTCCAGGAGCTCTTTCTACGATCTGTCGTACCAGACATGATGTTCTTAGACTCGCTGAAGGAGCATTAGCTCTATGTTAGCATCGAGGGTACTTGAACCGACCTTTTTGAACCCATACTGACTATAGCATTGGAGGGAGGCCCAATGAAAACGATGCCCTCTTCTGCTAGTCGCTCTGCGAACTTTGCGTTCTCGCTCAAGAAGCCGTAGCTAACAAGAGTATCAGCTTGCAATGCATAAATGGGAATCATAATCTATGCACCCCGGATGGACAGCCTGTGTTTCGCATAATGCAAGTTCAAGTCAAGCTCCGTCTCACATGACAGAACTTGAGACTGAACCGACCTGAGCTCCGCTTTGACGACATACTTCTATAATCTTGTCCATGCGTAGCTGAGTAAACCAACGTCAGAAGAAGACTACTAGATCAACGGAATTATAACGAACATAGCTCTCAGATGACGGCGCAGGGCCAATGCAGTAGGCCTCATCTGCTTCAAGTACATGCAGTGAGTTTGCGTCAACTTCGCTGTATATTGCTACAGTCTTGATGCCTAGCTTCTTTGCAGTGCGGATCACGCGACATGCAATTTCCCCCCTGAGGATAGGTCAGGCGAGTTAGGCTAGAAGAAGCACTGAAACGCTACCGGTTTGCTATCAGTATCTTGTCAAAGTGGGGCTTCCATTCGGACGACGGGGTATCTAAATGATATTAAGCGCATTTCATACTGATGAGGAAGACCGCGTACTCGAAACGGCAGTTGCAAATCTTCTCCGTGAAACAGTAGGATGTACCAACATTCTAGGTTGGTATGCCATTGCGCCGATCACAGAAGCCTTCGTTTGCAATGTCCGTGCATATTTCGTGCTGCTGCTCACATCTGTGGCCAACAAGGTCCGTGGAATGGAATAAACATGGGCAGAAGAGCGTAGGAGAGAGGAGGCTGCTGCTCGATTTGTGGGTATCATTCCGTGTGTTGCTTTAAGCTCTTAGATCTTGAACGCAACTTCAATGAATGGATACTTACTAACTAACAGGACTCGGGCCCGGCAGTCGGAACCTAGAACTTGAAGGTCCTTCCGCGAACTGGTCACGTGGAAAAGCATTTGTTCGTCTAAGTACTGTCGGCGGCGCCGCGGTGCGGCACGATTCGAAATTTCTCACAGCCTAATTCTTCTTCAACTTACCATCTCATCATCCCAGCACATCCTACTTTTGCCAAGTGAATCAAATCTCGGTCAAACCCAAGGCGAAGGCGACTGCATTGGTTTCATGCTAGCCCGAATCCTTTGTCCATCCAGATCTAGAGCACATCCAAGATTTTTGCATATATTACAGGGTTCCGTGTCCTTTAAATTGACCTGCGCGATGTCTCGTCGCCCAATCTCAACGTCACCAACCCCTGGGCCTCAGGACGATTCAGAGCGGCCACCAAAACGTCCGCGAATAGACCATCTTACACCAGATTCCTTCAGAAATGGTATATTCCTCGCACCAATGGTTAGATCTGGTGCTCGTACGTGCCGATTCTGTACCTGCAGTCCGATCCGAGTTAATGCGTTTTTGATAACAGTGCCAACGCGATTAATGGCTCTCAAGTATGGCGCGACGCTTGTTTGGGGCCCCGAAATGGTAGACAAGGCTATACTACATGCAGAACGCGAGGTTGACCGTAAGTATGACCCACATCTCACTTCCACTGATCGGCTGATTTTCCTCAGCTGTTACCGGTGTCATCTCATACAACGGCAAGACTCGTGCCATGTTCACGACCCATCCTCTCGAGAAACCATACCTAGTATACCAAATCGGCTCCGCCGACCCCGAGCTAGCAGTGCAGGCTGCCAAAACAGTCATGCAGGACGTTTCAGGCGTTGACCTCAACTGCGGGTGTCCGAAGCCCTTCAGCACACACGCTGGCATGGGTGCGGCTCTCTTGACGAATCCGGATCTTCTTTGTGGAATACTGGAGGCTTTGAGAAGGGAATTGCCCAGGGAAATCAGTGTATCGGCGAAGATCAGACTACTTTCAACTCAGGAAGAGACGAAGAAGCTGGTAGAAAGGATTGCAAGGACAGGTGTGGATGCGATCACAGTACACTGTCGGACAAGGAACATGAGGCCGAGAGAGCGAGCATTGGTTGATAGGCTGAGAGAGATCGTTGAATTTGTTCATGGGTTGGGTTTGGACGTGGCGATAATTCAAAATGGAGATTGTACAGGAAGGGGAGATGCAACGCGCATTAGAGAACTCACCGGTGCGTTTACTTGTGGAAGTTCTGGTACACATATTCTTATACATTGTTCAGGCGCAGACTCAGTCATGATAGCAACTTCAGCAGAGTCAAATCCATCGTGTTTCTCTGCAACACCCCTTCAAGATGTTGAGTCAACACTTTCACCTTCGTATCTGCGCCTCTGCAAATACTTGGATAACCACTGGGCCGCTACGAAATTTTGTGTCGCTCAATTCAAGGGTACACGCTCTGCGCTTTCAAAGACTGACGCACACGAGGTGAAGTCAAGGATAGCGAAAGCCAAAGGATATGAAGACCTCGAGGATATTGTTGGGAGCTGGACGGGCGAGGAAGAATTCAAGGAGATTTCGAGGATTGTGGAGGCACGTCCACCACGGATATCCGCTGAGGCAGAGCAGGAAGAGGCAGAAGAAGATATACCCCCACCGTGCGCAACACCTCCTGATCGCCCCAATCCTGAGCCGCCGTTATCTGGCGCACCGAAAATGGGGCTTAGAATGCCTATGCCTGCGATCATAACAGGTAGTGATATGGTCTCACCTACACCCACTCCTGGTGGCATACGTTGAGGCTTCGTTACAATCATATTTTTAATACGTTATACGCATATAATTCATTGGTTGAAGCAGGTCCCAGATGTAAAGTAGTATCGAAGGATGCACTTTTAAATTCTAATAAGTGTGCAGCGCTCCCAGTTTCCTCCCCACTATTCCCGAACTGCCTGCTCTTTACGCCAGATAGGCGGTGATATTTTTGAATGCCCTTGAGTGCATACGGCTTATGGTGGACTGCGTCTGCGCACGGGTGTTTGAATGGGCAATGGTATGTAGCTGGATTCTGGTGGAATTACTCGGAAGACGAGGATCATCTCGTCACATCGAGCGAGAGGGCCTGCTCTCGGATTTTAATGCGCTTGAAGGCGCGTGGCGTAGACACTTCTACTTGGTACCGAAGATCTTCTTCAGCGCGCTCTTGCCCTGCTTCCTTTGCCCGTTGGAGGCGCCAAGCACCTGGCGGAACTCTGCGTACATGGTATGCGTTTCGCGTGGAGACTGTGGTTGAGCGAAGACAGCGAATACGTTTGAGGATGCGGGCGAGGAGGCGAAGAGGGAAAAGTGGGTGTTAACGTTAGGGGTGGTGTAAGACATCTCGAGGTGTTTATTGTTTAGAGAAGTGTGTGTGATTCAGATATTTAGTTCGGAGACTGAGGGCGCTAGTGCTGATGAATGGAGTGACGTTGAACATCGCGCTGCTTAAGTATCTGGGTGCTGGGTGCTTTGACGACGGAGTGTCGGGGAAATCAAGAGTGAGTGTCGACCGCCTTCGAGTAAAATAGCCTTGTAAGGAAATTATGGATTGCGAAGTATACATGGACCTATAACAATCTATGGAAAATCAAGCGAGAGGCGGCATCCATGGAAACGGTGCTAGAAGAGGAAATAAATGCTGCATTGTGTGTGGCAATTGCAGACAATGCGAAGGAGGTTGTTTGGAGATGTTTGGCAGCACCTTGCTAAATAAACAGGGCCAAATACAGCAGGCGGCAACGAAAGAATTATTTGAACTGGCCCGACGTCGACGTCGACGCAAAAGTGTGCGGGTATGATTCGTAGCACTCCTTATTCATGGAAGCACCTTGGTAAGTAGTCATTTCTTGATTTCACCGATCAGCTCGTGACTAATGGTTGCGAAGCTTGTAATAATATTGACGGACTTCGCTAGGCTGAAGAGAACGGGATACGTTATGGGTGGAGAGAATATATGCGATGCAATTGGACTCGGACAAGTATAAACTCGCATGACGGTATCCACCATCACGTATACTACTCTCCACATCGACAATCCAACTTACTGCCATGATGACATCGAAAACTCATCTTGCATTCGCAAGTACAGCCGTTGGCGTTACATCTGTTATTGAGATCCCAACACCATCTCCTGGACCCGGTGAGGTGATGGTAAACGTGGCATACAGCGCAGTGATACCCCTTGATACATACATGACCGATTATGGTCGACTGATACACGGTGAATATCCAGTCGTCTTAGGCTTCAATCTTAGTGGAGTTGTAGAAGCTGTTGGCTCTGGTGTGGATGGCCTGCAGACTGGGTACAAGGTGAGTATAAATATTTGTGCGAGATGAACGAACAAGTCTGATGCCCACCCCGTCTCCTAGGTTTGTGCATTTGCAACAATTCCCGACGACTTCATAACTGCATTCTACACTCTGTTCGATTGTTTAGAACTTCCTCCGCCAATGTTCACCATCTCTGCGCTAACTTCCCATGCAGAGACTCCGATCCTCGTTTATGGTGCGGGAGCTACGTCTGGTCAATACGCTGTTCAGCTGTTGTCCCTCGCTGGGTACAGGCGGGATTGCAACCGCGTCCCCTCGTCACTATTCCTACCTCAAGTCTCTTGGTGCAGCCCATGTCGTAGACTAAAGCACTGAGGATATGGCCAAGAAGATCCTGCTCGCTGCAGGCGAAAGTATTCAATTTGTTCTGGACTGCATCAGCGCTGAGGGCATGCTCAAGAGTATATCTAGCATCGTCAACTCCAATGGTATAGTAGCCATGCTATTGCCAGTGACGGAAGGCAGCAGGCATATTGCAGGGAAAGACGTGTAGATGTGGATGGAATTGCCTGTCGACAGAAACCCTTTCCCAGATTCGGTGAAGCTTGTAGGTGCGAAGACTGTATCAAGAGGTGAGTATCTAATAAGTTGGCGCAAAACGAGTACCTTCGTGACAACTTGATGCCGAATATACTTCCTCGACTGTTGGAGGAAGATATCATTCAACCAAACCGAGTTTGCCTATTTGATCAAGGATCATTTCAAGATCGCTGCCAGGGGGCACTTGATGTAGTACGGAATGGACAAGTGAACGGAGAGAAAAATCTTGTGAAAGTAGCATCCATGTAATCCTGTATATATGGACTGTCGCCGATCAACGCAATCTTATCTTATCATTCTCATGGTATACGTAGCACTTGTGTTGTTCTTGTTTCGAACGGTCATTTTCGGGAGTATCGTAACTATCGTGTGGTTAAATCGAATCGATTGATGTTGGGTGCGATCCGCCTATCAAGATCTTTCGTTCTCCGTCACGCTGGGCCCTCCTGTTGTAGGACAACCACACTTCGTCTCCCGCAACACCCCGCTTTTGCACTCGTTGTCAGAACAAAGCAACAAATGTCTACGATCACATCCGTTTCGACGTCCAACGCGCCCTCAGCCATTGGGCCCTATTCCCAAGCCATCAAGGCTGGCGAATTCGTGTTTGTTTCGGGTTGCATTCCTCTCGTACCTTCCACGATGCAGATCGTCGAAGGCGGTATCGAGGAGCAGACCAAGCAGGCCCTTACAAACCTCAAGGCTGTTCTTGAAGCCAGTTCCAGTTCAGTTGGCAAGGTCGTCAAGACTACGGTGTGTCATTCTTCACTGAGACAGTCGTCTCCGAGTCGAATCTGACGGATGTGTGGATAATCATTCATTACATAGGTGTTCCTGAAAAACATGGAGGACTTTGCCACCGTCAACAAAATTTACGAGGAATTCTTTAGCAGCTCGGAACACAAGCCGGCACGTTCAGCTGTCGAAGTCGCTCGACTTCCGAAAGATGTTTTGTTCGAGATCGAGTGCATAGCAGGTTAGTCTCCCAAATGATGTCTTTGCAGTTGACTACTAACGCGCCATTCATCAGTGGCAAACAAGTGATTCACGGCTCTTCACGGCGAGGAGCATCGTGACATTAATACGTAGAAAGACGGCTGGGATCATCATAACATCGTCGAACACACGTGCAACGGCAGAAACTCACTGCGCAATACCATCTCAAATTGACGCATAGCCAGATTGGTTACGACACAGCTGCTGTGTTGAAAACCCATCTCGTTTCTTAAGTATATTGTGCAAGAGTTTATTCTCCCCTGCTACATGATCCAATGGCAGCGTGGTCTTAGAAGAAAGCATCATGAGGTGGATGATATTGGTGGGGTCAAAGTCCCCCGAGTCCCTAAAGCTGCTTAGCGGGCCATTCATTATTTCCTGTGTCCTCTCGTAAAGTTCATGTGATCCAAGACAGTTCAATTGTAAGCTTTACACATGTAATTTCCACGGACACTCGGAAAGGACTTGACACATACTTATAGCACGAAGAGGCGTGCTTTTGCTTGCACCATCAGAAAGGAAGCACCGCTACTAGTTGAGAACCTTGTCTTAGACGCCAAAAGGACTCATTCCGGAGCAAGGACACACCAATGAGGCTTCCCCCTATACGTGTGTTTTGAGTGCCCATCAGTACGCCTCGCCCATCACCTCTCTAATTGATTTTCAAAGATATCCTCAAGGTTCGATTTGCTCCAAAAAGCGGTAGTAGCGTTAATCTAAATTTTTCCATGCGGCGCAGCTGCCTAAATCAGTGATACGCAGCAAAAGTCCTGTGATAGGCTGTATTGTATCTGAAGGTGCATGCCGTATCGATCCTGCTATTCAGGTTCTGAAGCTACCGAAATGTTGGCATCATAGATTGATCAGTTTACCTGCCCTGGGGGAGGCGAGGAGGCCTAAATGGCACTCCTCCGAAGTTCATTACCTTGGACAAACACTCTGCACCTTGTTGGGGTCTATCTTGACGTTGACCCTGGTTCCACAACCCTGGGAATCCGATGAAGCAATATTCCACATAACGTACATGTACTAGAGCACGTAGGTATACTGGGTGATACAGCCTAAGTATGTATTACACTCGTAATACATATGAGAGTAACTGAGCCGACATCTGAACGTGTGCAAAATCTACTCCAGATGAAACTGCAACATTTCATTCTGTTTTGCGTCATGATCCAGCGGAGCCCTAGAAGCGAGCATCATGAGGTGGAGGGCATTGGTGGGGTCAAAGTCCTCCGAGTCTCCAAAGCTGCCTAGCGAACTGTTTATGTCCTGTGCCCTCGCGTCTTCGACGAGACACACATCCCCAGGCATTTTCGGAATTGCGACAGATGTGTAGACCGCGGCAGCGCAGGTAAGAATCACCACGACAGCCAGAGGCGCAATGAGGAAAAGATGAGTCGACCGTTTGTATTGATATCCCAGTGATTGCACGTGAACTATCCCGTTGTACGGGATTGTGGTGGTGTCGTTCGACGGCTGTAGATTGCTTCGCCAGAGCTATGAATCAAAAGTATGTGGTCAACTTCTTGTTGGAGGGAAATAATGACAACTTGCCGTTGCAGAGAGTTCAATAGCCCCTCTCAGGTAGTCTTCCTACTTTGTATCAGCGAACAGTTCGATTCTTTAGCGCCCCGATGTATGCCTAAGCACTCACCAACGCGGTGTTCAACAAATCACTGTCCGATGCAAGAGAATCGTCCAGACTTTGAATACTAGCTGCCATAGCGTTTCCAGAAAGACTCTGTGCATCAAACATCATCAACCAGACGAGGTCGGATAGCAGGTCTATATAGACAGCGTCTTGTCCTTCTGGATTCATCGGCTCAGAACTTGTGGTATTGTCGGTGTTCACAGTAGTTCCATCAAATACAACGGAAACATGGGTGATGCGAGGAGAAACTTCACAAACAGTGGGTTGTATGAAGGCGTACGAAGGCTCAAAGCCTTGCATAATAACAACTGTTCAAGTCCCAAGATCAGAATATTTCACCACATGTTCATGATCAACTCACGGAAAGACTGGTTCGTTGCCTTCTCGAAGTCCTGATATTTGCAGGCCGAGCCTATCAAAACACCGTCGCCCAGGGGGTAATTGTTTAGATCAACCACTGCTAGGATGTCGTTGGTGTCTGCTAGAGAGTTGTCAACGAATTCAACTTGCGGGGAGGCCACTCACAAGCAACTGAATCACTTGAACAATTTGCAATCACAGTCCATCTCTGTATACCATAGTCTGCTTCCACAGTGTAATTTGGCGTAGTTATGGAACTCCCCAATGTTTCGCTCCCATAGAACTGCACATATGGATAAACATCGGTCACGTTGAACATCTGCTGTCGGCATCGGACGTCCGCACTGAAGCCTTGCTGGATTGTCGTATAATTTCGAACCCAATCTTGATATTCAAATGGGATGCTTGGGGTGGCATTTTCCATCATCACATCATTTATGTAAACGCCCCCTAAGCTTTGTGTCACACTGTGGCCTTGGGCATACGTGATGATGATCATACCTGTTGAACCATTGTACAACAACATCTCAAAGGGGGTGTAGTCCGGGAAACCCAGTTCACTTGCAGCTGCCCCGTGACCAGCTTGAATGAACGTAGTGACATTCCCAAGACCATAACCTGTCGGCATGCCTGTCAGTATAAAGGTCGTTTAGCTTTAAGGTCACTACTGAGTAAAGAGAGATATCACCAAATTTGAAGGCCATGGTCATTTCAAGGGGGGAGCTCTTACTAGGATACGAAGCGATGGGTCTGGTCATCATTATATTTTGGAGTTGCTCGGTAGAAATGAAGAAGTCCGCCTCTTGTCCCGAAAAATGAAACTGGAGGTCGATAGGCGTCGGAGTCAAAAAACTAGTCCAACTGCCGAGATCGTGAGTGAGAAAAGAAAGCATATGTATGCCCAATCATGATTTACCTCGACGTAAGCGGTCCGCACAGAACGCCGTACATCAATGTGTATTTTAGCCAAGTCCAGTACTGCCTGTCACTGAGCGCGATAACCTTTCTTCCATCACGCATGCATGCTAGGGATTTGATCCAGGCCCATAAAATCTTGAGCCCACGCACGCCAAAGAGCTTTTGTCCTGCTACTAGTGAAAGACCCCCACGCAGAGTTAGCAATGACATGGGTTGACTCATTCGTGCCGTCAGTGCTATTTGGAGTACACGACCGAGGAGACTGGAGCAATGGGTGAGTCTTTGTGACATTTGAGTTACGATGAAGGACAAACGCACAGTGTGTTCAGGAAAGAGAAAACTGTTGCGATGAGTGTTACGACATAGCTCGTGATGCGTGGGTTCTCCATGGCAGCTTGTGCAGCACCGCTGGGCAGGTAGAAGCGGCCTGTGGTATGCACATATATCGCAAAGCACAACGCAGCGGCGAAGATAGCAACTTGAAGGGTAACATAACATATCAGCTTGCCATCGCAAAGATTCTGAATTGCACAGTAACGATTCTCGGGGGAGTCAAGGCGCTTCCATGCGCCTCTGTGCGTACGAGAAAAAGAGATGGGATTCTGCAATGCAGGCATTGGAGATGAATCCTCGTAGTGGGAAGAGTGGGAATTGAAAACCCTGATTCCAGGTGGCACCAGGCTAAAAAACCAAACGCGCTTTGGTAACCATCCAAGACTTGCAACCGCCAAAGTTTAATTCTGTGCAATGCTCTAAGCATCAGTTGCTTGGGAGCCTCCTGTTTAGATGGATTGACGTAAAAATCCATCTAAATGAATGTCAGCATCTGTAGTGCACAGGGTGTTTGTCGTGATTGGCATGTAGCCCATCGCGTACGTAGCCAGATGATACGCAATAGTTCCTGGCGTTGTATCGCCTTGTACTGCCCCTGGGCATTTGATATGCGACTACGTAACAACATCGTATTGTCCTGTGGGTTTGTGAGCTGCCTGTCGCCATGCCTTGCCCAGCTTGTAGATGCCCTATTCCACAAACAAATTATTTGCAGCATTCATTGCGGGCAGCAAGACATGAGGTGGGCGGACGTGAGCCAGCAGTGTGAAGAAAAACCACAGAACAGTCAAATCTGTAAAAGTTTCGCTTGTCATGCCGTGAGATGTTCGCGGGTGGAGAATCGTCGGACTCAGCGAGGTAGTGAGGTCTCCAGTTCGGAAGCTTAGTCTTCGATTATGTGTACCAAAAGTCCTTGAGAATGGCCAATGTAATTAATGTAATTGAACCCCGAAGAAAGAGATAATAACCAGGGATGTAAGATATCCGGTCAAAACATCCACTCTAGTGCTCCCAGGTCGGTCAGAGGGTGGCAGAAGGCTTAGAACCAAAGTTCAAGTCTACGCAGTCTAGCATCAGTCGCTGGGCGGCCTCCTGTCTGTTGTCCGACGGATAGGATCCAGCTGAATAGGTGTCATCTGTAGTGCACAAGAAATATGCCGTGAAACTTGACCTTAGATGCAGCCCCTCGTTCGCATCCAGAAGATATGCGCCGCTGTCTAGCGTTCGGATGCACTCTTTGAGCGTTCATTATGGGCGGCAAGCACAGGAAAGTAAAAATTCCGCTGCCATGCTGTAAGGTGTCTCGAGCCGTATGTCTTCTTCTAGCAGCAGTGCCAGACTGCTGGAGGTGCAACCAACTCCTTATTGGAATGTGTATCACAAAGTCCTTGAGAATGGCCAAAGCAATTGAACCTCGAAGAAAAAGAGACAAAAACCAGTAATATAGAATACATCTGGTCAAAACATCCCCTCTCTTTGTGGAATAGCGACCGGAGGAGGTCTATTAGTGCTCCCAGGTCGATTTGACGAGCGTGGCGGAGGAGCTGGGCTATCCCGCGCAGATCTCAGCGAGCGATCGGAGTCATGCATCTGTATGACTGGGCGCATAGGCATCGGAGAGCGTGTAGTAGTGCGAGCAGGCGAGTCAGGGGCCAAGGGAATTGGAGGAATGGGAGGCACTGAGGAAGATACGGTGGATGATGTTGATTGTGGTGTGTGCGAACGTGAGATGGAGGGTCCTAGGGAGGGAGCATGAAAGGTAGCAGAAACAACGCAGGTATCGTTGGTCTGAGGATTCTGAACAAGGAGCTCGTCAAGGAGAAAGCGGAAGTCGAGCCCATATTCTTGTAGAAGCTAAACAGTATGTAAGCGGATGGTTTGTGGCAACAGGGAGAAGGAAAACCAAGGATATAATTGATGACACAGAGAGATCATGACGAACCTTGCGACTCTGACTGTGTGTGATTTTGAGTGCTTCTTTGACAGTCTGCTGTTCAGCATCGGAACTATAGACCTGCTTCCTGAACCTTTCAGCATACATCTCGATCTGTTTCTTCGCCCAGTCAATTAAAGCTAGGGCGCCTATCAGTAAATTGGACCGCATGAAAAGGCAAAGAGACACTGACTGCTAGTCATATCGTGCTCTACAAAGCCCGCAAGGAACCAATCCGCTGTGTGCTTGATCCCGGTAAACACGACTACTGCCAAATCGTGCACATACATCCCAACATGGCCTTCAAATCTGATGGCCCTAACGTAACGGTCCATCGCCCCCGCTCGTGCATTTAAAAATGTTGATCTCGCTGCTGGACCTTGACCAAGCTTTAACAAGTGACCAATGAGGCCGACTGCAGTGTTCTTGCGGTTCCCGGGCACACTGAGTGCATCAAGTAATGCTGAGGTGAGGCTTGCCGTGAGAGGAGTGAGCTTGGCGTTCAATGACGGTATGGAAGTGGCTTTAGTTCGACCATCCTCCACTAGTTCAACGGCCCGTTCCCAGGATCGCAGAGCGATGGCGACAGTGAGGTCGTCAGAAAAATCACTGATGAAACGTGCATCGCTCTCGGATTTGTCCCGTGCGCTGGTGTCCCCGTCAACACCTGCTTTGCGGGCAAGCTCAGCCATCCAGTCAGGAAGGGGCGGCATCGTATCAGGATTCATGGAGGCGCGCTGCTCAAGTCAACATGTCAGACGGACGAATACTAATTAGTAAGGCATAGAGGCTGACATCTCCACTGGTCCACATGCTCTTGCGTCGCTCGTGCTCGCCTTCACGCTCCTTGCGTTTGCGGATTGCGAGTTCTTCGGCAACTTGGCGGAATTGTCCCAGAAGAATCTTCTTATCAGAAGCTGCCTCCGTTCTGTAAACGTATGTCTCTTTTTGACGGCGAACTTTAAAGACATTCGTCATAGCTGCCAGGTGGATCAGATAATCGTACGCGTTCGATAGTGTGATTTACACTCACTCGCTGTATCCTTCGTATCCAACACTAGCATCTCGTGCAAAGGCCAACATCTCTCTGCCACTAGCCGACCGCCCTCTCCATTGTTCCTCCTCCTCCTCTTCGCGACGAGCACAGAATCATCTAGCACGACGAACTTGACAGTGTTACTAACCCTGTATGTGGCCGCATTGAGAGCATGTATCCCGTCCATCTCATAAATTATGTGTCTGCCTGGGGTTGTTGGAACGAATTTGGCGGAGCCCTCGATTTGCGTGTGCAGTGTCTGCATTTGATTCGCATAGAGCACGCGAAGGTCCGCAATGGATGAACGGACGTTGCGCCGCCGCTCCGAAGCAGAGGCGGACTCATCAATGTGCAAAAGGCTCGGCATCGACTTCCATTCAGAAAGGCTTTCTTTGAGCTCGAGCACATCGTTCTCGAGGACAGAAATTTCTTTGGAGATATGAACGAATTCGGCATAGCTGTGATGAGATTAGCGAATTCAACGGGGTAGGACATTAGGAGATACTTTTTGAACACATTCCGCTGTAGTTCAACAGCGGTATCATCCTTGGACGATCTGAGTGAAGACTGGAGAGACTTGAGCTCGGCTTCGGTCGAGTTAGCCAGTTTGGCCTTCAAGTCTCCATGGCATGTCGAACGTCAGAACACTCATACTGAACATGCACAGTACTCACAAGTGTCGGGGTCAAAATCTTCCTTGCCTAGCAACCTCTGATCTGTAGCCTTTGGATCCTCTCTGAAACTGGCACGTTCCAAGACAATCTCATCTGGGTCCCTCGCGGCGCCTGGCCGCAGCCCAATTGGAACGCTTGGCACGTCCGGGACAGAGGCATCAGTGGGCGCGGAAATCTCTGCATAGCGCAGGGACATGCGCTTCTTTATCTTGTCATCGACGGTGGACTTGCGGACATTCTTATTGATGGGCTTCTTCTCGAGTTTGGAGGCCTGGCGTTTCACAGTGCGCGTCTCAGAGGGCCTACGTGTGCGTAAAGACTGCATGATGAAGAAAAGCTCTCAAAAAGTCGTATAATGTATGTGCTAGTCGTCCTGGACGACCGCAGCTGATCGTCGGAGTCGGTGAGCAGACCTGACACCGCATTTGACATCATGCGAACCGGTTCACACCGGTAATTACATCGTTCACTTCATCCACCGCTCCTCTTCATCCACTGCAAACCTTGCAGCTGCCTTGAGGCCACTCCTTACTGGCGATCGACTCCGTCGACGTCGGAGACCACATCGACAACGAACTAGTTAATAGTTTCCTCACCACCGACTCCAGCGACGACCGTGTGCGGCGTTTATTGTCAGCCACTCCGTAGGCGAATCCGTGTCTTTACCTTGTACCATAATTAACGAGCGTGTTACTAGTACAGCCTTGTAAAGATCACATAACCTCTTTCCACCAGGTAATAGTGGGCTCAAATCCATCTTCAAGGCTTCACTAGGCCGGCCTAAGATCATTTCTGACAATCAAACAGCTTGATCTATCGGCTCATCTCTTCACATCGTACTAAGTAATGTACGCCCACGCTCAGTCGCGGCCCAACTCGTTCTATGCTGCGGATGATGCGGCAGTCCAACCAGATTATCCCTCAGAGCCACCGCGCCGTCTTCGCCAGTCCCGTGTTCAAGGCTCCCCAAACCATTACCAGTCCCCACAACAGCCTGTAGACCCAGACTATGATCCAGATGATGACCAACCCTTGGGACTTGCAGGTCAACTACCTGATGCGGCAGATGAGTTCTATGGTGCTCAGCAGAATGGCAGCACTCCCTTTCCAGCCCAACAGTCTCATTCTCAGTCACCACTGTCCCAGGGTCCCCTTCTAGATCACTCTCACCTCCGTCCAGGCAACCAAGCCTCGCTACTTTCTTATGAGCGTACCCTCGAGCTATATCGCGCAAATGCAAAGAAAACACAGGATCCAGACATCCAATTCGAGTTCGCAGTATTCATGATCGACGCTTCTAAATCTTTCCCCATCCCCGCCCCCACCCCCGGCAATGTCATGGAAATTGAAAAGGCAATCGACAAGCGTGACAATCTTGTGCATGAAGCCACAGGCATCCTCAAGCGTCTTGCAGACCGGGGACACCCGTCATCGCAATACTTCCTTGCAGACTGCTACGCAAACGGTCTGGGTACTTACAAGAACAAGCAAGATTTCGACCGGGCGTACCCACTATTTGTGCTCGCAGCAAAGCATGGGCATCCAGATGCCGCATACCGTGCAGGAACTTGCTGCGAGAATGGATGGGGTTGCAGGCGCGAATCTGCCAAGGCTCTCCAATTCTTCCGGAAAGCTGGCGCCGCACTCCATCCCGGCGCTATGTACAGACTTGGTATTGCTGACCTTAATGGCGAACTCGGACTCTCAAAACGGCCGCGCGAGGGTGTTAAATGGCTGAAACGTTCTGCGGAGCACGCAACGGCCGAGTTCCCGCACGCCCTGCATGAGCTTGCCCTGCTGCACGAACGGGGGATAGACAACGTGGTATTTGTCGACGTGGAGTATACCGTAGAACTACTCGCACAAGCGGCGGAACTTGGGTATGCACCCAGCGCTTACCGGTTAGGGGAATGTTATGAGTATGGGAAATTGGGTTGTCCCCAGGATCCAGCCTTGTCAATCCATTATTATGTGGGTTCCCCCACAGATTAGCGCGCCAAAGCTAATCATATCTGCGCAGAACATCGCAGCGCAGCAGAATCATCGTGATGCATGTTTCGCTCTCACAGCCTGGTACTTAGTTGGCTCACCCGGTGTGCTACCCCAATCCGATACCGAAGCCTATCTCTGGGCACGCAAAGCAGCAGATGCTGGGCTTGCAAAGGCGATGTATGCTGTTGGGTACTTCTTGGAGGTTGGGATTGGTACCCCGCCAGACCTGCCAGAGTGAGCGATCTGATCTCAGCCCCGAAGTTGGTGCTGATGTAAACGCGTAGGGCGATGAATTATTTCAAGAAAGCCTCAGAATTGGGCGATAAGCGTGCCCAACAACGGCTCAAGGGTCCACCCATCGGACAACAAGGCGGAGTCATGCGAGACGGACCCGATGCCAAAAACGCAGCTGCCAACAAGGACTGTGTTATCATGTAGACTCGCCTTATCTGCTTACAGCTTGTTTATTTCGCGGGGAATGTGCCTAATGTCGATGTGTACACAGACGATGGACTTGGAGTAATACTGGACTGTTCGTTACATTTCATGCTGCTATTGCCCATTTTTCTTAGCTTCCTTTCATCTTGATCTACCACCACATCATTTTACCCTACTCTCATTAACCACGTTCCTGCGTTCATTTTGAACCTTTCCATTTGCTGGACTGGCGCACATAGATACCCGTAGACCTTAGTGCGGAATTGAAGGTGTGGTAATTATCATCGTAGAACTGATCACCAAATTAATCAGTTCGTTATGTAAATAAAGCATTGACGCAAACCACCACCTTCAAGCAAGCTGGATATCCCTCCCAACGTAGATTTCTACCACCTCCTCGGCATAACATACGATGCCCCGTTGAGCACAATGAAAGCAGCGTACCACAAGGCTCTTCTTGCCTCGCATCCAGACAAACGACCATCCTCATCCACTATACCACCCGTAGATGTCGATATCGCACTCCTGAAAGAAGCATATACCACCTTGTCAAACGTGTCCTCCCGTATAGCCTACGATAATATCCTTCGAAATGGTCGCGTAAAGACCTCCATTGGACCGCGTCCTGCACAGGTCATCTCGCTAGAGGATTTTGAGGAGGCGGAGGAGGGTGTGTGGATCCATGCTTGTAGATGCGGTGGGACGTACAAGATCATTGAAGAAGACATGGATGCGGCAAGACACCTTGTCGGCTGTGAGAGTTGTTCCGAGGTTGTGTGGGTAGGATATGAAATCGTGCACGACGAGCATCACGATACGAATGGCAAAGGAGAATAATTAAATTGCCAACATGGATGTAATGCAGGTTGGGATTGTGCGGTATGGAGTCTGGACATCTTACATGCACTCGCTAACACTTAAGTTGGGTTTCCAGCGTTACACGAGCTCAGTCAACCACTATGGCGTCCTTACGCTCTTTCAACCACTTATTCATCAGCACTTTCCTTAACTCACGGCCGATTGCCATTGAGACTGGCCATGGCACGGCATTACCAATTTGCCTGTGCATCTATATTATGCCATCAGTGTACAGTGGGAGGGAGGGAGGAGGCTTTAGCACACACCGTCATGACACGATCATCTTCCGCGTAGAACACAAATTTGTCGGGAAAGCCTTGTGATCGAGCAAGTTCGCGCACCGTAAAAATGCGTTTGCACTGCACAATTCGTACTCGTCAGTTACGTGCACTCTAGTGGAATTAATGACGCACATAAGGGTTGAGCACATGGGATTGCTTTGCGCTTGGGTCAACATTAGTGACGGTAGCTTGAAAATAACCGTTCTCGTCAACTCGTCCATAAAGACCTATACACCGTAAGTCACGCATAACACTTTTCATGATTAGAATACCTGATTTGAAACCCGCGCGTGCAATGGATGAGGATGGATTTGCGAAGTGCCACTCCCAGAGGTCAGGTCGAAGCCCTGACAATATCGTCAACGCTGCGATATTATGTCCTGCAAAAAAGACACGCACTCCTATAGTCTGCGCCCGCCTCCATCGGGATATTTACAACTCTGCGCAGGTTTAATTACATCTACTTTGTGAAGACGTCACTGACCTCTCGACTTTGATGGCCTCGTAGGTCCGCGTGTATTGTTGCAGATCTTTTGAAGGTTCTTCACGACACCACTTTTGGAACGCTGTCGCCGGGTCATGCTCGTATACTACATCCTCTCCGGAGTATCCGCACCAGGGGCGGTCTTTCTTGCATTTCTTAAGCGGGATCGTCTGAGCGCGCTGCCGTTCTTGTCGTCGAATGGCTGTATTCGTGGATGGTCTTGGGTTTACCCTGTAGCCAATATTCAGTGAGTGTAGCACATTTCAGAGTAATATGACCATACCAATCAAATCGAGGAAGGTCACTTATGGCATCGTCAATAGTGACAAATTGGTGCGGCGCATAGCCAGTCTGTGTCCAAATAGGTCTGATATGGTGTCCAACTGGCAAATCAATTCCCAGCGCGTCTACCGGAGGGAAAGCATGTGTAGGTTGCGGGAGCTGAGGAAGCGGGTAACCGTGCTTTGCTGCGACCATGAAAAACCGCACACGGGTTTGAGGAGTGCCATAGTGACCAGCTTGTAGGATCCCATAACGCACTTGGTAGCTGAGAAGTATGACATTGGTCATATACTTTATATTTGAGCGATACTTACTTCATGTCGGTCATCGCCCGGATCAAGAATTTCAATCCGCCCATGGCAATACCCCCTTTAACTCTATATGGCCCGGCTTGCCGTACCTTGAGACCGAACGACAGAAATCCACGCACGTTCTCAAAGAAGCAGTATTTCGGCTGCATGAAGTCAACCCACGATAGGACGTTGAGGATAAGGTTGCTCTTGCGGTCATGTGCTTTAACATACATGTTCAGCCGCGAATGGGGCTGGCTAAGGTGCAGTTTCAGTATGATCAGCAAGAGTACGAAAATACGACACCACCGACCAGGGAAACCCGGCAACAATACAATCGATATCCTCTGGTTTTGGAGGAGCGGGGATGTACGGGTTCTCTGTTATATCCGATTCTATCTTCTCCAATCGTGTAGCCTCGCCTTTAGTGTGTGATAAAATCGATGCTGCGAGCACTAGGTTGCTGCATTGGTTATACACCACAGTCCTAGGAGAGTTGGCTCTGTTGACTCCTTGTTAGTATCGCTGAAATAAGGAGCAAAATGCGCACTTCAAGGTTTTTGTGGCACTCGGGGAGATTTCGATCGCATGGGTGACTTCGATGCAACCGGATTGCTCCAACCCTAACCCGAAAGCTCCGACTCCAGAGAACGGGTCCAAAGCACGAAGGGGTTTTTGCTTCTTCAAAAATTCCCGGCTCTGCTCCCATTCAGTCAGGTTCTCTTCAGCACAATATCCGCACACCAGGAGATCTCGAGGTACAAGTGTGCGTTTGTCATCCCAGGATGTCACATAAAGGCTCGGGAAGGAGTAGCGAGCGTAAAAGTGATAAGGAGACATTTCAAGCCATGCTTTGAGCTCTGGCACAGCTGCTCGCACATAGACATGACAGAGTCCAATAACACAGGAAATGCGGAAGGTCTTTTGATCTTCCGTGACAAAGAGATGACGCTGGAAAACCTGGGTCAAAGTGAGATTCGTGCGTGAGTTATGTGTCCTCACCTCATCCTTCAGTTCGTCCGAGGGTCGGAGGCGGCCCAACTTGACAATCCTTCCAAACAGTTTTACTCGAACTAGAACAGAGTCCTCGTCATCTGATTGTGAAAAGTGAAAACGGACAATTTGACCGATATGACACTGTGATCCATCCTCAGCCTTGATCATAATAGTGTCGTGGGTATGATAATTGGTCCCCTTCCATGCGACGCCGTGATGAATTTTGTGGGGGACGAGTGCTTCCTCTCGCTCCTCCACCATCAAGCACACAGGGCAGCGGTCGTGTGGGAGCTCGCCCTGGCCGCCGTGCAGTCGTTCCTGCGATATTTCAGTATATGAAGCATCAAGACTATTATATATGAACCTGCTGGCAGAAATATCAGCGAGGTTCTGAAAGGTCGCGGAAGATGCAGGACTTGTAGAAAAAGCCGTGAGGCTTAACGACAGGCATTTCTTTTGAAGGATCGACGAACTGGACTGGGACTTTTCCGACGATGAGGGTAAATTCGACAGTGCTGCATATGTTGGTCAAAAATAATTCTTGGGGGTGCCCGAGTTGCTCCATAGCCGTCTTCGTACTGTGCTCGAACCATTCGACATGAACATTTTCATACTCGTCACTGATGTATACAATCTTTCCGAACCTGAAGAAAGGGAGTCGGTCAGTGAAACGTATCAGCGCGAATATCATACCAAAAGTAGTCTGCCAGGGTTGCATATTCAGGTATGTCTCCTGGGTCCGGCAATTCGGGAGCCACCTTCCGGTCATCGCTCCCAATGGCAACAACAATGGTATCTCCAATCTACAAGCGACGTGAAGCTAGACACGATAGGGATTAACAATACCATACTGCATAATCATTGCCGTCTATCGTGATGTACTTGAGCCAGCGTGAACGTGGACGAAGGCGTTGTTCCGGACGGACTCGAATATCCCTCCGTGTAGATACTCGCTTCACAAATTCCTTCACCCTCAACAGAAGGTTACCATATGGAATCCCGGGGTCACGAGGAGGTGGTGGACCAACAACCACTAGACGTTCTTTGAACCACCCGGTCGCCAACTTCGCAATTCGCGGCGTTACATGCGTCGCGTTCTGGTTTGCTGGACGAAGGACAGCGAGATCTTTGCTTCCTTTGGTAGTAATCACCGCTACTGGCGGAACTCGTAGCCGAGGACGTGGTTCAATGGATCTCAATATCAAGGGTGCAGGCTCTGTCAAAAGGTGTCGAATAATATTCGTAGCACGCAGTTGTTGAGCATTTTCTAGGCCCTCGAGCGCATATCTTAGTTCAGCAACCTACGATATGTTGCAGTGAAATTTTGACAACAATCGAAAAAAAAATCTCACACTGTCCCAAAGATCTTGCTCGCTAAGTCGATTACTGCCAATCTCGATGGTTAAAAATCTGTCCAGGAAGTCTCGATATTGCCGCTCTGGTTCCCGTATGGCCGATGATACAATTGCTTGAACGACACGATGCGGTAGCAAGAATGCTCTGAACTCGCGTCGGTAATTCTTCGATGGAGCACCCAGACGATACCGAGCGTGATTAGACTCGATATACATTGGACTGTGCACAATAGCCGTAGAATATTGAGTAAAGTCTAAAAAAAGAACATCACCTACTCTTCATCTTCAGTGTAGTCGATAGAATAGCCGATAATGTTGTTGATGCGGATGAACTGGGGCTCGTCGGCTTCAAGGTCGTCTTCCTGGCCCTCATCCTCGTCGTTCTCTGGCACTGAAGTGACCTCACCTGCGCCCTCAAGCATGCTATCATCGTTATCGTGCTGCTCATTGAGGTAAGAAAGGGAGACCATGACCAGGTCACGAGTAGGGTCAAAAAACGCGAAGCCATCTAGATTCCGGGTAGGTTTCTGTCCATCGTCTAGCGCGCCTGGATCTTCGCCAATAACGATAAGATCTTCAGTCTCCACTAGCTCGTTGGATTCTGGTTGATAATGTTTCGCTAGGACGGGTGCACTGTAGGTTGATCAAATTTCGGCAGAAAAGGACGCCAACACACGTGGTCGAGGACGTTCATTCTTCTTCCGACGCTTTGTGCGCTGCGAGATGGACGGGACAGTTACCGTCAAATATACGCTCTCGCGATCTCAATGATACCCACTTCATCATTGTCGTAGTGATCCGCGTCATCGCGGTGACGCCGGCGATTATTCCCCCCATCTGTACCACTGGCAGAATCATCTTGCTGTTCACCTGGAAATGTTACCTCAAACGCGTTGGGTCTACGACGAGGTGGCATCTTTCGAGTCAAGCAGTGTTACTGAAGGAAGCGGGCCGAGGTTAGTAGTAGACAACTTCAAACCCAAAAAAGGAAGGTCCCTCTGAGTAGTCACCTGACAGGCTTGTAACGATCTTAGTTCCTTTGTCTGCACGAACGCAGCGCCGGTGTGCAAGGCTCTAAGCTCTTCCAGTAGTATTCAACAACACGAATGACTGTGGTTAACGTTCATGTATCTGCAACAATTCTACGCGAATTTGGGTACTTGTGAGTAGTTCTACCCCTGCGTGTATTCGAAAAGATATTGGTACATACAATCCTGCTTGCTTATTATGTAAAATTGAAGACATTACAAGTGATTGGTTCTGAAAGAGATAGTAGTAGTGAATGATTTGTGTCCGAGGGAGCTCCAAAAACCTGCACTCCTGTAATGCAGCGGAAGAAAAAAGAACTTGCACGTATAGGGATCACGTCAAAACAGACATCCAGCTGAAAACAAGATGGGACTGTGTGAAGATTCACTTTGCTGGTGTAGTTCCTACTGGTGCTTCTGGCCCTGCCAGTGCACCTTCGGGTATGCCGCCCGCTGATGTGGACGTGTCCCCAACCTGATGGAAATCTGGAAAGACACCAAAGATACCGTGAGCGTCGTGGCACCTGAAAGTAGGAAACCCTAACCTAAAATCTCGCTGTACATCATGACCTTCCACGTGTCAACGGGGAGGTCGGCATCATTGAAGCTCCAGTCAAATTTCTCAGAAGCCACAGGCTCGTCGGTCGGATCATGATATGGTGCCACATACTCATGAGCCAGTGACTCCGCAGCATCTATGCGTTTCCGAGGGTCGAAGACGAGCATCTTTTCTAGAAGATCCAAGGCTGTCGTGGAGCATCAGTACAGTGCGCCACCCAGAGCCCGGAAGAACACTGCCTCACCATCCGCATCTGTAGTTCGGAGCTTTTGGCTGAAAGGCACGCGCTCGCGTTTGGGCAGACTTTGAACAAAACGGAGGGTCTACAATGATCGATCAATGTGAGAATGGGAATACCTCGCCGATAGCTTAGACCCACGTTTTCGCTTGCGATAGTCTCGATGACATCATCTGGAGGGGTCCCCAATAGCTCCGTAATTATGGAAAACTGATTGACATCTTGAAACGACGTCAGAATGTGAGAATAAAGGCGCATGAATTCTCACGGTCTTTTCCTGGGAATAAGGGTTTGCCCTCGAGCATCTCTGCGAATATGCAGCCTGTGCTCCAAATGTCCACAGCGACATCGTACTTTTGCCAGGTCAACATAATTTCAGGGGCGCGGTAATATCGCGTAGAGACATAGCCCGTCATTTGGGGGTCCTGAATTCGGGCTAATCCGAAGTCGCAGATCTATGAGAAGCAATGACATCATGAGGAATCCCATATTAATGAACCTGACTGACCTTCAAGTCGCAGTTCTCGTTCACAAGAATATTACTGGGTTTCTGTGGACCTGTCTCGTAAAATGAACATGCACATATACATAATAAAACACGCACGAGGTCTCGGTGCACCACGCCCGCGGAGTGAACATATTTTAGTCCACGCTGGATCAAATCAGACGTAACCACAAAAAGTTACAACATCATCACGTACCAGAATCTGATATAGGAAGTATTGGACAAACTGCTTCTCCAGGGGTCGCGACGTCAGCAGTCGATGGAGGTCGGTTCCAAGTAGTTCGGTAACAAAGTATCTGTAATCCTCAACTACTTTAAGGGTTGGGGGTTTGGAGTAGGGACGTACAAGTCTTCAAGTGGCGAGATGAACACATCGCTAAGGCTGATAATCTACACAGATAGATGGTACATGTGTGAGCAACAAATTCTGTGTGGCGCGTCTCAGACGTACATTCTCGTGTTGTATGTGCTTGAGGAGCTTGAGCTCACGGTATGTTCGCTTACTCAAAACTGGGGTACTGAAGGGCTTCATAATCTTCTTGATGGCAACAGAAGACCCAGTGAGTTGATCTTTAGAAGAGCTGCGCCATTCATGAGCGTCGTATGTCCGTCTCAGACTCGCAACGTACCAGACAAGGCCGAATGCCCCTACAGACATCTCAGTTAGTCTGACATCAAGCAGATCGAGATGATAGCTCGAACTCACCCATTCCAACAGGCTGCAGATCGACATAGCGAGTAGTGACCTATGAAATCAGCACATCGTGAACAAATCATGTTCAAGGACATACGCAGGCAACACACCTCGAAAGAGGTGCCAAATATGCTGAGCTTGACGAAAGACATGGCACAAACTGACCCGCGGTAGATGGAAAGATAGCAGGAGATTTGGCGGTCAGAAGAAAGGTTAAAACAAGTGGGTTTGTTGACTCGACGATGGCGAGGAAGGGAAAGATGTAGATAGTGCACCACCGAACCTCAATCTAAGATTGGATAATGAAACTTGATTTCAAGCCACTGCCAGGGGTCCCGTGACGCCTTATGGCTCTAGAGCTATCTAGAGTCTAATAGTTCAATTTCAGTGCTAGAGCGACCTCCTCGGACTCCTCTGATCTTAAAAATATTCCTAGTAAGCCGCAGTCACTGAGGGATGAAAATATTGTGAATGTCCACTGCTGCAAGTGCTATAGCGCTAGTGACCGGGGGCTTCGGATACGATCTGATTTTTGAGATCGATCCGCTGAAGCAAACACGAGGTGTAAAACGGAAGGAATTCGGTCAGTGGCCTGTCGCCAGAAATAAATATCACGGGCTGTGCTTGCCTTACGACACGGCGTCCATCGTGAGCAGCCGGACACTTCACTTCTCAGGCTCAGACCGAAACACGACCATCTCATCCACCAAGATGTCCTTCATTCGAGCAGCGACGCTCGCCCGCTCTCTGGTAAGCGATCACAAAAAATTTGTGGTGGCCTCAGATTCAGTCTCATGGTTGTAGGCAACGAGCAGCTGTAGGCGTTATTCTACCGAAGCTGCTGCCAAGAAATCATCCAACCTCGGACTTTACCTTGGTGGCGCTGGTCTCGTTGGTCTCGGCACGTATGTCTACATGGGCTTTGGCAAGGGGGAGGCAGCAATTGCCAAGAAGGACCTCAAGAGCCCTCTTGACCCCTCGAAATACATCGACCTCAAGCTGAAGAGGGTGGAGCCTTACAATCACAACACCTCTAAGTGAGAACTCGTGTTATTTTTTACGTACGACCCCGCACTCATATCTGTCCCTCAGGTTTGTGCTTGAGCTCGAAAAGGGCGAGGCTTCGCTTCTTCCAGTTGCTTCCTGTGTTTACATTGAAACTCCTGACTTTAAGGACGATAAGGGCGAACCTATGCATCGCCCTTATACCCCCATTTCAGCATCTGACTTGGAGGGAGAGCTGATTTTTGTCATCAAAAAATATGAGACGGGCAATGTCTCCAAACACATTCACTCTCTCAAGGCTGGGGACACTCTCAAAATCAAAGGTCCTCTTGCAAAATGGCCTTGGAAGAGTGATTATGGTTGTTCGCTGTCTTGTCATGGTTGGATGCTGATTCTCTTCCAGTGAATGAGCTGGACGAAGTCGGCCTCATTGGTGGTGGAAGTGGAATGTAAGAATGCCCGTCTCATACTCGCGTCACATTGACCTCAAATATGCGACCACAGTGCTCCACTCTACCAGGTCCTACAACATGCTCTTGCGGACAAGACGAACAAGACGAAGTTCAAGCTTCTGTATGCCAATGTTACCGAGCAAGATATCCTACTTCGCGAGGAGTTCGACGCAATGAAGAAAAAATACCCCGATACTTTTGATGTCGTATATGTCCTCGACAAGGGCGATGCTAACTGGAAGGGTCCCACTGGATTCATTGGCGCTGACCTCATTAAGCAACACATTGCTCCCCCATCACTGGGCGAGAAAGTGAAGGTCTTCATCTGCGGTATGCACAACACACCTGTAATGCACCAATAGCTAAATACCCCATAGGTCCACCTGGACAGGTCGCTTCGATTGCAGGCAAGAAGAAAGGCATGAAGCAGGGTGAACTGAACGGTGTCCTTAAGGAACTGGGTTACACCGAAGACCAGGTAAGTCACCGTGCTACCTAACAAGTTATCACATCTTTGAAGTATTTCTCTGTCAGGTGTACAAATTCTAAGCAGCAGATACCAAATAGATGCTGTATAAATGTCCTACGACAATAAAATACCCATTTTGTGATTGAATTCGAGATTAAGAGGTACCGAAGCCTTAATTTCAATCACCTTTCATGGCCAAAAACATGTGATCAAATCTTTTCACAAACCTGGTGCTCTGGGAGAGGCACAACGCAGGGGTGTAGTGGCCCTGCTTTGACAACATCAATACGCGTGGCCTTCGGAAACTAACCCATCATATACACAGAGAAGGAGAATGAAAGGCGCAATTATTTACACCCGTACTGCGCCGGCATTTACACCAAGTACTGATTCCTTTTGTGTTGTATCTTTGTTTCAAAGGGGACTAGTAACTGGAACGCATCATATGAGCTTGTATTACATAAGCATCTGCTCCAGTGCCTATACGCGTACTAAGCCTGGCCGTCTACTCGATTTCATCTCCCGTCACTAAGATCACAGGTAATTGGGCGTCTGAATTTGTATGATTCAGATCTGAGCAACCAGTGCGAGTCTTGGTTAGCCCGCACAACGATAAAGCTTATCTCATCGTGTCATTCGTGCTGCGCGGCCACTCTTTAACAAGTCGAATCTCGACATCCTGACCATCATAATATCCGACGCGTAGCATCATGGACAACAACAGCGGCGGCAGCAGCAGCAACAATAACAAGTCCGTGCGCCGCCAACCGACTCCCCCTGTCACAGAAGTTCTCAAAGCTCCGGGGACAGTTTCTCCAGATAGCTTTTACGCGTCAGCTTCAAAATCGAGCGCAGGGCTTACGCCTCCACCATTGCCACTGCGTCCGAGGAGCACTGCAGGATCGGCCCACACAAAGGTCAACATCGAACCCCCGCCAACCTATGACACTGTATTTCGCGAGCCCCAGCTTGTCTCAGAGGACACAATCGGTAATGATCAGGTCCCTGCGCTCATTCCTGCCGACGACCATCACAACTGGCCAACTGTCGAGCACAGGTGGCCCGAAGATGACTGGAGCAAAAATGAAGCATGGAATGAACCGATGCCGTGGGATAGTACATGGGCCGGTGGAACGTCGCAAAAAGTCATGGATATTGACGCACGGGACCAGGAGGAGGAGACCAACTGGTGGGACGCGGAGCTACGGGGAACGAGAAATCGTCCAGGGCCAGGAATGCTCCCGCCTTTTGTTGCTGAAATGTTGCACAACCCTGAACATTCATTGTTCTCGGTGAGCGTTACTGCGCCTGACATAAGGCCGACTGGCGATGTATCCCCTTTCGTTCCTCCGAGCCATGATGAAATCCTTCGCGCTGTTCCTCACGCCAATACATACTACTGCAGACGACACCATGGTTGGGTGTTCCTCCAGTGGAAAACATCCACTATCCTCCCTCCCTTCGCAAAATCATTCGACCTCAAACAGCATCCACCCCTCCCTGACCAAGACCGTCGTAAACGCACCGTCTCTTGCGCTGAAGATTCTTTCGAGAAGTCCAAGAAAACCCACCACTTTCACTTCTACCCAAAGGCCGTTGATTCGGGCCAGCTCAATCCAGCATTCCATCGTGCCCCCTGGGAAGTTGCTGCGCAGAAGAAGCAGAGGCGCAGGAAGATCACCTCTATCAGTCTCGATGACTATGCACCCAAGGACTTAGATGTCAAGATGACCGAAGACCCGCCCGAGGGACATGTAGAGGGCGAACTGCTTGATCTTTATGTCTGCTGCCAGTGCTCTGTCTATTGCATTGCCTCAGAAGCTATGCCCGGTGTTGTTGCTCTTAAATATGTGGAAGATTTTACAAAGTATAGATATGAACATCCTGCCATCGGGAGGCAGCCTGATGAGTCTGTTGTCAGTGGGTGGGAGACACTGAACACGTACGTCCATCAATTCACTTCATGATGCAATCTCATTTCCGGACAGAATTATCGAAAACAAGTTATGGAAAGGCAAGAACGGCCAGCTCCCCATTTCCGGGAAGACGTTCCAGAACAAGATCGGTTGGTCTTCAACTACGTCAGGAGTTTTCATTTTTGTTGCCGTTCAATGCAGCTCACGAAGTCATTTACAGGGGTTTTATCTTCAAGCAACTTGGGTTTGAGCTTATTACACGCATCGAAGCTCCAGGCACGCCTGAGGAGAAGTCAGAAGACTTTCTGACGCCCCCAAACACTGAACCCAACAGTCCAGAAGGCCTGGAGGCACGTATGAAGCTCCTGCGTTTCTGGGTCGAGACGAATGCGTATCTCGTAGACTATCAACGTCGCTTCGGTAAGAAATAGCGCTGGTTCTTTGTACCACTTGCTCATGAAACGCAGCAACCGCGCTCAAGCACTATACGCCACACCCTGTGTACGTCAAAATCGACAGCGCTCGAGAGATGTACCAGCAGGCGATTGGTGCACACCCTGATCAGAGTAAGGCTAAGCTTTGCTGTGTCGAAAGATAGACCTGAGCTATTTGTGCAGTCCCGAGATCGTCCTCGTCGTATCCGTTAGGTTCATTGGCGGAGCACGTACCTTTGCTGCAGACGTGGAAGACATTGGGAATAACCCCTACAACATGCTCTCCAGGTAAGCTGTCAAACATTCCGCTCGTTTAGATCTCATCGGTGCTAACGGTGCTTAGATATTCTCATCTTCGCCTATGTGGCCCAATGTCGTTGTGACCCTGCCAATACAATACTCTACTTCACTCACTTCTATGCCATTGTCGCTGCAATCCAATTCCTCGGCGGCGTCCCTCCTCAAGAACTACAGACCCTCGTTTTTGAAGAGCGTTCTCGCGGGCGGTTCACGGAGGAGGACCTGCACAATGCAGCCGCAGTTCTCGGATTTGGCAAGGACGGCGCGCTACGCTTAGAACTTGAAGATGACATCGAAGACGACTTTCTTGCAGAGGCGTGGCGCACGGCCATCAAAAATGCATGGCGTGACTCGAAGGATTGTACACAGCTCCAACGCGACGCGAACGATGCGTTCAGGATCATTGCACAGTCGAGGGGTAGTAAGAAGCTTATGACGCTGTTTTCTGAGTCGTCGAAGAATCAGATGGACCCTTCACGTGCATATTCGGTATTAGAGGTTTCTGCGGATGTGGATGATGAGCTTGTGTTGACGGTGTTTATGATGCGGGTATGTGAGGCTGTGTGGCCTCTTCTGCGCTTCTGATAAACATCATTAGGTCGAGGAGCAACCCCATCAATCTGACAAGTGGCGTGAAGCATTGAGAACAATTGCAGAAGTGAGGGATAGCAGCCGGCTGCGCCATTTCCTAGAAGAAGGCAAAGATCGTGAGTACCTGCCCAAATTCAACTTGCGATGTGCTATTAGACTGAGGCACATTAGCTGGAGATATCGTGGCTCCAACGCGTGCAGATCTTCCAAGAGGTCTCAATCAACTTGGAAACACCTGCTATTTGAACTCGCTGCTGCAATACTTCTACACGATCAAGGAGCTTCGCGAAGCTGTCGCTTCCATGGCCAACATTGACATGAAGGCTCTTGAAGACGAGAAATACTCGGAGGACGACCTCAAACGGCATCGGGTTGGTGGACGGTTGATTACGCGGCGCGAGATCCTGCGATCGAAAAAATGTACGTCTGCCGGTCCCCTTTTTATATACCAAGCTAAAATTATCGTAATTGTAGTCGTCAGTCAATTGGCGGATTTATTTTGGCAGCTTCAATATTGTGAGAATCAATCTGTCACGCCGCCTATCGACCTTGCGAAGTTAGCACTCGTGACATCAAGAGACGAAGAGGAGGAGGAGGCTGACAGAGGCGGCACTGACTCATCGAACGATACAGATGCGACACTTGTTGAGGACGGGCCTGTGCGGTCTTCGCCTGACTCAAATGGTACAGTTCTCGGGAAGCGGCCACGCGATGAACAACGCATGGACATGGACGTTGACGCACCCACGTCTCCTATCACGGAAGAGAAGAATGGGTATGTCTTGATTTCCCAGCCATCTCCGTCTCGTGGGTCCAAGTCTCCTCGGCTGCAGGGGGGAAGCTCGTCAAGCACGATGCCGCTGCCATCCCCGCTTCCAGATGTGGAAATGGTGAACCATGAGAACTCGCAGATTGAGGAGCAGAAGAAGCCTCCTCCCTTACCTACACGCAAGCCTACTCAGTCAGACTCAGTTATGATGTTTGGTAAGGTACAATGTACTCCCAGTGATGTCATGTCTAAAACTTCGGTTTTAGGAAAACAACATGATGTCTCTGAATGCATGGATAATTGCATGTTCCAGATTGAGATAGCTCTCCTGAAGTTCGATGTACTGAGCGACCCGGACAATCAGAATAGCGTTGTGAAGAGGCAAGTTTTTTGAATTCTATCAGGCGCATACATGAACTGTGATTGCCAGGCTCTTCTACGGGAAATTGCGGCAAAGACTTACACAAGTCCCCGCCCAGCGGCGTCCTCGAACTTCGACCCACGAGAAAGAAGACCTCTTCTCCCATCTTCCTGTGAATGTGGCCGACAACGGCTTTGATGTCTATGATGGCTTAAGCGGATACTTTGACGATGTAGTTGATTATGAAGGCGAGAAAGCAAGAATGGAGGTGACGCTGGTTGATCTACCACCATTATTGCAGATTCAACTCCAGGTGAGGTCCTACCCAGATGGCTCTGCGATATATCTAAAACAGACGATAGCGGGTGCAATTTAACAGAGAGACCCTCCAACCATATAAATCGCAAGCCTATGTCAAATTTGGCGAGACGATATATATGGACCGGTTTCTTGATACCGCAGATCCAGGGAAGAGGGCTAGGTCCAAGGAGGTACAAGCGGAACTGAACACGCGACGGGAACGTCTGCGCTTGCTAACACAGGATAAGGTGAGGATTCTGTGTGTAGTTCTTGTGAATTAACCACATAGAGAACCTCAGCACGCACCTTTCCCTACGTCGCTCAAAAGCACGCTTGATTTCTTGTCAAAGCAAGAAACGATTATTCTCCCAGATGTCGATGAGGAGCTCGTCGCGAACCTCAACGGCGAACCGGATATTATCGAGGCTGAGATTGTCGAACTCAAGGACACGATATCGAAGCTGAAGGAGGAGCTAGAGAATATTTGGAAAGATGATACCTCGGTCGCATATGAGCTGACCTCGGTCTTTATACATCGTGGCTCATCACCGTCATTTGGACATTACTTCTTCTATTCCCGACATTTACCGGAGCAACCTGATAACTGGTTCAAGTACAATGACCATCAGGTTACGGAGGTATCGAAAAACGAGGTCTTGGCTGACACTACTGGGTCCACTGCGAATCCGTACTTGGTGAGTACACACAAAACCACTCCTGATGTGATTGATCGAATTGCTTTCTAGCTTGTTTTCGCAAAGAAGGACCGGGACATTGTTCGTACTGTAAATCGTTTTGATCCGATGGCTTTAGAGGATATTGATACATGATCTGTAATGTTGATATCCTATGATTCCTCTCATGCACTAGCTGTGTTATCTTGTCCCTCTGGTGGATGAGCGCATGCCGCGGTAGTGTATGCTCACTTAAAAGACATTTAAATTTTTCTGTGATCATCTGTGGACTCATCTGTAACCTACATGCGTATACAACCTGGATTTCATTCACTGTACAGACAGGGTATGCGTTATTGAACCTGAGGCTGATGGTACTCATGTCGGGGACGCCCTACCACTTGTAGCACTCGAAGGTCGGGCCTGACATGAGTACTACTCCGAGGACTACGACTCCGTGCTCATCTAGACGGGCTCTCCTAGTGGGTCAATCAATATCTTTCCCTCGTGTTCTCGAGATTAAGTAGTCATGATTTATGGTAGGGGAATGTTGTGAACGACTGCGACAAGCATTACAGCACAGTATCAAGAACAGGCATAGGATCAATAAGATGTGTTACAACTCACTACAGAAACAACCTTGCTAGCGAGAGAGAACAGGCTCGTCGCTGGTCTTGCTCTCTGTTGATGAGACGATGACTCGTTCTGCCTCTACTGATGTCGTCTTCTCCGGAATGCTAGCCTCATCGTGCGTCTCGAGGGATGTCAAGAGATCGTCTAAGGTTCCCAATATCCCGTCCAATCTCCCTTCAATGCCCTTGGCCACACCATCAGCACTGTCTAAACGTGCCAAGATTTCCATCAGGTCGTCTGTTTCATTACTACCGTCCAATGAGCCGTTTAACAGAAGAGTGTTCAAATGAGCAATGTCTGCTTCAAGACTGCTGTCTAGTCTATTGTTTGAGGAACCGTTGGTTCCAGTGCCGGCAGTGATGTTGTTGGACATAATGATGCAGAACGACCTTTGCAGCACAAGTGACGTGACAGAATAAGGTTACTGACCAACGGCATCTCGGCACCAACTTTCATTGTCCAGACCTCGATGAGCTCACAAACGCAGAGTGTTCAATTGCTGCTCAATTCTTTCCCCCAACGTCCATTCGATCAGAAAATATTGCATGAACTAGTAGGAAGAGAGGTTAAGAAGTTCCAAGGCAAGTCTTCTCCAGACAACGTCAAAAGTCAATGGGAGTTCCTCCTCAAGAATGAGGTGTTCACCTTAGCGGTACGTGCTCACTTTCTTGGCTCTCACCGTTTGTGACAAACACTTGCTGCAGGCAACCGAGGGTAGTGCATTGAAGTCCGATACCACCTCGTACTATGACGGTCTCCGCGACAGACTCGACTTGGTGCTGACATTCACCGAACACGGTTTGTGGTCTCTAACTGCAGTTTGTATACGAAATGCTGACTTCATAACAGATGTATGCGAGGCAACCTTCCCTTTTACTGTCCTTCAGGATCTTCTCGAGACACAGACCATCACATCTTGCTCGCAGATATTCTCTTGGATTGAGTCAAGCGCTTCTCGACTCACCAAGGACATGGTGCCGCAGAAGGGCAAGGCGCTCATACTATTGCGCACGCTCAATGATCTCCTGCGCCGCCTTTCAAAAATGGGCTCTACGACGATATTTTGCGGTCGTATATTGACCTTCTTGAGTGGCGTTTTCCCTTTGGGCGAAAGAAGTGGTGTGAATCTACGAGGAGAGTATGGGCCTATGTGGGAAGGAGTCAAGGATGCAGAGAAAAAGGACGAAGATGTGGAGGCATCCAAGGGCCCTGAAGACAGCCAAAAAATGGAGGTAGATAAATCTGCAGATGCCAAAGACAAGGATAGTAAGTCAGAGAGCCCTGTCGTGATGTTCTGTGGCTCATGTCATTTCCAGGTTTCTACACTACGTTTTGGTCCTTGCAGCTGCCTTTCTCCCGACCTCCATCGTTTGCCATTCTCAATACATTTGGAGAATTTAAGGATGCTGTGGACAAGGTTCTACCTGTCATCAAGGAGGCGACCACGAAGGAGCGCGCCATGATGGGTAATAGAGGTGCCAGTGGTGCAAGCGGTAGCCTAAAACGAAAACGAGAACCAGAGTTGGGTGAAGCAAGCAATAATAGCGATTACTTCTTCGCAAAGTTCTTGACAAGTCCAGACCTTCTTAACCTAGAGGTACATATCCGCTCCCCTTTAACATGCAAGTCACTGAAGTTTTGTAGATTGCGGACACCCATTTTCGTCGACAAGTCCTGTTCCAACTCCTCATCCTCCTCCACCATCTGTTATCATTCACCAAAGTTGCGAAGGCTGTGTGGTCCACACCCAGGAACAGATCCCTCCAAATGGACTTTACGCTTGAACCTGCAGATGCGCAGTGGGTCCATGACACGATCGCAAAGGCATCTGCGGAGCTGCGGTCTACCGCTCCGAACGGTCCCACATTTGCCGACACCGTGAATGTCATTCTTGATCGGGAAAAGAACTGGGTGAAGTGGAAGAACGACCTTTGCGCTCCTTTTGATAGGGAGCCATGGTCAGCCGAAGTGGATGGCAGAAAGGTAGGGATGGAGACGGCGATGAGGGAGGCTCGGTCGAAGAGAAAGGAGGGTCCTGATCCGTGGAATTGGAACCTGGGGTCGGAGTCGCTGACTGAGATATGGGAGATGGGGTACAGGGATTTGTCTGACCTGCAGAATCCCTTCCAGTTGAGTATTTCACATATATGTGATGACATCATGCTGACTGACTGGTCAGACCGGGTGACGTTAAGGATTTCGTGAAGAAGGTCAAGCAAGAAGATGCTCGCATCGAAATGCGCAGAAAGCAGCTCACGAAGAATGCCGAACGCTTAGCTCAAGCACGAGCCAAGGCAGTTGCTTTGCAAGAGTCCACTGCACGGCAAGAGACACCAGCTCCTGCACCGACAGCAGCAGAACCACCCAAAGTGGACACGCCAGCAACGTCGTTCTCTGCTTTGTTGTCGGTACCCAGTGTCTCCAGTTCGCCCTTGCATCCATCCCTCCCCCCGAAGCCTGGTTCTTCCCCAGTGAAATCATTCATAGAAGCAGGTGCATCGAGTCCTGCGCGTCCTCCAATTACTCCCACACCATCATCCTCAACGATTGCAGCACCTACGCCAACTCCGGCTCCAGCTGCAGCCTCTGTCTCAGAAACCTCTACTACCACTGTTCTACCACCTGCCCCTTCTCTGACTGACGATCAGATAGCTCGATATGAAGAGGTACAAAGTGCTGTCATTCTACCCATGATATTATTGCTGATATATTTGAATAGAACAGACAACGCTGGTCGTGGCTAGCCTTGCGCACGGCACGAGATCAATATCTGCAGCATTTCGGCAAGATCGGTACGGGAGACGTGGTTTTACTTGCCAATGAGATTGAAGTGGAGAAGGAGCGAGATAAGAATCAAAAGACACAGAAAGCCGAGGAGATGATACCTACTCTGTCTACGCAAGGAACTGAGGACCGCAGACCCGGCAAGGCAGGTGATGCCACGGGGGCTGCAGGGGTTCCATTGGATGCTGAAGGAGATGTGAAGATGGAAGATCGGTAAAATCCAGAAGAGAATTCGAAATTTCGGAATTCGCTTCGCAGTACCAATTGGGAGGATACATGCAAGGGTCGATTGTGCTATTTAATCGTCAAGAGCTTTCTCAGTACCTACTACTATTTTTTTTCTATGTCGTACTTAGCCATGGCCATGATGCACTCGGAAGAGCCTTAGCGTATAGCTGCTTGCCGAGACACTGCCAAACACTTGCGGCGTGTCCGCCAAACTTCGGGATGAATTCACATTGCAAGTCGGTTGCCCAACATTCCGTAAATTCTACTTTCTTCATCTTTCGACGATGTCCACATCCACCGGTTTGCGAGTGCGTACTCAAACCGCGTGCCTCGTACTTTGGGTGCTCATTTTTTGACGTTACAGCGTGTCCTGGTGACTGGCGGAGCTGGCTACATCGGTAATTACCTCGGAGGAAGACCTGTTCAGCTTGCATTTTGACCGAAGTTTTATCGATTATCATCCAGGCTCACATGTAATATACGCTCTTCAGCAGACAAGAAGATACAAAGTCATCTCTGTCGACAACCATCACAACTCATTCCCTGCGTCGCTCACTCGTGTGTCCCAAATTGCGCGAGATGCACTTCCCGAAAACTCGTCGGAGGCAGACAAGGAGAGCGCAGAAATTGATGCATTTCAGTGCGACTTGACCAATGCGGAGCAAATCAAGGGCATCTTTGAACGCTATGGCAAGTGCGGAATTTGGGGTGTCGTCCACATTGCCGTCAGTGTTTATTTTCTTCATGTGGGTTGAACTGGTCCGAATGAAATTTTCAGGCATACAAAGCGGTCGGCGAGTCTGTTGAGATTCCCTTGACATACTACGCGAACAACGTTGCTGCCACGGTGTCACTGCTGCAGACCATGTCCGACTTTGACTGCACTCGCATTGTCTATTCATCTTCTGCTACTGTCTACGGAACACCCCCTGTGATCCCGATTCCCGAAACGACGCGTCTCAAAGCAGACAGCCCTTACGGCAAGACCAAGGTCATGTCTGAGATGGTTATCGATGATTTGTGCCACGGTAAGCGTCCCTTGCTGTACCTGGGACCTCACCAACACCCCTTCAGCTGAGCCGAACAGATGGCGAGCCATCTCGCTTCGCTACTTCAAGTGAATATTTTCTTCCTGGCCATAGATTTGTACCGACACTGACTTATATACCAGCCCTGCGGGCGCGCATCCCTCGGGGTTGATAGGTGAGGATCCCCGAGGTCGCCCAGGGAACTTGTTGCCTTTGCTAGCACATATGGCCATTGGGCGCGTAAATGATACCACTCTGAAAGTGTTCGGAAATGACTACCCCACCCCGTGAGTTTGTTCAGCTTCTTGCTGATATTTTGGGCTCATGTAGGCTGTAGGGATGGTACCTGCGTCCGAGACTACCTCCATGTACTTGATTTGGCCTCCGGACACTTGCTCGCTCTTGACGCACTTGCGCCTGAATCTACTACCTTCGATAACTGCCCCGATGAGGCGCGCTACAAGGCATACAATTTAGGGAAAGGAAAGGGTATGAGTGTCCTTCAAATTGTTGAGGCAATGCGCAAGGCTACAGGATTCGATTTCAAATATGAGATCATTGGAAGACGGCAAGTTTATTCATTGCCTATCTTAATCGCTCCTTGTTTACCTATTCTTAACAGCCGCGGTGACGTCCCTGATCTTACTGCGGATCCCGCGCTGGCTGAAAAGGAGCTGGGCTTCAAGGCACCGCAGCCTTTAGAGGTTATGTGCAGAGATTTATGGAACTGGCAGACGATGAACCCTCAAGGATATACCCAACAGTAATTTAGTGGGACAGTCTATCTATACACTTCTAATGACGGATATATAGAAGAGAAAGAGCATACTTATTAGGATACCTGCCGTTCTAGCTTGCCTGACAATCATAGATGAATGCGGCACCCCCCTCAGCAGACATTATTGACTCCTGCTGTTGTATGGGAAATTGAAGTGCTGAATATCATTCAGCACCAACAACCTGGTTCGTTCCCTCACCATCCTTTCTCTACATTCCACCGCTTCATCCATATCCAAGACTCCATCCACTTCATTAAGCACTTTATCAACAAGTTCCACTGCAAAAATTCCGCGAGTCCCCTTCTCGAGACCTAACCTCGACCACGCCTTTTGTTGTGGCGGGACTCTTTGCGTGGACGCCAGCGGAGCAATGCTTGGATCAACCAAGTACAACCCGATAATGCGCTGATGCCCCTCCTTTGATGGATCGACCAATGAGAATGGTGTGAGGCGATATTGATAGATATTAGGAAACGCGATGCATAAACCCTGGCGAATTGGGACGGAGCCAATGTACTGGTGGCAAGGATCTCCCGTCTGTAAACCCCAAGTCTTGATTGTTATGTCCTGGTAGCCTTTCTTGGGAAATGCAGGCGGTGTCTTAACAGCCATACGAAATTCGATCGAGTTACCCGTGATATTCTCCTAAAAAAACAGTTAAGGTTTTTGATAACTAGTCAAGTGATGTCATACGCTTGACGAATTATAAAGGACGCAAGCTGCAATGCTTTCGTTCTTCATGCCCTCGACGCGCCATAGAGAGCCCTGAAAGGCAGGGCCACCTGGTTTCTACATGAACTTGATTTTAGGGAATGGTAGCCCCGCGAGAAGCGAATCATACGATGCAAATATCGTACACGTCAAGTACGACTTGGAGTGTCTTCCCCCTGAGTTGTACAAAAGTTCGGCGCTCTTCAAGCCCACCTGGGTAACCGGTGATCGGGACATCAGGCACAACTGACCGGCGCATGATCCACTGGCGCTTCTTGCTCTCATACGCAGACCAATCCACGAAGTCGCGCGAGAAATCTGGAGGCTCTGGCTCTTCCCACTCCGCCGATGAAGATGGACCCTGGATTCGTTCTCTGTTTGGGTTGTCCCCATGCAAGTCTGTGAGGACGTGCTCGAACATGGGAACGCACTTCGAGATCAACTCCTCGAAGTGGCGATAGAGCGCAGAGTAGCAAGGGTGGAGATTATTTATGTATGACAGAGCCTTCGCTGTGCCGTCCTGAGAGATAAGGAAGTCGCATGGTAAACATGCAAACTCTTGCGAGAGGAAATCTGTGTCGGTCGCGTCTGTAATGCTGGGTAATAGCTCAGGACGAAGAAATCCTTCCCTAGCTGAGTCGTATGCAAGCGTCCGACCATAAATGAGAGGGTAAAGGTATGGATCTATGATGTGGCGCGTTAGTTCGTCTCCCTCGCGACGTGCCAGTTTGTCTGGAATTGTTTCCAGAAAGCGAGAGAGTTGACAATTGAGGTTTGTGCGCGCCGAGTTGTCAAGTATTGCTTCAGACTCCCATATTCGTTCGTAGCAAGAAACCTGACTGCTAGCCTGTTAGAACGACTATAATTGACAATCAAAAGAGGGCCTGCCAATTATTCTCGACGTCGCGGAGCCTTGCATAGCCCTGCAACTCCTCTAAAACATATTCAACCTACCCCCAGACGAGACTGCATGATTATCTCTTCGCAAAATTCAAGCAAGTCTACCGACCTGATTGGGAGTTAACCAAACCCTGAGGTTGTGGCTTGGTGCCCGCACGGCCATAGACTCGACGAGAGCTTCGGCGGCCCACTGAGCGCGGATTTCTGGACGCTTATAAAGATTCCACCAGCCATCTCGACGTCGTAGACATCGAGAAAGTTCTGACATAGCCAAGTCTACCACCTGTGCACGACTGAGGATCTACTATGTGGGCATGAGTTAAATCCGCTCACCGTTCTGGCGGTGTCACCGACTCCGACTCCCTGAACGCGTGCGCCATTGATAAAAGGGTGACGAAATGGCTCACAATCGTACTTGGTCTCTCCGGTCATTCGAGAACTGCAGCTGGGACAGACCGAGCCTACAAGTCCTACTGTGCCTCCTCACCCACATAGTACTTACTCTCCCAGACTTCCTGAAGCCTATTTGACATGTCACCTGTGGAACGTTCTTGTCCTAAAACGGTAAGTTACGTAATGTTTAAATGAGTCAGGAGCTCAGCTCCAATCGTCACAACGAACAACGAGCACGACGCAAACCACGTCCTCCTCACACTAAATAATTCTCACGATGGTATGTAACCGCAGGTTACCACGTTGAACCACGATTTTGTCTCACCTTACTTCTCACCCAGTCGTCTGGCTGGGAAATTCGCATGTCCAACTCGAAGGGCATACCATATTACTTCAACGCTGCTACCAAGCAATCAAGCTGGGACGCCCCCTCGGAGCTATCGGAGGAGCAGATCAAGTCTCTTTCCGGCGCACAGTTCCTGAGCGGTGGTAGCAGTGGGGGTGCCGGGACAATCACGGCGAGTCATTTGTTGGTGAAGCACAAAGACAGTAGGCGGCCATCGAGCTGGAAGGAGGTGTGCATGCATCTGCCTTCCAGAAAGGGACATATGTTGACGTTGTATGCTCCTAGACGAATATTACACGCACTAAGGAAGACGCTATTGACATTCTCCAAGGATATCAGTCGCAGTTTGGTAACTCGCGGGAAAAGTTCGAAGAGCTGGCGAGTTTACATTCCGATTGTTCGTCGCATTCCCAGAAGGGAAACCTCGGTCCCTTCTCGAAGGGTCAGATGCAGAAGCCGTTTGAAGATGCTGCGTTTGCTCTGCAGGTCGGAGAGTTCAGTGACATCATCAGCACAGAGAGCGGTGTGCACATCATTTTGAGAACAGCATAGCGCGAAGAGCGGAGAATTTTATGGAGATGAAGGTGTTTGTACGTCCATTGGGTTGTAGCATTGATCATGATCACATTTGAAGTATGCGACTTTGTCGACTCTGATTCTTGAAGCTTTAGGCCCACGACAAGGGATCATATATAACTTCTTCAGATATCAGCCAGCACACCAGCCCTCTACGACACGATTTTCAGGAAGATATGTATTATGGCCGCAATTTCATTTTATTGTGAAGCTCTGTGAGATTCTGAATGTTGGCGTTGCGGTGGCATACTGCTATAGCATGGGAGCAATTTGGCCGTGTACTTCGTCATTCCGTCCCGAATATTTCCGTCGCTTGGCAACCTAGGCAGGGGGTATCCCCGCGGCTCCTTGCAAAGTATCAGACATTATTTGTGTCTAAATCATATGCCCCAGGCGGCCCTATACTTCCGTAGGAGAAGGAAGGCTGCCATTCCTCCTTTATTATGGGCTCTGTGAGGCAACCCGAGGGCATCAGTTCTTAAGCTACTACTATCATCATTTTCATTGTATCGCCAACGAATTCACCCTAGCCGGGTTTGGCCATTTTACCGACGTTCTTTCCCATCTATTATCATACACCCTCTTGCACCCGAATTCCTTGTCAATTGAACATTGCAGGGTTTTGCAGGGTTTTGCTATCAGGCGTAACGACGACAACAGCTTTTGAGGGCAAGCACCATAAACGACCAAAACACATGACGGAGCCACTCGCAATTTTGGAACAAGGTCTTGCCACGTTGCAAACTTTATGGATTCCGATCAGCCTACTCTTAGCGTCCTTTGCCTATCTGCTTCTATCGCTTTGGCAAGGATCAAAATCAGTGGGTACGCTCTGTTCCTTGGTGCTTTAGTTCATTTTTGGAAGGTCATCGGAGCTTTACTTCTATGAACTTGGTGCCTTCAGTTGCTCGAATCAATATCTGAATCGTCTTCTGGATTAGGTGGTCAATCCGACAAGGGAGAAGCCGGCTCCCATGCCCCAGATCACTTGAAGTTTGATACGACAAATATACGCGTAACAAAGATCCTCGTACACCCCATCAAGGTATGTGAGGGTGTGTGTGGGTCACGCTGATTCCCGCTAATTCGGCTGTGTTAATTTTGTAGAGCTGTAGAGGCACTTCTGTTCCAGAAGCAAAATATACTCTCGAAGGATTGGATGTCAGTGCATCAAATATCTTTTTAATCATCAGTCATTGACTGTGCAGTAGAATGATCGGAAATGGTGCATAGTAAGGGCAGATAATAATCTTGTCGTGACTGCCCGAGATGTGGGTAAGGTACGTGCTATGCCGTCAGTAGCACCCGTGGCCCATGTAGACATTGGCACAATTTTGTACAGATGGTTCTTATAAATCCTCGTATCATTCCGGACCCCTCATCTCAAGAGGGCGGACAGCTTGAGGTATCTTTCCCGAAGCAGTCGGGCTGTGAGCCCTTCTTCGTACCATTAAACCCCACTGAGGAAACGCTCCAGGATTGGCAGAAGTGAGTACAACTATGTGTCACCGCGGCCCGATATCTTTTAACTCTAACTATCTGTTCTCTAGTATCAATATATCGTTGTGGGATAAGGATGACATCGAAGGGCACATATGTCAGACCAACGGAGGAAGGTCACCCTCGGAGATACTTTCACAATATATGGGGTTGCCAGTTCACCTGGCTATAAAGGGCCCACGCCTGCGGATCTGTCCGCCTACTCAGCGGTTTCCCGACCTAGATGCACCCTCATATTTCCAGGATGGGTATCCTTTGATGATCTTGTCTGAGGAAAGTGTCGAGGCTATGCAGGAGCGGGTCAGAGGAATGGTGGGCATGCAGGGCATAGAGGAGAAGTGGTCCAATGACGCTCTACAGGTTGAAAGGTAAAGCCATCTCTATTCGGTCCGAATGTTGGGGCTCGTGCGACTTCGGATCGTTGCTCGTCTTGCTTGCTTAAATGATCTTTTGTTTGCAGGTTCCGCCCCAACATAGTGGTTAAAGGAGCCGGGGCACCCTTCTTCGAGGATATACTCACTGAGTTCACTGTCGATTCTCATCGCGACGGTGTAGACAAGGCATCACCAATAATTAAGCTTGTTTCTAAATGTACTCGTTGCATGGTGCGAATCTGCTGCCGATTTACTTTTAAAAATAGGTGCTGATCAGTTGGGTGTGCTTGTGTGTTGATTATGCCTTTCACAGCTGCCAAATGTACATCCGGAGACTGGTGAACGCGACAAGGCGGTACCGTTGAAGGTTTTAATGAAGCATCGAAGAGGCCTAGATCCCGAGCGACCCAGCCTATCGTGTATGGGGTGCAATGGGGTTCTCACTGCGGATGGCGTGGTGAAGGTCGGCGATTGGATCCATGTGTGTAAGACGGGATTCGTCTGACTCTAGTTATTTTTGAAGGTATCGTCGAGTTCCATATTTTGTGTATTTCCTGCGTATCGCGTAGTCTCATCGGCTTCAACGCCAAACAGGGATTTTGATTTAATTTATGCTGAGCGTCTTGAAATGCCTGCGATAATTTATTCTGCCACGATTTGATGGGCACACACTTGGCAGTGCTGACACGGTGAGCCTAGCTCCGCATGCTGCACAAAGGATTACCTATTGGACTCAAAATGTTGTCAAATCAAAGGGTTTGATGAGCAGGCGTGAGATAATGGGAGTATTACGAGGGGGGACAAGAGTTCAAGACAAGTCAAGACGTTGGAGCCAAACTGTCTTTCAAATTGTGTTACGCCAATGCTCTGGATTCAGAAGAGTTGTTGCAATTGTGATCAGTGGTACGAGTTTCAGGCAATGATTTCGTTGACAAATGGCTCGGAGCAGCTCAAAGCTCAAAGGAGGTAAAATGGACAAAGCCCAGCGAGGCACGGATGCACGGTCATGGATTGCAATTGAGTACGAGAGCCCAGGGGTACCGTTAGCTTATTTTGGGGAGTAAAGATGGGGCCCGTCGGCATGCCACGCTTGTGGACCAACATTAGATTACATGAAATTCGCGCATGTTTGATAGGAAGCCAGACGCAGCCACGATTAGAGTATCTGGTGAGCGCTGTGGTTGCAATCTCATCTCCTGCAGCGCATGTGAGCTGCGCCTCTGCAGTGCCTTAGTTCTGCCACGCGAGAAATTACCTATTTCGGAACCGGAGCAAGGGGGCCGGCTGTCGGTTGACGTTGGGTTGTGGAATCGGAAACCCATGTCTGTTTGATGTACTTACTCATAACGAGATTTCTTTGCCGTAGCAATCTTCCCCCAATTCCGAGTTTGAACCGCCATCATCTTCTACCACAGAGCTCGTTACCCGAGCTCTGAGTTATGGCTATAGGGAAATGGAACCCTTTTGGTCAACCTCAACTACTACCAACTGCCAGCGACATTCCTGTCCCGCAGCCGTTGCCAATTCCTTGCGCGGACGGAAAGCAGTTTGGTCTAGAGAATGTATGTCGTCTCACTACTCTCTTGATGATGATCTTCATTGCCATCAATTCTTGTAGTTTGGCAACACCTGGTACGACTCGCTTCGTTCCCACACCCCAGCCGCTCACTGACGAACCCAAAAGTTATGCCAATTCTGTTCTACAAGCCTTATATTTTTGCAGTCCCTTTCGAGATCTCGTAATTCAGCATGCAGATCCATGTGCCACTATTCAAACAGCCCTGTCCTCGCAGTTCACTCCCAGTGCCGCCCCCACTTCCCCAACCGTTGCTGCTGCCCGTCGGAAGCAAACAGACCGCAAGTCTACGCAAGACCCTCCCCAACCAACCACTGCAGACCCTCCAATACCCCCGATCCCCTCATCACCACGGACCTTGATTTCTGCACTTCGCTCCCTGTACATTCACATCTCCCAGAACCCAGCTGACAAAGGCACCGTTGCCCCCCGAGCATTCATAGACAAACTCAAAGAATTAAATGAGGCGTTTAGAAATACAATGCACCAAGATGCTCACGAATTTTTAAACTATCTCCTCAACAAGATTGTTGAGGAAATAGAAGAAGAAAAGAAGCACCTACAGGTTCCTCTCGATGATTGTATGTGGAAAAATCAGGATTCAGAACACTCGTTGTTTCCACTGACACCCCAAATTTTCCTCTTATTTTCAGCGGCTCATTCAGTCAAATCATCATCAACTACGTCACAACCGTTGGTAATGACAGCAAGCACCTCGAGCTCAGGCGGTCCATCCATGGGATCTACGTTCATACACCAGATATTCGAAGGTATACTGACTAGCGAAACTCGATGTCTGACATGCGAGAATGTGCGTTGCCTGTCATTGTTGCCGCCGCGCTTACTGATCGCGCACAGGTATCTTCACGTGACGAATCGTTTTTGGACCTCTCCATAGATATCGAACAGAACTCAAGCGTGACAGCATGTCTTCGGCAATTCAGCGCGAGCGAAATGCTCTGCCAGAGAAATAAGTTCTTCTGCGACGGGTGTTGTGATCTCCAAGAAGCGGAAAAGAGGTATTTAATATCCGCCCATCCAGATTCAATGCTGAGGCCATGTCAGGATGAAGATAAAGCGGCTGCCTAATGTTCTCGCTCTACATCTCAAGCGCTTCAAGTATCAAGAAGATGTACAAAAGTACATCAAGCTGGCTTACCGCGTTGCATTTCCCTTCGAACTTCGCTTATTCAACACTATCGATGATGCTGAGAACCCTGATCGGCTGTATGAACTCTTCGCCATAGTAGTTCACATCGGAAAGTACGTCCCTTGTTGCGTGTGATGCTCGTTATCTGTAATTGCCGCTGATACGCCTTTCTTCCCTCGTTAATCTCTGGTAATTATAGCGGGCCAAATCACGGTCACTATGTTAGCATCATTAAGACGATGGGTACCTGGCTCGTATTCGACGACGAAACAGTGGACTCGATCAAAGAATCTGACATACACAAGTACTTCGGCGAATCCAATTCGGGCTCCGCCTATGTGCTATACTACCAAGCTGTGGATCTAGACCTTGTCGCCCTTGATCTGCGTCCGACAAGTCCACACACTCCTGAGGAGCATTCACATCAACGACTCCCTACAGATTCCCCTGTATCGGTTTCACAACCTATTCCGTTGCCACCCGGGTTGTCCACAGAACCGGCAGCAGAGGCAGAAAGTGTCGAGACTGCCCCTCTACTGCCCTCACCGTCATTACCCATAGAGATTCCCGCTTCACCTGCTGAAAGGTCGCCGCGTAAAATCCCCTCGGAATATATGAAACCTAGTCCTCCCTCGGTACTCCCGAATCCTGCAACAGTTGGTCGTGGCTCGTCACCTAAGCCGACCCCGACACCTAAACCAACCCCGCCGGCTCGTAATGGCATACTCAGACATGTCCCCTCACTGAAGGTCGGTACAGACAAACGTGACGCGGCTGCAAAATCTACCGCCCCCTTCCCCAAGGTCGAGCCGTCAGAACCGCTGCCACCTGTCCCTGCTTTAGTGATTCCGAACGGCAAGGAAAAGGAAAAGGAAATAGAGAAAAAGAGCACTAACTGGTTCCGAAGAAAAAGTCTAAAATTGGGAGGGAAATCGCGTCCAACATTAGAAGCCGAGGCGGACAAGATTCCGTTGCCTCCCGATGCTCTCTTGGATGCGTCAGCATCACCGATGAGGTTCCGCACCACTGGGTCAACGCCGAGGCATTCCAAGGATGAAAGTTCTCGGCATCCTTCGGAGCCGGCGGGTCTTGATCGTCCTGTAGCGTCCTTCATGGTCAACCGCCGCCCTGTGTCTGCTTCCGGTTTTGTTCGGGCATCATCGCAAAGTGCGAGCAATCGACGAGATACTTCGCCTACCATCTCAGCCACTACGTCATATTCTTCACACACTACAAGCACCTCAGCATCGACATCTCTTGACCATCATTCACACCCCCTTCGCCCCTTGCCAACAATACCCGCCTCTCCACAAAACTCAAGGATATCACAATCCCCTCCTTCAGCTTATCCTCGAGGCCATTCATCTGATCACCCACGACCGCCCAGACGGCCAGTGGTGTCGCCCCATGACTTCGAGCCCCCGACATCACCTAAACCCCCTGCTCGGCCGACGACTGCAGGTGCTTCGCTTGGTTCACGCTCCTCTGCAACTATGCCTCGGGACCACAATCTTCCTCCATTGCCAGGTGCTGTGGATAATCTACCTAATGGGACGCATAGTAACACACCCATGACACTGCCTCGTCCAGACAAGGGCAAGACACAGGCGAAAACCAAATCGTACGAGGAAGGCGCGGCGGGCTTGTCTGGACGGCCAAAGTCAGCGCATGCGTCTACCACCCTTGGGGCAGTTTTACAATCTAGCGCTTCTACTAATGCCAGTGACAAGAAGCGGGCGAGTCGGAAGATGAGCTTCACTGCAACATTCCCGTTTGGTCGCAAGGACAAGCAGCGAGAGAAGGGGAGAGAGCAGGAATAAGTGTCCCGGCCCGGCGATCCGTTCACCTACTCCCCGCCTCTCGCTCGTCCAGAGCCTGACGCACGTTGGACTTGTATTACATGGTAAAGATGTGTTTAGCTATATCTTGTTTAATGACCTTCGTTCCCATTTTCTTGCTTTCGCAGTTGCTTCGTGGAAAGGTTCCAGTCATCTATTTTAATTACAATTGCATACGCTGTTTTTATTTGCGCAAAGTGAAGAGTTCCTTCTGTTGCGCACATCGTACCGTACCATCATAGCTCGTCATCTCTACCTCGTTGCGTCCAACTGTCTGTATCAATTCCATGTTGTATGTTAGAACGACTAGAGGGGTCATCGCAGACTGAGTATACTGGTATACAATCGGTAAATTTACAACAAGCAATTAGCTGTGGGTTCTTATGCGAGCGAGTCCAATATGTCCATTAGGTGGTATAATTCACAGATCGAGCATGCGTTCATCCTCCAGAGGGATTGGATAACGCTGCCCATCCATGGCTACGACACAATTTTGAGTGTATGCCCAACCGAGGATACGAATTTCCACTCACCTTCCAGTGGTGTCTGTGCCATATCAAGCATGTGCAGCATCGTATCGTGTGGCTTGGAATAAAAAATACGCCCAGTGCCTTCGTCCCAGGCTATCGCCGTCACACCATCGCGAAGATGATCGAGGACATATGAAGGTAGATCAAACTGTCCCAGGGTATTTTCGCGATGCTTGGGAACATTTCGGAGTACATTATACAGCGTTTCGCGCCGCATAATACTATAGGCATCGTCCCCTCGCTTCGATAGAAGATGGCCGGTGAAATTGCGGACCGAAAGCGTGTCTGAGCGTGTATCGCGGGGAATGGAGTAAAATAAAGAGCGCAGACATCCTGGGATGACGAACGTTCTGCATATCGTTTTTGAATCATCGTTCAAGTTGTTTTTGAAGGATAGACGGTGCATCATGTTGGACTTCAGGTTCGCGATGGCGTAATGTGGCTTTCCTGTAGATTTGAAAGCCTCGGGCGCACTCTCTCGTGGGGTTGGCGAGATAATCATGTGGCAGATACGACCCCCGCTATCATTCCTGTAGAAGATATTGATAGGAGGTGGCACAAAATTGCGATCAGTGTCGCCACCATGGTCATTGAGCACATGTGGGTCACTTATTTGGAAGTCTTCAATGTCTTTCCCGTAAAATGAAGCAATTGCAAGCGGGTTAAACTCCCCGGCTTCTCCGTCCCCAGGGTCGGGCGTGGGAAACATGGCAACAGTGAACATGACATCAGGAATAATCGGTGGAGCGCCAGGCGGGGGATTGGCCGGTGCTAACTGAGGACGATTTGTGGAGCGAACGACGAGAATTTGCCCTTGCAAAGGTAATAACCGGAAGTTACAAATAGGTTGCTCCTTCGAGAATTTAAGAGTAATCTTCACAGCATGAAAAAGGACTGTACCTGTTGTGAAAGAATGGTTTCACGTGCGCATTTAAAAGTAGATATGAAGCCATCAGAAGTCAGTTCCTTCATCACGATCGTTTCGGGCATCTTGGCAACTACCATGTTCGGAACGCCATCGACTTCGCCAAGATCGACATTTCGAAGCTCCGAATCGCTGCGAAGGTGTCCGAGAAAGCGAAATGGCGGGGGTTGTGATGCAGCAAAGTCGAAAAACTCCTGGGAACCAGGTACGAGGAGAGGATTTCCTAACGCATCTAGTGCGTCCAGGGAAATTTGCAAACAGGTCGCGACGTACTCCAGTGGCATTGGAGCATCGATTTGAAACCGTGGGTTGTTCAAGTACGGATTATATATGGAAGGATCAATACTGAGTCGATAGTCAGTGTAGGAAGACACTCAGCAACATAATCAGGGTTCACCTATTAGCACTTTGATGACTTTTCGATATCTTCCGGCGAATATACCCGATGAGAATGCTTGGTATGCCTTCCACATTCATATACTTGGCGCATACATTGTACGCTTTCCCCCGGACAGGTGTTTCTGCTAGAGGGACGATGCCAGAGATACGGTGATCAAGAACATATACAACCAAACTGTAGTGAGTTTTGGCAAGATTGCATGCAGAAGCGACAAGGTATTTTCCGCCGGGAAGTACGACCATTGATAATATGTGCCTATGTGCCTGCACAGGAAGGTAAGTGGCGGCAAACGGGTTTGGCAGGATCCAGCTCTTGTGGACTGTGATGGCGCGGATAACTAATCGTTCGGCCTCAAAAGAGGTCAAGAAATTAGGAGAATATCGCGTAGAAGGCGGTAGCACAGGCCCATTGGGTCCGATCCTTTGCAGAAATCGCTTCCATATTATACCATGATGCGTAAGGTTGTAAAACAGTTTGTTAACCTGAAACGATGAGCTTAGTGACAGCAGGTAGATGTAGAGCAGCCATTACCGCTCGTAAGCACAGAATATCTTCCACCATCAGGTAGTCGAAGATATGATCGACCAATATGTCGTCAGAAAGCATACTCAAACTTGGTAAACGGCTGGAATCTTGGTGGACTCGCACACCCCACGTTCCTGTTCCCGTATTGTTTCGTTCATTGGCACCAGGGTAAGAGCAAGAGAGGGCTGGAGAGATGAGGCGAGAAATCAGAGAGAATTGGCCATACATGATTGGGGAAAGAAATTGAGAACGTCATGTGGTAGTGTGATATTTACCAGTCTTCCAGTCTTGTTTTCGTTTTCGCGACACATTCAACGGAGAAGCTGACCGTTGTCATAAAAATACAACCATGGCGACGGTTAATCAAAAATACAAGGATTAGAGTAGACTAAGTAGAATGCAGCCATGATGAAAGTGCAGAAAGAGCCTATAAAGTTATGCGAACTACAACGCTTTCCTAAAACGGTTTGTCCCTAGACACGTGACCCACTGACCTCGAGAAAATGGGGATGATGTCTGTCCAGACTCCCAAGTCCGTCCCTCGCGTTGTCAAGACTGGGTAGGCACCTGGTATGTGCAGAGTGATGAATAAAAGTGTTGTTTTACAGGAATGCCATCCTTTGAAACTCAGCCTTGCTGCTGGCGAACAACGCATCAAGAATGTTCACCGGACAACATCACAAAACCCGTTCCTTCAACACATAATATTAACCGTGATATAACTTACAGTTACACCATATAGGTTTCGGTCTTGAGCAGCAACGTTCCGTCAATCGCTGACTTTGACTACAAGTTTCCCTGTAGTTTTCCCACTCGTCAGGTCGACTTGTGCCTGTTTTACCCCCTCCGCAGTGAATGGGTATTCCTTGAAGACCTGTGGCTTTAAGGTGCCGTTGGCGAGAAGGGAGAACAGGGCATTTCCGTAGTAGAACGCTTCTGCTGGGGTACATATGTAAGTGCTCATGCTGGAATACCAAAATGTCAGCCTATAAATTTAACAAAACATAGTTGTTAAGCGCACGAAGGCCGGAGAAGCTTCACGTTCTTTTGCATGAGCCTGATAGGAGGGAATGGTGGAACGGCTCCCGAAGCATTGCCCACTGAAACAAGGGTGCCTTTCCGCCTGATCATTACGAGGTCGGACTCGAACCTGCATCAAAGTCAATGTCATATCAAAAAAGCAAGAAAAATCAAGTTCGATCCTTACGTGTCTTTACCCACACCATCAAAGATCGCATGGACGCCCTCTCCATTTGTAAGTTCCAGTACACGTGCAACTGTGTTCTCGCTCTTATACAAGATAACGTGGTCCGCCCCGTTAGCTTTCGCAAGGGCGGCCTTTTCAGGCGTCGAGGTCGTTCCTATGACCGTCGCTCCTCGCGACTTGGCCAGCTGGGCCATGAGTAGTCCAAGTCCACCTGCCACAGTGTGAATGAGGATGATATCACCCTTTTGCACGTCGTATGCTTCTTCCATGAAGGAAATAGCAGTCAATCCTTGCTCGAGGCCCGAGACAGCCGTCAATGTCGACACCGACTCGGGGATCACGTATGCCGTGTTCCAAGGTGCAGAAACGTATTCCGCATATGAACCCAGATGGTCCTGAAGGCTCGTGAGTCACTGCATGGAAGTGTAGAGACAGCACACCGTACGACTGCGACACGGCAACCTTCTTTGTACCCACGCTTCTTGTAATCCGGGTCATTCAAGACAGACTCGTCTGTAGGCAGTGCGACAATAACGCCGCTAGCTTCCTGCCCATTCACGAATGGGAATTTAGGGGGCGGATATAATCCTTCTCTGCCACATACTTAACTATACCCTCGGGATGCTTGGGACGTTTGGACACTTACCTATAGTAGGTGTCGATGAAATTGACACCAAGATATTGGACCTACCCCGCAGCACAGAATTAGGTGACAACATACGCATAGAGGCTTGGTGACAATCTTACCTTCACGACCAGATGATCTGGAGCTACTTTTGAGAAAGGGATCTCGCGTTTCTCAATGACCTCGGGTCCCCCCGTCCTTGAGATCACAATGGCTTGAACTGTTGACGGATAGGACATCCTAGAAGTTTCAGTAGAGAACTGGCGGGCGAGAGGAGATAGTCAACAAGTTAAACTTATCATGCACCTGGGCGGATATGAATCGTGATACAAATTAAATTGTTTCCATGTGCAGATAAGGGTTAGCCCAGCAGCGCAAGTTACTAGCGTCTTGCAATTGCGATACTCCGGTCCTGAAACAAATAGAGAATTGACAGATAACATCCGTGACAGCATCTTCGCTCTAAACATATAGGATAGATGACGTGTTAATGATGCGGTGTCTCAGGCGCCGGTGATGGATATCGATGGATCACCGCGGGGGCTCGACAAAGCAACTATGGTCCGGCAGCCTGAACGACATCCGGCGGCAAATACCCTCAATACCAATAACGGACTTTACGCCAGTAGACCGATAAGTATGGACGACGTAACCTATGAATATCGGTGCATGGTGTACTTCTAAGGGACTGCCACGTACTTAGTATTGGGGAGTAAACGTGTCACATTCAAGGTTAAGTACACGAGCCATGATCAAGCAATACGTCTTACTTCAAGTGCTTGGTTTCGGATTCCGTAGTCAATGACATGGATTTGTTCTTCCCAGGTCTTTGCTCTTGCAAGCTGTCGATCTCTTGTGCTATCAGGTCTTCCTGAAGACCCTTTACCGTGACAGTGGAGGGACAGGCCAAGAGAACAAAGGCTATGGGGGAGATCGGGGTCAGCTAAAAACTCATTTCCCCAGCGAGTGCACGTCTCCTTCTGAAGGCGTGTGCATTATCATATCTTTGCAAAATGATACAACTTGAAAATGATACACTGTGAGCTTCGGTTATTGACTGAAACATCATAGAACGTCCCGTCAATCGCTGACTTTGACTACGAGTTTCCCTGTAGTTTTTCCACTCGTCAGGTCGATTTGCGCCTGTTTTACCCCCTCCGTAGTGAATGGATATTCTTTGAAGACCTGTGTCTTCAAGGTGCCGTTGGCGAGAAGGGAGAACAGGGCGTTTCCGTAGTGGAGCGCTTCTGCTGGGGTATATGTGTAGTTGTTCATGCTGGAATACCAAAACGTGAGCATATTAATCGAATGATATACAGGGGTTAAACGCACGTAGGCCGGAGGAGCTTCACGTTCTTTTGCACGAGCTTGATGGGAGGGAACGGTGGAACGGCTCCCGAAGCATTGCCCACTGAAACAAGGGTGCCTTTCCGCTTAATCATTACGAGGTCAGAATCGAACCTGCATCATAAGTTTATCTTACGTCAAAAAGCAAACAAAAGTCATGGGTTCGATTCTTACGTGTCTTTACCCACACCATCAAAGATTGCATCGACACCCTCTCCATTTGTAAGTTCCAATACGCGAGCAACTGTGTCCTCGCTCTTATACAAAATAACGTGATCCGTCCCGTTAGCTTTCGCAAGGGCGGCCTTTTCAGGCGTCGAGGTTGTTCCTATGACCGTCGCCCCTCGCGACTTGGCCAGCTGGGTCATGAGTAATCCAAGGCCACCTGCGACGGTGTGAATGAGGATGACGTCGCCCTTTTGCACGTTGTATGCTTCTTCCATGAAGGAAATAGCAGTCAACCCTTGCACAAGGGCCGAGACAGCCGTCAATGTCGACACCGAGTCGGGGATCACATACACCGTTTTCCAAGGTGAAGAGACGTATTCCGCGTGCGAGCCCAACCAATCCTGTAGGCTCGTGAGTCATTGCATGGAAGTGTATAGACAGCACGCCGTACGACTGCGACACGGGAACCTTCTTTGTACCCACGCTTCTTGTAATCTGGGTCATTCAAGACAGACTCGTCTGTAGGGAGCGCGACAACTACGCCGCTGGCTTCCTTCCCAATTACGAATGGGAAATGAGAGGCTGGATATATTCCTTCTCTATCACACACTTAATCACGCTCTTCAAGACGCTTGGGACACTTGGACACTTGCCTGTAGTAGGTGTCGATAAAGTTGACACCAATATATTGGACCTACAACGCAGCACAGATGAAATGTTAGCATTCGCATAGAGTCCTAGCAATATTCCTACCTTTACGACCAAATGATCTGGGGCTACTTTTGGGAAAGGGATCTCGCGTTTCTCAATGACCTCGGGTCCCCCCGTCTTTGAGATCGTGATGGCTTGAATTGTTGACGGATAGGTCATCCTAGAAGTGGCAGTAGAGAAGTGGCGGGCGAGAGTGGATAGTCGGCGAGTGAAACCTAACATGCACCTGGGAGGATGTGATGCAAAGCAACTCCTGTGGGTTGACTCGATAAGAGTCACCCTCGGCAGCGCAAGTTAGTAAGCGTCGTAATGGATGGCGACATTCTGGTCATGGGACTCATGGAAATGCGGAACACCGCACGCGGGCGGCATGCTCGACAAACCAAGTCGAAGAGGATTGAACAAAATATGATAAACTGAAGGCTATTCAAGATTTGGGGCTGAGACGACATCCGGCGGCAAGTACATTTACAGACTAATAGGCGTGTACGACATAGTAACCGATGGATATCATGGCATACTTCTAAAGGACTACCGCGTAGTGGTGGAATAAACATGTCACATTGAATTGGGCTATGTACTGCAAGAGCAGATGATCAAGCGGTACCTCTTACTCCAAACGCTTGGTTTAGGATGTCGTAAATAAGATGAATTTGTTCATCCCTTTGGACCATCCCCGGTCTTTGCTCTCGCAAGTTGTCAATCTCCTGTGCTATTAGGTCTTCCTGAAGCTCCTTTGGTAAGGGCCCCAGCGGAGGGACAGGCGAAGAGTACAAAGGCTGTGGGGGAGGTGCGAGGGTATTCAAGGGCAGGCTGTCACTCAAAAGATGGTATGCGCGTAACAATGAGGACATTGCGATGAATGATCCGGTCCGCCCTATGCCGGCAGAGCAGTTGACCATGATAGGAGGGTCTGGGTCCGCAGATGAAGGGAGTGAAGAGGTATCCTTGTTAACGCGATCCACAAGATGAACGAAAGCGAGAAGGCTAGCTCGATCCTCATCCTCAGGGACCCCGTGGTCCGGCCATGCAGCATACAGCAAATGGGTAAACACCACAGCATCCTGCGGATTTGTTGAGGTGACTGGAACAACGGAGACCTTGCTCTGCACGCAGCAGGCTTCATTGATTCGCTTGCTCTCCAGTAGCGTCACCTTCAGTACAGGTGCATCGCTTGTCTCATCTGGGTTCGATAGCATCGATTGGCCAGGGGTGGCGGGAAAATAGGCATGAGCTTTCTGTCGTCCTCTCTCTACATTTTGTGTGAGCTGAACGATAGTCCGCACACGACTGAAAGAATGCATATGGGAAGACTTGAGAGATGCTGGAAGAGTAGAAATTGGTTGTACGATGGCACTGAGGAACACATGGGCCGTGCGCGGAAGGGGTGCTTGGGTAGCAATCCATGACTTCCCGCCATAGAGCTCCCGCACCCAGCTTGCATTAAAATATCTTCCCTTGCTACCCTCTGCTCCGATACTACAGTGACTGCCCTTCAGATCACCCACAACAACGCGCGTCCGATCATATGGTTGAATGTTGGAGTAGCGATTAGCTACTATATTGTCTGGATGATGAGCTATGGTGATGGAGTAGTGTGCGACGGGATCGATCTTTCCGAGTGCAGAAGTCAATGCTTGCTGCCCGCGCGCAAGAAGTGACGTTGAAGGTGATTCTGTGAGAGATCGAGTTCGCATGTGATCGCGAGCGTATTCGCGTTTAGACAGTGCGGGGCAAACGGTTTCGGATATAAATTGTGAATCATTTGATAATGCTCTGGAAAGCCAGGAGGGTATCGATGTCGATGTTGCAGCCATTGGTAAAAGATGAAATCGATGAAAGGCGATACACTTGAAACGATATGCTGCCTTCCTGTGCGTGAGAATAACCTGCCAGTTATATCGATGGCTCCGATGCCAAAGTCCAGAGTGGCAGTTTGTTCATGAGGAGCAACGATGGATAGCAGTTATGTATCGTTGATATCAACTAATCCACACAATGTCAAGTCAGTGATTGCTTCGCAGGCCAAAATTCAGTCCTTACAACTTTGGCTACCAGAGTCAGTTCCACGTTGGAAAAATCCACGGGGAAGAAGCATTTGACAGACAATAACCCAGAAACGTGCTGGACATCACGACAGGTACAACGATGTTCCCTTGTTCTGAGACGTCATTGACCTCGGATATGGGTAGGGTCCTGGGCAGCATATCCATCTAACGTTCGAAAAGCCAGCAATACCCAAGCGTATCACCATCATCTTCCAGGGCGGATTTGTCGGGACCAAATGTAGACTTGAGGTCTCCGAGTCGTCAGATAGGCCCAAATGGCAGACATGGACATATATTCACCCCGAGGATGCCAACAGACGCCAAATTTTCGACTTGATAGCCCATAGAGACGGATTGCCAGTGGAGGGAATTCAGAGCATGAAACTGGTCTTTGAGGACAGTTCAGATTTTTACGGTAGAATCACAATCTATGACCTGAAAATTGAAGGTCTCCTGCTCTGAAATGACGAAGAGCTGGTTTGACCGAGCGCGTTCTGTGTGCACCAAGAAATTTGCCTCATGATCAAGAACTTCGGGTGCTGTCGGAGTCGTTTTCCTTCCTCCTACCCACGATGATGACCATCCAATATTCATTCAAACGTGTATCTACACCGCTGTCAACGTACGCCAAGTTCAGTGTTCACGCGAGTATAGTATCTCATCACAAACAACGTGGATTTTTGATACGCACCACCACAAGTTGTAGATGAAGGCGTATGAGAAGAATTAGGCGGTGATCATATTGTAGTACAGCCCTTCGAGCCGCACACATCTTGCGTGTGCCGCTGGATTCTATATTCTGTCCTGACGTGGATAGTACTTGTTCCTCTATTAATCTGCTTCCATGCCCCCTCCGAACACAATCTCCACCTTGAACCACGAACGATCGTGAGCGGAAATATTACTGATGAACAATGCCGAGACGACCGTTCGACGACGGAGGATCCTTCGATGGCCTTCCCGTCCTTCCGGGCCAGAAATTTGTTCTTTGTAATTGGTTTGTCTTGTTAATCTTCATAACCGCGTATACACTGACTCGGATCAGGTATAGCCTGAGGTTCTCGGTGGGGTGGCACACCTAATTGACCAATATTGCAAGATTGGTGATTTCTATAGTTTTTGAAACAGGAAAGTGAAGTTACGGTCAGTTCTATGTCTTGAGCTCTTGGCTACTTAACGTTAGAACTTACAGGCAAGTTCCGCCAGAATAGATGTTACGGTTTATCACGTAACCAAGGAAACCAAATTAAAGTGAGCACTCACAAAGATTGCACAAAGAAGTGCAATGAGAATATTCTTACCCATGATGAGCGCTTGACCCTTGGTCATGCTCGAGTCAGATGCTAGTGAGCTGTCTAAAATCATGTGCTTAGAAGCTGATACAAGATGTGTCCGTCAAGCTTTGCGTTAGGACCTGGACCAATGCCAAATCTCTTACTTGCTTTGGCCGAGTTTGTGACGTCCACTGCCACGTCGCGTATGTTCGTTCTTTGTTATCGTTGTTGAACAATTGACCGAGTAGGCTGTTCCTCCCAAAGCACCGATATGAACCACAAAAATCTGATGGATGTCGTCACACATGCGCAAGGGCCTGGATCCACAATTATTCAACCATTCGTGGAGTCAGAAAAATATACTGTGGTGGATTGTTAGCCTCAGGAGCGGAAAACATCCACAGCGTTTCTCGCCTTCATCGTGGACTTGGAACGAGAGAAAACAACTCAAGTGTGGACGCACAGCTGATTGTGTCGAGCACAAATGTCACCGTCCAGTGAATAATAGTGATCCACATGAAATGGACCACACTTTCAAAGCGGTCCTCGACAAGCATATAAATATCGCTTCGGTGACCCTCCATCCTCTATCACTTAGCCACTTCACCTCACCGCAAATAACTCTTACCTCCAGATGAACCCATCCGCCTCTACCGATCCCTCCTCAAAGTACGCTCCTAATGTTCCCAGTGCAACACACCTGCCCATTGTGTATATGGATCACTTGGCCCGGCCCCAGCATGCATACCTTCATCAGCCGCGCCCCGCCACAGCGCAAGCCGTACCACCTAACATGACACATGACGCAGCTCGCCCATCCGCGCCTGTCGCGTCCGTCCCGGGTGTGAGTTCTGGATCTGTGCATAATCCATCCCAAGCCGCACCACAATTTTATTACCCTTCTACTGTGGTGTTCAATGTGTATGTCACACAAGCCATGAATCCCAACCGACCACTACCTGCGGCTGCGCCCCCACAACATCAATCCGTGCCCACCCTGTCCAATGATCGCTTGTCTTTTCCGGGAGCCACGGCTCCTTACGCGGGTCATGGTGCTCACCAGAAAATACCTCCACCCCTATCGCTATTTATGTCTCAAGAAACTAATTTGTCGACTGGCCAAAAGCGTGTCGGGGACGACCTCGAAGACCGCAAAGTCAAGCGAACCAAAGTGGGCTCCTGCCACATATGGAAAGACACAAACTTTGTGAGTTTTCTTCTCATGCTGTGAGATCGCATTCTTAGTCCTTGGGACAGAAACCCGAACCCGAGTTAGATGAAGAAGGACGTCAGAAATTCAAATGTTCAATTGATCAGGAGGTCATACTTCCTGAAAGTTATCGCAAGCACATCAAGTCAAAGATGCATGTAGGCGACGAAGTAGAGATGTATGGATGTTCTCTTTGTTCGCGATCGTATGTATTCCCATTCTCAAATATGCGCGTCTTGTCATTAATTGTTGTGATTAGGTATACCAGATATGATGCCTTTGTACGGCACTCCAAAAAGCACGCAGAGCCATCATACTCAATTACTAGTCAAGGTTCTATGAGTGCTGCTTCTGCTTCGCCTGTGGCAGTACCCACCATGCAATTTACTTTCCGTTCCAAACCAACTGCCACGGCGATGTCCAGTGGCTCGACGACACCAAACGCCATGGAGAACGTGAAAATCGAGCCCCCAGTAGATGAAATTACGCAGTCACAAGAAACGGCCAGTTTTGCGGATCCCGTAGTGCATCCCGTCGCCTCATCATCTCAGTCACCAGACACCTTGGCCACAGAGGCAGCCCTGGAGGCCGCCCTGATTTAGATTCGCCGTTCAAGGACAGAGGACAATAATTTTTATTTATTTGGCTTCTCGCCCAAGATACCCACCCCTCTGAATTAACTTCTTTCTTCCGGTCCACCTGCCCTCATCGACCATGAGGTGTAGCGTTTGTTGCATATTTCACTTCCCATTTTAAATCTTGTATATACCGCATCCTGGGACTGAATTTTTAGCTCTACCTGTGGTCTCCATCATTTGTCCTTAGCTAGTTCATCTATTCAACGGATTTTTCTGGGCTCGCGTCCGGAAAAATCCTCTTGCTGGCCAAGTGAGACCAATGAGACGCATTTTTTGTGCTATTATTGCACGACAGCCACAATGCATGGCTGATTTGTATTCTTTGTTATGATTTTTATAGTAATTTATTGGTCGTAATAAGTATATGTACAACAATTTATGACATCAAACACCCATGGAAGTCAACAAGCGTCAATATTATACTTCGTTCGCCGGGGAAGATCTGAGGACAGTTTGTTCAAGGTTCAAATGGAGATGGCAGGCGCAAATCATTAATATGCATGAAGATCAACCAAAATAACATAACGGCACTACAACGCGAGGTAAACTATTTCAACACGGAGCGGACCCACAATTCACTCAACGTGATGACGTCCCTTCAGCGGAGGCCAGCTATGCAGTTATGGAAGATGTGCTATTACCTGTGGTGGGTGTTCCTGCGGGTCCTCTTGCCTTTGGTTGTACCAGAGGCAGTGGGCATGCCAGATGCGGCGAGGACCGGGATGGCGGCGGGAAGAGATGCTGGGAGAGAAGGAAGTGCGGCGGGAAGAGATACTGGAATGGGAGGAATTGCGGCGGGAGGAGATACTGGAAGAGGAGGAATTGCGGCGGGTAGCGGTGCTGGAAGAGTTGGGACGGGCGGCGATACAGGGAGAGAAGGAATTGGTGTTACCACAGCAAGAGCAGGCTTGGCTGAGGCAATGGCTGACGGGGCAATTGCTGGCGAGACAGGCACCGAGCCGGAAGCGCTGGTCGATGAAGCATACACCGAGCCTGAAGACAATGATGCAGGTGCTGAGGTTGTATCACGACGGTGAACATGGCGTCCACGACCCGGGTGCACATCAGCCTGCTGATGAACAGCCGACGCAGAGGCGGCGGCGGATGATGCCTGAGAAGGGGAGGCAGTCGAGCTTGCCTGAACAGTCGACGAAGAGGAGTAGGAACTGCCAAAGTCAGCCGCTTCTACTGCGCCCAATAGAACTGGCAGCCCGGGAAGGGGCAAGCTAGAGGTCAGATTCTGTACGGGGTTGATTATGGCCGGTGCTGCCAGTGTTTGCGCGGCTGGGCCCGGGAGTGAGCCAAGAAGGGCCGTCACGGCCTTAAGCAAATCAGACAAGAGGCCGCCGGTGATGTCGTCGCTCCTATGCACCTCCGCTATATATATGGAAAAGTGGTCAGAGGATGTTTGTAAATGATGCATAGGATGGAGCTGACCATGACGTGGTGATGCATTGGGATTGGAGACACTGACAGGTATGCCATGGACGCCCCCCGAAAGCAAGAGAGCGAGTGAGAACGAGACAAAGACAATATAAAGGGATAGGAAGCGCATTGTAAGGATATTGTATAAAGGTTCGTGAAAATCGTGAAATGGAGCGCTAAAGTGATCTGATAGATAGAAAGCAGGAAGAGATGTGGGTAAGGACTGTAATGACAGTGATGGGTTCTTATACCTTTGCAGAACGGCGGCTGACAGAGATAAACGCGACGATGAAACCTGTTGATGATGACGTTCGTGGAGTAATTCCAGACCAAACCGCGAGCTCAAACCCGAATCGTGACCACAGGTGAGGTGTCGATAGGCGTAGCATGTCTCAAACACAGTTCTTTCGCAGGGCATTTTGTGTCTGCCTGGTGCCGGCGACACCTTGCATTACGATTGTGAATAAGTCTGCAACACACCCCGGCTGAAGTACGGGTCGACGTCACGGTCATGATGAGAATAAAAACAATAAATGACTTGTGGGTCGTTACGTCCAAGACAAACCCAAGACCTATTTTCCATGCTGCAGCTGTGAGGGAGTTTTCACGGTCCTCTCCTGTAGTCCGTCATCTCCCATATATTATCCTCTCCGAGTGCTCTCCGTCTTCTCGAGCTGGCAGTATCAGTTACTGAACCAGACAAAATCATGACGTTCCATAGGTCAGATATGGAACGAAGAATGGGTGATCCCATGCATGATGACAGGAAACACCATCCTAGACCTGCGAAGCTGTTTGGAGAAGAACATGAGCACCGGGTAAAAGACATGTCGATTCCAAATAAACACACATGAGAACAGCAAGAATGAAGAGCAAGGTCATCAATGATGAATCGTAGCCTGTTTCCACCATGGGCTTGGAGGTCAACAAGCTTGTTGGGAGTTGTCGACAACTAAGGGAAAACTGAACCGAACCAAGATAAGCCAAGAACTTCACGGCCGCCCTCTAGTTAGTATTGTTAAGTATCCGATCACTGCACTTTTTCTCACCGAATGAAAGCTTCACCGCATACTGCGGCACACATAAGTACTGTGGAGCTCTGAGACGCCTATACATCTTGACTTTGCCCACATACCTAGAGATTTGTACAAACTCATCGTATAGCGTTGGGCTGACACCGGTTTCTCAGTTGGCTGTCTAGCACGGGCCTCTTCGCATTTCGCGGAAATCACTCAACACCGAATATTTGAAGATGTCTAATCCCAATTCAACTTCAGTGAGCCTGAGGCAAGCACAGGAGGTGACCATTTCACGCGCACGTGCCTTTCAATACCCTACTCACAGTGTCATAGAACTCCAACACACAAGTATCAAGGAGGGGCGAAGATATCGAGGTCGCACCCAAACAAGATGGCGATCTTCCCGACCCATACATGTTCCGGGTCGGTATAAAGACAGACGACGAGCTCTCGCAGCTTCGTCGTCGTCGCAGGACTGGCAAACGACTCGAAAGGTTTCACAGGAAGCAGAATGATGTGGGTTTCTCTCTTATCATGTCGTATTATTTCGATGTCGTGCTGAAGGATAAACGATAAACGATCAGCTCATTCACTCATTGTTGAAGCCCATGGAAGAACATACCCAGGAGGCGAAACAAGATGCAGAAGACCACCGTTTACCTGTAAGGAAGTGCTATGGGTTCACCCATTTCTGCTAAAACAAACACACATTCAGGTCAGGATTGCGGTCTGGGCGAGTCTTGTTGCCAACTTCATTCTCTGCGTACTCCAGCGTACGTCTTTACAATTTGTCCCTCTTGCTTTCGTTACTTATTCCACACACAAGTATATGCTGCCGTTTCCTCCGTCTCTTTGTCCCTCATCGCTACAGGGATTGATGCTACATTCGATTTTGGAAGTAACATCTTCCTATACTGGACTCACAAGAAAGCACTGTCAATGGACGTCAACAAATGGCCTGTTGGTGGTTCTCGACTTGAAACCATCGGAAATATCGTCTACGGTGATTCGTTCGTTCACTCAGCTGGCAATGATCTCACATTCTTCCAGGTTCCCTGTTTGTCTAGCTCTCAGCTCTTTAGCGCCTGATTGACATTCTCGCAGCATGGCTTCGGTCAACTTGGTTGTTATTGTTGAATCCGTCCGCGCAATTATGAGTCAAGAAAAGGACAATGGCTTTCACATTCAGGCCATCATCGCAGTTGCAGCTGCGCTCGGTACGTAGTTTGCGAGGCCCTTTGTGATCATCTAATAATCTCTCAATCAAACAGGCGTCAAGTTTGCCCTTTTCTTGTATTGTTATACCCTCCGGTCAAAGTCAAGCCAAGTGCAGGTCCTATGGGAGGATCATCGAAATGATCTCTTCATCAATGGATTCGGTAGGAAAACTCTCTGTTTCAAGCAGTTTGGTAACCTGAAGTGATCATGCTCGCCAGGTATTCTGATGTCTGCTGGAGGAAGTAGATTGCGATGGTGTTCGTGACTCAAACTCTTGGTTTCTTTTTAAACTTATATGTCAAACAGGGCTGGACCCTACCGGCGCTATCCTCGTGCGCTTCATTCATCATGTATCTCCTGTATTGTCAGCTCATATGATTGCTCCGACAGATTGGTGCTGGGGTCATCTTTGCTTGGAGCCACACTATCTATGAGCAATTTGGGTTCTTGGCCGGGAAGTCTGCGCCACACGACTTCCTGCAACTCATCATCTACAAAGCTATGACCTTCAGCGATGAAATTGAGAAAATCGATACCGTACGGGCGTATCACGTGAGTATTCAATTCCATTGTGTATGATTGCGTATTGACTTAATTCAATGACGCAGAGCGGACCCGTGCGTGCCATTGGGCTTATAATCAGATGTGTTTCGTTCACTGACACTATCATTTAGGATTACGTCGTCGAGGTGGACATCGTCATGGACGCTACTACCCCGTTATGGAAGGCACACGATATTAGCCAGCAACTGCAGGATAAGATCGAGGTGCTTCCAAATGTCGAGCGTGCCTTTGTGCACGTCGATCATGAAACAACTCATGCTCCCGTAAGTAATATTTCAAATTCATCGTTTTTAATAACTCAGTTGCGGTGTGCAGGAACATCGAAAAATTATGTAGGTGAACGGCGGTTGAATGGAACGATATATCCGCCATGCTATCAGTATATCTATGAGAATATGTTGTTTCGTTTACTGGGATACCCTGGTCTGTTTACAAGTGAGAAGATTAATATTACCGATTGCTTGCTGTTGCTGTACTCGTGTAATCATACTGCTCCAGGGCTTCCCCTCTGCAGTCTCCTTATATAGCGGCATGATTGCCCACTGGCTGATCGGACTTCATACTTGGTTGGAAGATCAGTGCTTATCACCGGCATCAGACAATCACCATCTCGCGTGTAATATCTGCATGAAACAAAATTTCAGAGATCGACAAACATGTTCGCAGCGAGCAAGTGATTTTCAACGCAGTCAAGTGCAGGCGGGCAAAAAGGTCCGACATTACGCGTCTTCCTATGCCTCCTCAACGAAAGAGAGCTTTTCTGGAGGACATTATTATAACACATGTATTCCCCATCCTGGCAAATAGTAGTATAAGATTACCACAATCTAGTTCAAAGACGGAGTCCAAGCGATGCGCTGCCATCGGAGTTGAAAAACTCCTACACGATGGGTGATCCCCTCGATGACAGGGAATCGCATTGTGGAGCGGTGATGGGTCGATCCTCTGCATTGGCAGGTAGTGATGTCATTTGCCTGAGCTGTGTTGTTCTGCAACGAGAGGCAGCATACGTGAAAAACTGATATCCTCGGAGAGGCTATTCACCCTATTAATGGTGAGTCACCGATTGACTCTGATTGGTTTTCTGTCCGGCTAAGTTTAACCTAGTGAGTTCGCGGTTACAGAAAAATGTCAATGACTTAGTGCTAAAAGGAAAGATGAAAGGTAAGAGACGACCCAACTCCCTCCATTCGACATCCGATTTGAAAAGATCTCATGGTTGTCTAGTCCTTTTGTATCCTGTTCTTCTCGATGGGGGCTGAACGAGATTTCCTGGGCCTGATCTGCCCACGATGGACCATTTTGCCGTTTGTCTTACGATTCATGCTATGCCTTTGTAATTGTGATGTCGTCATGAAGCTGATAGGACTATGCATGGTCTGCATCAGGCGTCTCCCCCAAATTGGCCAGGGTACTGGAGCATCTTCCGCGTCCTGCGAGTAGTAACCTTGCGGGGCAAGCAGGCTGACACAAGAAGTGAGACGACATTTACAGCCGTGTCTTTGGTGGTGCTGCTAAACTGCATCAGGGCCCGCAGAAAAGGGAGTGGAGTAAGACGTCGAGGCCCCTCCATAAGGTACGAGGCTAGGGATAGTGTACGTCGTAATAGGTTCACCGAGGTGGCGAAGGGCGGCGGGAGAGGTCACCGTTTAAGGAATGAGTCGGTGCTTGGGAGACAACATCAACGTATCCTTGTGATTGACACGCATGACCTAGTCAAAACTGTCAAGAGGCACCGCGGAGCCAAGGCTTCAGGCCCAGGACCGATGAATGACTTGAAACAAATATCTGCGTGTATAAAATCACTGCAAGGGAGTCATTTAATGCACAGGAAATGGAGAGGAGACCATACTTATGGGTAGTGTAGTAAAAGAGCCTTTGTGGCTTTGAGCGGTTGCAGTCCAACCAGCGTGAATATAAAATAAGGCATCCTTCAACCCCACCCTCTCTGCAACTGACACTGGAGGTCTTCCTCTCCTTATACCAAGCAACTTTGATACCACAGTCAACATCTTCTCGATATACCAGAATTATTCATAAACCCCAAACGTTCAAAACCCTTTACTCAGTTCGTGTGCGATAAATGATGGTGAGCAGGAGAAAGATGATGGTGGTAAGAAGTTAGTTCATGAGACACTATCAGGATACTCCCCATCAAGATCCAGAGGAGTTGTATGTCAAGCAAGACAGAATCGGTGCGCATCGGGTTCTGTTCCTCATCGCAGTCAACTGACCATCTGTGCCAGGGAAGGGGTCTTTCGGAGAAGTCTACAAAGGGTGTGCAATGAAGATAACAACCTCTAGAGGTCCCCCTCACGCGTTCGTCTAGATATGACAAGCGAACTATGAAGACTGTCGCCATCAAGATCATAGATCTCGAAAGCGCAGAAGATGAGATAGAGGACATTCAGCAAGAGATACAGATTCTATCACAGCTAGACTCACCACACGTTACCAAGTTCGTACCTTGCTGTATTTTGCTCTTGTCTGGATTCGACGAGGTTAACATGCAGCGTTTTTGTACGCAAGATATCATGGATCCTTCCTCAAGGGTTCCAATCTCTGGATAGTCATGGAGTGCGTTCCTCAAATCCATTTCATTACCATTTCATTACCATTTCCTCATGGTTATATAGATACTGCTCGGGCGGCTCATGTTCTGATCTGGTATGATCACAGCTAACACAGGTAATTCGCGCTTATTCAACACTACACAGATGAAACCCGGCGTATTTCGGGAAGAGTACATTGCAATCATTGTCCGAGAGCTTCTCCGCGGACTTGACTATCTGCACACGGAGGGCAAGCTCCATCGGGATATCAAAGGTCATTTTACTTCGCTCCTGCCAGTGATTCATCTGACACTTATGTCATATCACACAGCTGCCAACATACTGCTTTCCGCAGGAGGCGATGTCAAGCTTGCCGATTTTGGTGTATCTGGGCAGCTATCTGGAACTCTGTCCGCCAAGAAGAACACCTTTGTCGGCACGCCATACTGGATGTCGCCTGAGGTAATCAAGCAGAGCGGTTATGACCACAAAGCGGATATATGGAGCTTGGGTATCACTGCAATTGAGCTGGCAAAGGGAGAGCCACCGTACGCGGAGCTTCATCCGATGAAGGTAAGCGGGATTGGGCGGCTGCCTTATTCAGATATCTCGCTAACACATTGCGGCGCAGGTGCTATTCCTGATTCCCAAGAACCCTCCGCCGCAGCTGGAGGGTCACTTCTCCAAACCATTTCGGGACTTTGTTGCGTATTGTTTGCAACGAGATCCCCGCGATGTTAGTCTGCTCTCCATTCCTTGTGTTCATTTCATGCTACCGTGACTGAGATGGACAAATATAACACAGCGTCCGACAGCACGCGAGCTCTTGAAGCACAAGTTCGTTCGTATGGCAAAGAAGACTAGTTACCTCACAGAACTGATCGAGAGGCATGAACGATGGAAGGCCGAGGGTGGAGATCGCACAGAGGAAGAGGAGCAGGTAGTTAATCAGGAATTGTGAGTCCCTTCGGCTTTACTCATCCTATTTAACACATCTTCTCTAGACCCGCAAACGCTGACCTAGAAGACCTCTGGGACTTCGGCACTGTCCGACACACGGGGCGACCGGGGACGATTGGGCGCGCACAGAACTCGACCAAGGTCTCCGGTCCCCCCCTCACATGGGAAATGAACGGAACTTCTCACGAAACATCAACATCATCAACATCAACATCATCAACACCATCATCATCATCATTTTCCATTACAGCGAAAAAGGCGTCCGGATCATCCATAAGGTCTAAGACCGAGCTGCCGCCGTTGCCATCATTGCCTTCGTCCCCACCGCAGCTCCCGCCCGCACCACCGCCCGCTAAAGTACCAAGCGTGTATGAACAAGCTACTGTGAGGCACATGCCGACCGGAGGGCCCAGCAGCGAGAAACCATCGGGCCACGAGCGGGAGTCTTCTGATGAAGATTATGATGACCAATACTTGGACACTTATCCAAGAGGCGCGTCTGTTCACGAGAAACAGGATGAACCGGACGACGACGACGAGTTACCTGATACCACTATGCTTGACTCTGTCATATTACCCGCAATAGCTTCGGTAAGGGTTCCGTGCTCCTATCGAGACAGAGCTAATCAGTGTGTTCAGCTTTTCCCTCGAGTATCGACACAGGAAGCGCGAGTCGCGCTAAGCGCCCTACAGCGGGCATTTAATGAGGCTGAGCGCATCATTCCAGGCGTGACCATGGAACTCGTGAACGAGATTGTGGACTCCGTGGAGCGAGTGGAAGATGATCACCAGCAGTAGGCTACTATACCACTGACATATGTGATTTCTTGATTTGCAGTCTTGTATTCCTTGCTTTCGTCGCTGCATTCTTAGGACGCTCTCACCCCACAAATACGAACATTCATGCCTACCCCCGCACAGATGCATTCACCTCCATCTTACCATACCAATCCGAGCTGTGCATCTTGACAGCATATATATCATGTAGCTCTTATTAGCATGAATGAAGAGTGTGAAGTGCCAAGGAATATTGTCGCTTTGTACCAACTTTGTACCGACAAAATTAATGATAGGGGCTGACCAGTTCTTTCCTCGCATCCGAATCATCATGTTCACAGCTTCAACACCTCGTGCACGGCGGTCGCTGTCTTACGCTAGGCATACTGCATACAGAACAACCCAGCTCAGGCATATGACATCTCAATCTGCTACATTCCATGTGCATTACTTATTCAGAGATAGCACCAGATTCTCATGTGTCCCGAGATATACCAAGAGATGTCTAAGATGAGTATCGCGTCCAATGCTCCATCAATCCCCCCTGCCATAGCTCTTACCGTCAACAGAGGCACCACTGACAGACGTGTCGACCTGAATGTCATGTCCTTCAGGCCTTCATCTCGGTACGAATTCTCATACCAACCGCGATCGCGATGAGCTTGCAGCTGAGAGTTCGTATTGCTGCCCCCACGAGCACCTGCTCTAATTTTTTTGCTGGAGTAAGTTTATAAAGTGCTAGAAGTATCCAGTTGATTAATTGCGAGGGATCCAGAAAAGGCTACATAGTACTCACTCATCTCGGCAACGCTGCCAGCGTGTTCCGTGTGCCATGTGGCTCAAATCAAGCTCGATACATCCTTTGAGCATCACCAATGCCGTCCGAGGATTATAAGAAAATGCCTCTCGTGAAGCGGGCGGTACCCAGAATAGAAGCCGACGATTGGGTCCTAACATCCATCCATCAGGTCCCAGCGAAAAGGAGGTTGATCTGCGGTCATCATGGGAAGTGCCCTCAATAAGCTCAGCAGTGTTGTACAGACTGTGTTTTGGGTTCGATGAGAAGGAAATGATGAAGTCGTCTTTCACAGGATTAGGCGTGATGGCAGGGGTGGTTTCCACTGGGTGCCTGGTGCAACTGGAATACGAGGAGAATGCTGAGCAAGTTGCGGCGGGATCCTGCGATGGCTGCTCAACTGCTGCACACCAAACCCGAACAGTTTGATCCAGCGAGCCAGACAATATGCGAGTCCCATCCGGCGAGAATGAGACTGAGCAAATAGAACCAGTGTGCCCCCGCAAGGAATCACCCACTGGGTGCCCCGTCACTGTATCCCACAGCCGCACAGTGTCATCCGTCGAACCAGACGCGATGCGAGTCCCATCCGGCGAGAACGAGACTGAGTTAACAGGACCAGTGTGCCCCAGCAAGAGCTCACCAACTGGCTTCCCCGTCGCTACATCCCACAGCCGGACAGTCTTATCCTTCGAACCAGATACGATGCGAGTGCCATCCGGCGAGAACGAGACAGAAGAAACAGAAGAAGTGTGTCCTCGCAAGGGTTCACCTACTGGCTGCCCTGTTGCTGCATCCCACAGCTGGATTGTTCTATCCTCCGAACCAGACACAATACGAGTTCCGTTCGGCGAAAATGAGACCGAGTAAACAGAACCAGCGTGCCCCTTCAATGGCTCACCAACTGGGTAACCTGTTGCTGCATCCCACAGCCGGACAGTCTTATCCTCCGAACCAGTCACAACACGAGTTCCGTCGGGCGAGAATGAGACGAACCTAACCCAATCAGTGTGCCCACGCAAGGGCTCACCAACAGGTTGCCCCGTCGCTGCATCCCACAGCCGGACACTGTCATCCACAAAACGAGTCGCAACACGGGTCCCATGCGGCGATAACGAGATTGAGCAAACCCAACCAGTGTGCCCGCGGAAGGGCTCACCAACAGGTTTCCCTGACGCTACATCCCACAACCGGATGATGCCATGCGTCGAACCAGTCGCGATGCTGGTTCCATCCTGCGATAGCGAGACTGAACGAACCAAATCCGTGCGTTCTCGCAAGGGTTCACCGACTAGCTGCCCCGTTGCTACATCCCACAGCCGGGCAGTTTTGTCATTTGAACCAGTTGCGATGCGAGTCCCATCCGGCGAGAACGAGACTGACGTAACCGAAGAAGTGTGCCCCAGCAAGGCTTCACCAACCGGCTGCCCTGTTGCTGCATCCCACAGCCGGACAGTATTGTCATTCGAACCTGTTGCGATGCGAGTCCCATCCGGCGAGAATGAAACTGAAATAACGGAAGAAGTGTGCCCCAACAAGGGCTTCCCAACTGACTGCCCCGTCACTGCATCCCACAGCAGGACAGCGTTGTCCTTAGAAGCAGTCGCGATGCGAGTCCCATCTGGGGATAACGAGACTGAGTCAGACTCAATGTGCCCCTCCAAGGGCTCCCCGACTGGCTGCCATGTTGCTACATCCCACAGCCGGATAGTGTGGTCATTCGAACCAGTCACTATGCGAGTTCCGTTCAGCGAGAACGACACTGAGTGAACAGAACCAGTGTGCTCCTCTAAGGGCTCTCCGACTGGCTGCCCTGTTGCTGCATCCCACAGCCGGACAGTCTTATCTTTCGAACCAGACACGATGCGAGTTCCGTTCGGCGAAAATGAGACCGAGTAAACAGAACCAGTGTGTCCCTTCAATGGATCACCAACTGGGTGACCTGTTGCTGCATCCCATAGCCGGACAGTCTTATCCTCCGAACCAGATACGATGCGAGTTCCGTCCGGTGAGAATGAGACTGATCGAACCCAATCAGTGTGTCCGTAGAATGGCTCGCCAACAGGTTGCCCCGTCGCTGCATCCCACAGCCGTACAGTCGTATCGTCCGAACCAGTCACGATGCGAGTCCCATCCGGGGAGAACGAGACTGAGTTTACCGAATCGGTATGCCCACTGAGCACATTCTGAACAACTGGCCAATTCACATCACGTCCAGATGCCAGATGAAGGATATTCGGAAATTTTGCAACAAAATTTCTAGATATAGCGGAGTTGGCAGGCGAGAACGGCAGAGCTGATACATATAGATGTGGTGTGCTGTGTAACATGATGCTTCCGAAGACTTGGATGAATCTCTGCACGTCTATTGCAGTGGATGAAACATCTTTGTATTCGTCATGGCTCTGCCAGTCGCGTGAGCGCGCATATAATTATGATACTGCTTGGTAACCATGTGCTCACCTTCAGCCATTGAGCAATGAGCGGCAGGGCAGCTACTGCACTACTCAGCGCGTCGATAAGGGCGAGTACTTCGAGCCAAAAGAGCAGTCGCTCATGGTTGAAGAATAGTTTTACTTCCTGTGCGAGCTTCGCGTCGAAGGATGTTTTTCGTATGTGCGCAGGCCAGAATCGAGAGGAATAGGATAGATGTGGGGAAATGCATCTTTGAATTCGTTCTGGCAGCTCTGTGTCTTCACGATTAGGAAGATATGAAGACTTTAAACCACAGATATTCAAGGAAAGGTCGTGTTGCATCACTTTGAGTGATGCAAAAGCAATGTTGGGTTGCACCTTCGACACGTCGATGAAAAAATCCCCACTGCGTGATCGGTCCGTCAGGAAGTCACGAAAGGATGCATGAAGGGGTCGGATGGGGGTAGATGAGTTGGTGGTGCCGCTGAGGAGGGATCCCATATGTTCGACCACGACCTCAACCTTGTAATGCTCCTTCTGGTCTGGAAAATGGCTCCGCATGACATTCAAGGACTCTAAAGGGAGGGGTTCAGCTGCGCCAAGGATTTGTCCCAACACAGAACGAAACCTCGCTAGCCGTGTTTCCTGGAACTCGGCATTTGCGTATCTGTCCTGTCGCATAATCTCTGTCAACATGAAGTCATACATATCATACAACAAGTGTTCCCGTTTGGCAGGATCGCGAGACACCACGTTATTGAAGGAATCCATTGGAGAGAAGCCGGCAGGGGGTGCTTCGATAGATTCGCAAGCAAGACGTGCCCATTCGAAAAGGCCATCTGCTTTCTTAGCGAGGACTTCAAATTCTCTGCTCCCAAAATCTGACAGCCCTTCCAGCTTCGTCGACACGTAGGTATAGATATCGCCCTCTGCGATGGCTGGTGGAATTTCGTCCATAGATATTCGTTCAATATGTTGGGCATCCGCAAATGCAACTTCTATGTCACGGAGAGGGCGAGAAGTAACAATGATTCGAAAGTTCTTTGGGAGTTCCGTGATTTTGGGAACAGCTGCGTCCTGAAGTTTACCGGAAAGAATGCGGAGAAGGTCGCTTCGTGTCTTGACTGATTTTCCACTCTCGTCCAGTGCGTCGATCACGATCACGACAGGGCCTACGGTCGACTCAGAGAGCTTCCCTAGCGGTTCCATCAGAAGCTTCTGCCATTGTTGGACGATATCCACTGTGGTCTTGAGCGCATTTGCGTTTTGGACTGCGTCCGCCAATGCTCGTCTCATCTCCAGATTACGGTCGGCGAGGTCGCGCGCGATGGTGGAGAAAACCTTGTCATGGCGATGATCGGTGTTTCGGTCGAAGCAGTAACAAGAACCAAGCCCCCCCACCCCGACGAACGAGCTAGCGATCGTATGAGCAATGGCTGATTTACCTGTCCCAGCAGGGCCAGATAGCCATAGCACGCGCGGAACATCATCTCTACGGTCGTTGATCCATCCCATAACCTTGGAGAGAATATCCGTGCGCGTCCCTGATAGACATCGCTTCCTGGTATCGAGTCCTGCGCCCGCTGCATAAGCCATACCACTGAGGTTCAGTTCGTCATCTGAAGAAATATGATTGAACGTCGAATCAGAAGTACGTCTGAATCCTTACCTATACGGTGAACAACGATTGCTACATCCCGAATGACCTGGTCTCGGGCGTTTTGCATGAGCGCATCTAACACGTCATTGTACCGCTGAATCGTGTCATTTGTTTCGGCAAGAACGTTTTTCTTGAGTCTCTCCCCTGTGATGATGGTATAGGAATCAGAATCGGCAAAGCGCAATGGGCCGTGGATGACTCACAAAAGTTCTTGGTCTCCGAATAATACTTGATAAAACGAGCACATTCAAGGGTCTGCTGAGATATATCTCCAAGGATAGTGCGCATAGACAGTATCTGGTGAAGTGTCTTGTCTTCTGTCATGAAGCCGTAAACTTGACCCAACTTCTTGAGAAGGTTGAGTACAGCTTCATCGCGATACACTTGAGCAAGAATGATCTGCACGGGTAACTGTTGAGCATGACATGTGGATGAGAGTAAAACCAAACATACTCTCGATGCACAAGACAATACGCCCAGTGCCATCTTTGCATATGGATGTACCTATGGATCGGGATTAGTGCGGTTCCGATTGAGAGGAAGAACTCATACATCCACGAGCGTCCCGATAACAGAGTCGAATATCCTGAGGGGTTTGAGATAAGTGGCCTCGACATTGTTTGCCTTATCGAGATCCGCTGATGCATTTCCGCCTGCGGATACTACAGTACTCGTAGGCGAACGCGTATTCATCTGATCTGCAGCATCACGGGCATTCCGAACTTCCGTGTCCACCAAATGGGGATTAGTACCTTGTTCCACACCGGCAGAAGGGGCATCCTGAACCTGTGCGACCACAAGAAGTTAGAGAGAGCACATGGACGAAAAGACGGTGTACCTCGATATTCGGAATCGATGAAGCACCTTCACGATCAACGTTCGGTAGAACATGGTCGCGGCTGCTAGAATCCTTCAAGTTCGAGAGTTTGTGTACGATCTCAGCCTTATTACAGTGCAGCTAAGTATCTCGACTCACAGAAATCTTCTTGGTCACACCGTTCTTAACCTTGCGCAGAAACAGACGGACTTTGCTTGGAGGTCGCACCTTAATAATTTGCGCGTAGAAGTCAGTATTTCAAGTGGGATGGACAAGTGATCCTCATGAGCAACGTACAGAGCTTTCAACAGCTATTGCTTCGCTAGATGGACGAAATTCTGGAGGAGGGCCTGACCTTGAATCCCTCGATTGATTGATATGAT